TTGTGGTAGGTCAATGATAAGCATGTTAATTATTAGGGAAATTAATTTTTATTGACTTCGAATGTTTTGCATAGTTTTAATGTTTAGATATTGCCATTTTAATTTCAACATTTACGTTATACATTTAGTATCAAAATTAGATAAAGCGAGACATTTCTTTGTGTCAACAGTTTATTTACTGAAGGGAATTATACTGGTCGAGTATCATTTACCGTCAGAAATTTGTAGTTTTTATCAATTGATATTAACAGAAACTTTTAATATGAAAATGGTTACCAAAAGTTAGGTGTATCACCGTAGACTCTGACTTTATATTCTCTCATGCACAACGAGAAAACGGGTTACTAGTACATAAAAATAAGGAGATCTGGTATGATTGCCAATGAGACAACTATCCATCAAAGTTGAAATGGATGTAAGCAATTGTAGGCAACCGTACGGCCTTCCACAATGAGAAAACCCCATACCATATAGTCGGCTATAAAAAGCCCCGCCATGAAAAATATGAAACAATTCAATTGAGAAAACTAATGGCCTAATTTATAACAAAACAATTTATGATACTAGTAATCAATTATGACATACATGAAACCGACGACAACCACTGAACTACAGGCTCCTGACTTAAGACAAAGTATGCCAATTTTTTGGGGAAATTGCCCACGGTATGGGTACGATGACCAGTTACCGTCACTTTTAAAACTTGCCATGAAATGATAGAATTTGAAGTTTAATCGGGACAATTATGTTTTTTTATTTCTTTCGTGTAGCAAGAAGAGAAAAAGGTATACGTCAGGAGAACCTAACACATCGCCATTCTTATCATTAATTGGAAGGTTTCCTTCCTGGCCTGAATGTGAACTTTATTACACTTGAAATCAACCACTTACAATTTATTGGAGAGACGTATAGATTTTAATTTTAAAAATTATAAATCTTTTATAAATCTTTTGAAAGAAACCATCTACTCTAAAGCAAAGTTAGATATTGCTTTGTCTTAAAACGGCAAGTTTTTTTTTCTAAATCGAGAACGCCGATAAAGCGATGATGGCATGTCCTCACATATTATAGAATATATATAAGAGAATATTCGGCATTTCCCTATGCTAATCGGATTAAACAAAAATTTACAAATGAAGTGAAGATAAAAAAATAAGGAGATGTTGTATGGTTGCCAATGAGACAACTATCCACCGAAGTTCAAATGAAAGATTATTAATAATTTAACGTAACGCTTCTTTTATTGAATAAATCGGCAAGTGACGGTAACTGGCGGTAACTGGTGCTCGACCAGTATGTTCGTTTTGTTAAAGTCAATCGGCGTAAATAACGTCATTGGACAATCGACTCTTTCTGTGAAGTTATAACTCGACCAGACATGCATTGTAACATCGAATATATAAGGGAAACATAGGGAAAAGCAGGAACGATTCGTCGAATGTGAACATGTCATGGTGAAAGTCGCCTATTACATAATTAGTTAAATTTAAAAATCAATGACTTCCGAGTACTGCATGGTCCAGTATCAATTACCGTCAGAAAATCCGCAGTTTTTCTCAGATAACTTTTAACAGGAAATACTTTTGGAAATATTCATGCGAAAAGCGGTTTCTAATGTGCCGTTTTTAGCTTAAAATTTTATGGATACGAGGACCAGTTACCGTCACTTATGAATCCTAGTTCCAAAATTATAGCTTTAAATGTCCTATTAATATTGTCATATTTTTCTGTTTTGAGGCAAACAGAGATGGAGGTTTGTCAATTGAACCAACAATATCGTCATTCCGTCCATAAATTCCGAATCTCTCGAAATTTTGCTCAATCTGAACGGATCTCGAATTTATGTCACCAGAAATCAACAACTTACACTGCATTGCGACTTTTTGTGTTTCTTTGGTTCATATGACGTGACTATGTACTTTTAAAGATCCCGTCATTATGTTATTGTTCTATTATATGTCATTTTGTTATTGTTCTATTATAAATTTGAAAATACTTTGAACGACAAACGACAAAATTATTTTACTCGCGTAGTGGTATTAACCATATGAGGATTCTTAAAAATTCTAAAGAACTTCTGGATAATTTTAAATCTCTGTCTGTTTCTGAAATTAGTTCTAACACAACTTTTGATTTTTTAACCCTGTATACCACCATTCCCCATGTGAAATTATAATTTTTTTTGAAAATACTTTGAACGACAAAATTTCTTCCTATGTGACGTTTACATTTTCTGACGTCAGACACGCGAAGCAATGTGGTTTTTAAATTTTATAAATGCTCAACGATGTTGTTGTCCATTTGTTTGATGTGTTTTATCATTTGATTTTGCCGTTTGATTAGGGACTTTCCGTTTTGAATTTTCCTCGGAGTTCAATAATTTTGTGATTTTACTTTTTTTGTGCTTTTTTGTTAAATATTTGTTTGTTTTGAGATTGTGACACAGTGATGACTGCTGTACCCATATTGTGACTATTTTACCTATTATGTCTGTTTTGTTCACGCATCGTTGTAAATATAACGGAATTTGATGCGACTATCATACAAGTAAGAGGTTTAGCGCTATAAAACCAGGTTCAATCCACCATTTTCTACATTTGAAAATGCCTGTACCAAGTCAGGAATATGACAGTTGTTGTCCATTCGTTTGATGTGTTTTATCATTTGATTTTGCCATTTGATTAGGGACTTTCCGTTTTGAATTTTCCTCGGAGTTCAGTATTTTTGTGATTTTACTTTTTTTTTTTTGAAGGGGATCATAGAAATTGATTTTAAAATTCAAAAACCTTTTTTTTTTATTTCTTTGAAGGAAATGTTGTGTCCAAAGTAAGCTTTGCTATTACTTTACTGATCTGAAAACGGTCAGTTTCTGCATGATCGAGGGCGTCTGATAAAGTGACGATCGCCTGACGTCATGTCTCCGCACGCGTATCTCAGTTTACACGGCGTGGTAAAAGAAAAAAAAGTCAAGATTTCTGAGTCATGCATTGGATCAAACAAACCAAGATTTCAAAAATAAAATAAGAGTATTTTTACACGTTTTATGAACATAATAGCAGTATGCCGTATTGAATTGCGTGGTATTTACGCGTCCATTATTGAGGGTGGTAAAGGGGGGTGATTACACGAAAAAAACGTGAAATAAGACATAATTTCACGTTGAACGTGACATAATTTCTGTCATGAACGTTGCACGAAAAATAAAGACTTTGATGTGAACCTTTTGTGACTTTTTCTTGTATATATAAACTCTCTGTTTTACTTGATATTCCCGATTTAGTATACACATTTATAATATAAATGGTTTACGGCTTTTAAAAAAGTATATAACGATCTTCTTAGCTTTTAAAATGCAAATATCCCGCAGACACGAAAGTGTATTCTTGGTCTATTTCATTTTCTTTATTAACAAGGATAAACACGTTGTCATGTTATCCATGCCACCAGCTACCACGACTCGTGGTTAAAAGTATCAGAAATAGGAAGTTTGAACTGACAGATGATGGAAAGTGCAAACACGTTAAAGCGCATCACTGTTAAGATGTCGATCCTATTTAAAGTCATTCTTTTCATTTTACCAAAAAAATCAAAGAATCGGCAATGAGGACGCATGTATCTAGAAGATCCGAAAAGTGTTCACAAGTTAAAAACATATCAGATTTGAACTTAATATGAAGTCATTACGTATGTAAAGTTGTTTCTTAGAAAAAATTAACGGAAATATTTGTTGGATTGACGAACAGAAGCACAAGTTGATTGTAATATATCCCTAATCCTACAGCTTTCCCTAGTAATTCATACCATGCTGGTCTCATTAGTCCTTTTATTTTTTTATGTTTTCTAACATTACAATCATGAACTAGAGACATTAGACATATATGGCAATACAGCAATCCATCAACATATTCATACCAGAGGACTATAGTAGCATATGGTACAACGATTTTGAACTTATCGCAAACTGAATCAAATCGAAAGAATACGACAAAAATAAATATGTTTGGCCCGTTACAAATTTGCTTAGACAATAAAATGTTAGTGTGATGTAGTTTCTTAATACTTAATGAACAATGTGTTAGGCCAAACCATGCAGTACATATATCTTGGAAGCTCCAAAATCGATAAGGAACAACATCAAAGGCCTTTCCGCTTTATCAAAAAACAAAATTGAATCCATTTTTTTCTTGCCGATCCCTGCCAAGTGTTTGAATTTTATTTGAAAAATACCGAGCACGCAAAATAAGCATTTGAAAATCACGATGCACGTAAAATTAAATAAGCAGAACACGTTGAACGAGGCACCTGTCTTGCACGACTGAATGTCAAATAAAAAAGTAAAAACACGTTGAACGTGAAATAAAAAACGGCGATCACGTTGCACGAAAATAACCCTTTACCACCCTCATTATTGCATAAAATGCAAGGTGACGGTAACTGGTAACTGACGGTAACTGACAAAAAAACGGGTCCTCGACCAGTAATGTTAAATTAAAAATATATATGTACATATATATATATATATATATATATATATATATATATATATATATATATGATTCAGACTCTCTACTCATTAAAGAACTTAATTTCAGAGCCTAAGACATAAAATGTATTATATGTCTCCATGATGCTTTATTATGTCCCAGATTATTAATATATCAAGGGTTTATACAGTAAGGTACGATATAAATCCTTGATTAGTGTCTCTGATTATATTGAAAAAATATTTAAATATTTTTAATATCATGAAAAAAATTTATTTTAACTCATTCATTTTTTTTTTTTTTTATGTAAACAAAATATTTTTATTTCATTTGTTCTTTTTCTCGGTTATTATTTCTAATTTACAAAAAAATGCCTCTATATTCTACGAAAATTATTTACTTCTTATCATTACAGTACAGATATTGGGTGATCATTGGCCAAAATTGGAATCTTTCATTTGAACTTTTAGAGTTGTCTCCCATATATTGATCCTGCAGCGCTTAGCAGCACTGTAAACTTCCGGTTGTCTTTCGAAGTCGTTCTTTTCATCTTGTTTTATCCCTTCTTAGTAAAATGAACTGAGATGTTAGCTTGCGCCAGGTAATGTATTCAAATATATGAATCGTTAAAGTCTAAAAGCTCCCATACGTATGACATATTAACTTGCCATTCAAGTAAATAGTGTAGAAGCGAGAACGTGACTACAGTCTGTAGTTCGTTTCTGTAGTACAGAAATCAAAACGCGAAACAAATTATAACCAAACATCATTCATCAGCAAGTTTGTGTTCACAGATATCAAACAGTTTTAAAAGTATTTTTGGGAATAATAAACTGTCTGACATCAATTCTTCATTATGTGGTCAATAATACATAATTTAGAAAACTTCTGTATTCATTAACTTACAATGTATACATGTAGGAACTACCGCATTATGATCTGGACCAAAATAATCTGGTACAATGATTTCCCGGGAACTCCCCAAAACTCAATAGAACCTGAAAATTCAATAAAAGTACAATTTAACTTCATGAATTCGATTTGTGTGTCTTATATGCAAGTTCCCATCTGTACTCTGGTGGATGTTAACTTTATTTTGAAACAATGAAAAAAAAAATATTTATAGCAATACAATAATCAAAACACGATAAAAAAATTATTCAACACAAAAATCGTGTTTAGATTAGAAAGTCTCTTCATTTTGAAACAATGAACAAAAATATAGCAATATACTAACCAAAAAACGATTGAAAAATTATTTAACACAAAGCCAATTAAAAGGGTGCGAAAGGACCCGCGATGCGTACTTGTAGGGTGCGAACATGTTTTTGCGCGAACAGACCCTGATTCAAGACATACCTTGTGCATTGTACCTTTGTAGTTTTGAATATTCTTATTGAAATAAATATCTGTGTTGAATAAAATTTACAAAATATAGATATTAAATATCTATCTTTTGAATAATTGTGTTTGCCATATTGTTATACAAGGAACTTGCATACAAGACAGACAAATCAAAATCCAGAAGTTAAAATATCTCAAATTTGTAGTCACAATTATCAATAAATTTGAATAAAAGCAGCGTTACACCGTATAAAATTAAGTTTTGGTTAATATCTACATGTATCAGTTCCCTGATTCATATTGAGTTTTTGGGAGATCTCTGAAATTCTGTTTAGCCAAAACAACCAAGCTTCATGTAGAACAGGTATTTGGTGAAAATTTCAGATGGCTGAAGTGGTACATTGTGTATGGACGGAAATTCTTGAAGATTACACCTTTGTATAGTCTCTTTTTTTCTAATCGAATTTAAGACATGTAATCCTAACCCACATATAAAAAAGTGCTAACTTTTTAGACATACATTGTCTTTAATGTATGGGTCAATATACCTAATGCGTCTCAAATTGAGGAACACAAAAGTTGTGGGAAAACAAAAAATCTCTGTGTAGTGGTATTGGACATGTTTCAATTTTTGACAAGGGACTGAGCTTAACTATTTGTGCTGATATGGAGAGCAGATGACCATAGAATAAAGGTGTAAAAACTGTGGAGTTATTAAATGTATGCAAAGAACTTATTGTGTAAAAAAAGGGATTTTTACCTCGAGAAGCCCCAGCACAAAAGACTTTTCGTGGTTTGCTAAATTATAGAAAAAAGGAATCTCACTTTGTACCCCTAAAATTTATAATAACCACATATGTGAAAATGTCTCGGCTTCAAAACGAGCCATCATACATATCCAAGTTTAAGATAAGAGCAGAGGAATTGAGGAAAAGGCTACCATAACTGCCTACCTGAAATGAATTGCGCATCTGTACCCATATATGTACAATGATTAATTTTAGGCAGGTTTACTGTGCGTATTGCTATGTGTTTCTTTATTCTACATTGGCTAGAGGGATAAGGGGAGGGTTGAGATCTCACAAAACATGTTTAACCCGCCGCATTTTTGCGCCTGTCCCAAGTCAGGAGCCTCTGGCCTTTGTTAGTCTTGTATGTTTTTAATTTTAGTTCATTTATATGTTTTGGAGTTTAGTTTGATGTCCATTTTCACTGAACTAGTACACAATTTTATTTAAGGGCCAGCTGAGGACCACCTCCGGGTGCAGGATTTTCTCGCTGCGTTGAAGACCCATTGGTGGCCTTCGGCTGTTGTCTCCTCTTTGGTCAGGTTGTTGTCTCTTTGACATATTCCCCATTTCCATTCTCAATTTTATTTAGGTGTTATCTTGAATTTGAACAGGGTGAACCAACACCTGAAGTGGTAATCGTGCGGTTGGGTAATAGTGGGTGGATACCGAAAGGTACTCACAGTTGACTTTCACTAGATAATTAAATAAAACAATAATAAAGACAACAACACCCATCAATTACCGCATGGTAAGAGTTTAATCTGGTCGACATGTTTCGCCAACAAGCGTGGCGTCTTCAGGACAATATAACATATGAAATCAAACAGTGAAGTACAAATTTTGCAGTTGTGTGGTTTGCCGAAAGTAACGTAACAATAGAGGTTGTTATGACGACATATGATTTCATATGTAATATTGTCCTGAAGACGCCACGCTTGTTGGCGAAACATGTCGACCACATTAAACTCTTACCATGCGGTAATTGATGGGTGTTGTTGTCTTTATTATTGTTTTAGGTGTTATCTATGAAAGAGGAAAAAGTCTGTATTAGACTATAAATAATTATATAAATACAGATTTTTGTAAAATTAAAACTACAGTAAGATGTACTGAGACATTAATAATTTTCACATTTTACAAATTAGGACATATTAATAAAATACAAAAAATCGCTATCATTTAAAAACAATCCAGTTTTACCTCCAATATGGCTGACAAGCCGTCACATAGTGATTAAATCCTACTCAAAGTATGTCCTATGGAAAAATATTTATACTGAAGATTTTCATATGAACAGGAATAATATTTCCTTGCTCACCCAATTTTGTCAATATAACGGAACTATAAACAACTGTCATACAAGTGGGAGGTTTAGTCAGCTATATATATTACAGGTTTAACCAACCATTTAAAAAAAAAATTCTTTGAAAAATGCCTGTACCAAGTCAGGAATATGACAATTGTTTTCCATTAGTTCCATTGGTTGATAAAGTTTAACATTTGATTTTGTAAGTTTTTGTGAACTCCTTTTTTGAATTTACCTTGGAGTTTGGTATTTTTTATTGTACTTTTTCTTTCCTTCAATTCTAATTTCTTTCAATATTATCAATAGGGGAAAATTTCCAATAGTCTAAAATATAAAATGTACATGTAGTTCCTTGTTAGTCAGCCATACTCCTCTTCAGTTTTCGAGGTAGAACAGTTTTATTTTGTAGAACAATATGAATTGATACAGACATACAATAAAAATATTGACAGAATTTTAATGTTTGTTCAATTTGTATCAAAATTCTAGTCTAACACTGGCAGTTGTTGATCTCAATATAGAAATAAGGATATGTGATATGTGATATAATTGCCAATAAGACAACTATCCACTCAGACCATTTTTTGGGAACATTTCTCTTATATTGAGTACATGGGTGTTTGTCAAATTCTTACAGTTTAATAAGTAGAATCTTCAGTATAGTTTGTAAGTTATATGATTTTGAAAAACATACATGTACATGTATTAACCCCGCCACATTCTTTATGTGACTGTTTCAAGTCAGGAGCCTGTAGTTCAGTGGTTGTCATGGTAGTCGTTGGTTCATGTCTGTCATATTTGTTTTTCGTTAATTGTTTTGTTATAAATTAGGCAGTTATAGTTTTCGCAATTGAATTGTTTCATATTTTTCATGTCGGCCTTTTATAGCCGACTATACGGTATGGGTTTTTCTCATTGTTGAAGGCTGTACAGTTGCCTATAATTGCTTACATCCACTTTATTTGAACTCTGGTGGATAGTTGTCTCATTGGCAATCATCATCTCCTTATTTTTATATTTCATCTAACAAGTGACATGTTGTTTTTTAATCTCTGGGATATTTTGTTTCAGGTGAATACAAAAACTCACCAGACTCCAAGATGGCTGGGATTGGAAATAGACTGATGGAATCAAAGATACATCCTAGTGGCAGAAACTTGCAGGCATTTGGAATGGAGGATTTCAGCTCTCCATCTCAGTTTGACACTGGGGGTGGAACAAATTCACGGATGATGACAAGAGATGAAATTGATGAACGCAGAGCCAGAACACAGGAAAGACTTACATTAGAGGATGTTAGATTTTCAGACATGAGGAAGAAAGTTCCTTTAATGGGAAGGGTCCCGTTAAGTAAAATGATGAATTCTGACCAGGAAGATAAAAGTTTTGAGAAGGTAGTTAACAAATATGAAGTTACAGAATGTACAGAAATGTTGTGTCTATGTCCATGAGGCACCATCCAAACAACAGAGAAAAAAAAAACATCAAGGGGCCAATAAAGAAAAGTAAATTGTCGCAGGTTAGGGGAGAGTTGGGTGCCCACAAACATGTTTTATCCTGCCAGCTGTCCTAAGTCAGGAGCCTGTAATTAGGCGCTTGTTTTTTGTAGATCATATTTATTTTTCCATTTTTTTTTTACATAAACAAGGCCACTAGAATGTTGTTTTTTTACACCAATAAGGCCACTAGAATGTTGTTTTTTTACACCAATAAGGCCACTAGAATGTTGTTTTTTACATAAATAAGGCCACTAGAATTGTTTCACATTTGTCATGTCATTGTATTGCTTTACTATGCGGTATGGGTTTTCTCATTAAGCTGTTTATTAAGTTTTTAAAAAGATTTAAGAAGCAGTCTTTTCTATTTTTTAGCAAAAGTTGGATCATATTGCTTTCATCAGACAAAACTTCATGCAGTTAGAATGTCAACTATTTGTTCCTGCACCAAATCAACAAAAAATAGAGAAAATAGAGGCGCTAAAGTATGTATTGGTGTGAAAGTGCATGAAATGATTATTAATTTTCATTAAATTATTATACACACATACAGACTTTCTAAAGATATGAAAAAAAATGATCAAAAGCATTGCTGTGTGGCAAATGAAATTATACTAAAAAATTATGGCAAAACAACAAATGTAGTCAACAGTCTGACTGTAGTAGTCCGAGATTACTCTGACGTCCAACGGCTGTTTTGCCAGACAAGCTGGGGCCGTGGGACGTCAGAGCTCGTCCCATATCAAAAAGTGGATATTTGCCCGTCCAAAATAGATGCGCTGCTTCGTCGCTTCTGATGCCAACGGACGGCCTTGGAATTATATAAATCAGGTATCAATTTGTTCATTTTTCATTTATCTCTTCATTTATGTAAGTTTCACCTACCTGCCACCCTTTATTTTCTCATATTCAGACAGTTTTCACAGTGACCCATCGATTCAGACATTTTTACTTTTATTTTCAAATGTTACGAGACATTTTGCGACCTCGAGACTCAAATATGCAAATATCTATACTTTTTTCACCTCCTTTATAGGAGATCGATATTTAACATTTAGTAGCCAACCACGATTTTTCACCTCCTTTACAGGAGATCGGTATTAAGCATTTAGTGCCAACCACGATAACATTCGAAAGCTCTCGGATATTTACATTGCTTGCATCGTAAATGAGCGAGGTGTTAGATTATATATTCATATTGACCTAGGGTCATATGCATACATCATTTTCCATAGTCCATTGTGCCTTACTTTTTTCTCGTGATCACATGACAATCTTTCAAAATGAAAGTCAAAATGCCAGAATCGGTGGGTCACTGTGAAAACTGTCTAAATATGAGAAAATAAAGGGTGACAGGTAGGTGAAACTTACATAAATGAAGAGATAAATGAAAAATGAACAAATTGATACCTGATTTATATAATTCCAAGGCCGTCCGTTGGCATCAGAAGCGACGAAGCAGCGCATCTATTTTGGACGGGCAAATATCCACTTTTTGATATGGGACGAGCTCTGACGTCCCACGGCCCCAGCTTGTCTGGCAAAACAGCCGTTGGACGTCAGAGTAATCTCGGACTAGACTGTAGATACACAAAAATTATGACAAAACATCAAATGTAGTCAACAGTCTGACTGCAGATATACAAAAATTATGACAAAACATCAAATGTAGTCAACAGTCTGACTGCAGATATACAAAAATTATGACAAAACATCAAATGTTGTCAACAGTCTGACTGCAGATACACAAAAATTATGACAAAACATCAAATGTAGTCTAACAGTCTGACTGCAGATACATACACAAAAATTATGACATAACATCAAATGTTGTCAACAGTCTGACTGCAGATATACAAAAGTTATGACAAAACATCAAATGTAGTCAACAGTCTGACTGCAGATACACAAAAATTGTGACAAAACATCAAATGTAGTCAACAGTCTGACTGCAGATACATACACAAAAATTATGACAAAACAACAAATGTAGTCAACAGTCTGACTGTAGGTACACAAAAATTATGACAAAACAAATGTAGACAACAGTCTGAATGCAGATACACAAAAATTATGACAAAACAACAAATGTAGTCAACAGTCTGACTGCAGATACACAACAATTATGACAAAACATCAAATGTAGTCAACAGTCTGACTGCAGATACATACACAAAAATTATGACAAAACAACAAATGTAGTCAACAGTCTGACTGCAGGTACACAAAAATTATGACAAAACAACAAATGTAGTCAACAGTCTGACTGCAGATACATACACAAATTATGACAAAACAACAAATGTAGTCAACAGTCTGTCTGCAGATACATACACAAAAATTATGACAAAACAACAAATGTAGTCAACAGTCTGACTGCAGGTACACAAAAATTATGACAAAACAACAAATGTAGTCAACAGTCTGACTGCAGATACACAACAATTATGACAAAACAACAAATGTAGACAACAGTCTGACTGCAGATACATACACAAAAATTATGACAAAACAACAAATGTAGACAACAGTCTGACTGCAGATACACAAAAATTATGACAAAACAACAAATGTAGACAACAGTCTGACTGCAGATTCACAAAAATTATGACAAAACAACAAATGTAGACAACAGTCTGATTGCTGATACACAAAAATTATGACAAAACAACAAATGAAGTCAACAGTCTGACTGCAGATACACAAAAATTATGACAAAACAACAAATGTAGACAACAGTCTGACTGCAGATTCACAAAAATTATGACAAAACAACAAATGTAGTCAACAGTCTGACTGCAGATACACAACAATTATGACCAAACAACAAATGTAGACAACAGTCTGATTGCTGATACACAAAAATTATGACAAAACAACAAATGAAGTCAACAGTCTGACTGCAGATACACAAAAATTATGACAAAACAACAAATGTAGACAACAGTCTGACTGCAGATTCACAAAAATTATGACAAAACAACAAATGTAGTCAACAGTCTGACTGCAGATACACAACAATTATGACAAAACAACAAATGTAGACAGCAGTCTGACTGCAGATACACAAAAATTATGACAAAACAACAAATGTAGTCAACAGTCTGACTGCAGATACACAACAATTATGACCAAACAACAAATGTAGACAACAGTCTGATTGCTGATACACAAAAATTATGACAAAACAACAAATGAAGTCAACAGTCTGACTGCAGATACACAACAATTATGACAAAACAACAAATGTAGACAACGGTCTGAATGCAGATAAAAAACAATTATCACAAAACAACAAATGTAGTCAACAGTCTGACTGCAGATACACAACAATTATGACAAAACAACAAATGTAGACAACAGTCTGACTGCAGATACACAAAAATTATGACAAAACAACAAATGTAGTCAACAGTCTGACTGCAGATACATACACAAAAATTATGACAAAACAACAAATGTTGTCAACAGTCTGACTGCAGATGCACACAAATTATGACAAAACATCAAATGTAGTCAACAGTCTGACTGCAGATACATACACAAAAATTATGACAAAACAACAGATGTTGTCAACAGTTTGACTGCAGATGCACACAAATTATGACAAAACATCAAATGTAGTCAACAGTCTGACTGCAGATACATACACAAATATTATGACAAAACAACAAATGTAGTCAACAGTCTGAATGCAGATACACAAAAATTATGACAAAACAACAAATGTAGTCAACAGTCTGACTGTAGATACACAAAAATTATGACATAACATCAAATGTTGTCAACAGTCTGAATGCAGATACACAAAAATTATGACAAAACAACAAATGTAGTCAACAGTCTGACTGCAGATACACAAACATTATGACAAAACAACAAATGTAGACAACAGTCTGAATGCAGATACACAACAATTATGACAAAACAACAAATGTAGTCAACAGTCTGACTGCAGATACACAAAAATAATGACAAAACAACAAATGTAGACATCAGTCTGACTGCAGATACACAAAAATTATGACAAAACAACAAATGTAGACAACAGTCTGACTGCAGATACACAACAATTATGACAAAACAACAAATGTAGACAACAGTCTGAATGCAGATACACAACAATTATAACAAAACAACAAATGTAGTCAACAGTCTGACTGCAGATACACAAAAATTATGACAAAACAACAAATGTAGTCAACAGTCTGAATGCAGATACACAACAATTATGACAAAACAACAAATGTAGTCAACAGTCTGACTGCAGATACACAAAAATTATGACAAAACAACAAATGTAGACAACAGTCTGAATGCAGATACACAACAATTATGACAAAACAACAAATGTAGTCAACAGTCTGACTGCAGATACACAACAATTATGACAAAACAACAAATGTAGTCAACAGTCTGACTGCAGATACACAAACATTATGACAAAACAACAAATGTAGACAACAGTCTGACTGCAGATACACAACAATTATGACCAAACAACAAATGAAGTCAACAGTCTGACTGCAGATACACAACAATTATGACAAAACAACAAATGTTGTCAACAGTTTGACTGCAGATACACAACAATTATGACAAAACATCAAATGTAGACAACAGTCTGACTGCAGATACACAAAAATTATGATAAAACAACAAATGTTGTCAACAGTCTGACTGCAGATGCACACAAATTATGACAAAACATCAAATGTAGTCAACAGTCTGACTGCAGATATACAAAAGTTATGACAAAACATCAAATGTTGTCAACAGTCTGACTGCAGATACATACACAAAAATTATGACAAAACAACAGATGTTGTCAACAGTTTGACTGCAGATGCACACATATTATGACAAAACATCAAATGTAGTCAACAGTCTGACTGCAGATACATACACAAATATTATGACAAAACAACAAATGTAGTCAACAGTCTGAATGCAGATACACAAAAATTATGACATAACATCAAATGTTGTCAACAGTCTGAATGCAGATACACAAAAATTATGACAAAACAACAAATGTAGTCAACAGTCTGACTGCAGGTACACAAAAATAATGACAAAACAACAAATGTAGACATCAGTCTGACTGCAGATACACAAAAATTATGACAAAACAACAAATGTAGACAACAGTCTGACTGCAGATACACAACAATTATGACAAAACAACAAATGTAGACAACAGTCTGAATGCAGATACACAACAATTATGACAAAACAACAAATGTAGTCAACAGTCTGACTGGCAGATACACAAAAATTATGACAAAACAACAAATGTAGTCAACAGTCTGAATGCAGATACACAACAATTATGACAAAACAACAAATGTAGTCAACAGTCTGACTGGCAGATACACAAAAATTATGACAAAACAACAAATGTAGACAACAGTCTGAATGCAGATACACAACAATTATGACAAAACAACAAATGAAGTCAACAGTCTGACTGCAGATACACAACAATTATGACAAAACAACAAATGTAGTCAACAGTCTGACTGCAGATACACAAACATTATGACAAAACAACAAATGTAGACAACAGTCTGACTGCAGATACACAACAATTATGACCAAACAACAAATGAAGTCAACAGTCTGACTGCAGATACACAACAATTATGACAAAACAACAAATGTTGTCAACAGTTTGACTGCAGATACACAACAATTATGACAAAACATCAAATGTAGACAACAGTCTGACTGCAGATACACAAAAATTATGATAAAACAACAAATGTTGTCAACAGTCTGACTGTAGATGCACACAAATTATGACAAAACATCAAATGTAGTCAACAGTCTGACTGCAGATATACAAAAGTTATGACAAAACATCAAATGTTGTCAACAGCTGACTGCAGGTACACAAAAATTATGACAAAACAACAAATGTTGTCAACAGTCTGACTGCAGGTACACAAAAATTATGACAAAACAACAAATGTAGACAACAGTCTGACTGCAGATACACAACAATTATGACAAAACAACAAATGTAGACAACAGTCTGACTGCAGATATACAAAAATTATGACAAAACATCAAATGTAGTCAACAGTCTGACTGCAGATACATACACAAAAATTATGACAAAACAACAAATGTTGTCAACAGTCTGACTGCAGATGCACACAAATTATGACAAAACATCAAATGTAGTCAACAGTCTGACTGCAGATACATACACAAAAATTATGACAAAACAACAAATGTAGTCAACAGTCTGAATGCAGATACACAAAAATTATGACAAAACAACAAATGTTGTCAACAGTCTGACTGCAGATACACAAAAAAATACGACAAAACAACCAATGTTTGACCAGATTAAAAGTATATTTTTTTAAAATCTGAAATTGTTTTATTTTATAGATGTCACTGTGGAGAAGTTTTAAAAAATCATGTTCCACATGAATTTACACCAATAGGAAAACGTAACTTTGGAAACTTAATTCCAGCTGGTATGTTTAACATATTTAAGGACTTTTAACATATTGAAAGCCTCATTTCTTTTTACTACAAAATGGTAACCCACAGATTTATTATTAATTATTTTGAATAGATATTTATAAACACAGGTATAGATATTTATAAACACAAGAATAGACATGTGCGTTAGCCGTAGCTAAGTTTACTTCTAAACGCCTGGGCATACACATGAACGTAGAAGAAAAAATAATGTAATCTAGATAAATTAAAAGAACTGGTTAAAAGAACATGAATCTTGTAATTCTTTCTTCAATGACTTGTTATTGAAGGTAAAAGGGACGAAATTCTCTTTTTAATCAAATGGTATCATGTCATATATTATATATTTGTTTATTTTCTGTCAAAGTCTGAATCTACTGTGAATTCTACTGAGTTTCCTGTTGTTTCAAGCAATTCATATCTGCTGAGATACGATATGTGGTTTGCATTTTAGTCGCGCCTGCAACATTTATGTTCAGTCTGGTCTGTGGTTAAAGTTTTTTTTTCAAACATCAATAACTTTGTCAGAACTTCATGGAATTTAACGGAAGTTGGACAGAAGCTTTTTATGACCAAATCAAAGGCAGTATTCCGAGCAAAATTTTTAAAATATTGCTTTTTTTATTTTTTTACAGTTATTATTTAGAGACAGTCTATGGTTAAAGTTTTTCACACATCAACAACTTTGTCAAACCTTCATGGAATTTTACGGAAAGTGAACACAATCTTTGTTATGATCAAAAGTCACTTTTCAGAACATATTGAAAATATATTTTTAATTTGTCCCTATTTTACTGATTAAAGGACTTTGTTGTTTTGTAGATACAGCCTGAGGTAAAAGTTTGTTACACATCAATTACCTTGTCAAACCTTCGTCGAGTCGAGTTTCATGAAAATTTGCCTAACTTTTTTTATGATTACAAGATAATGTCTGAAGCAAAATTTTGAAAGTATTTTTTTTTTCATTTTTCAGAATTTTCCCTTCATAGGTATATGAAACTTGGAAATAAGCTAATCTTCAAGATTAAGAAAAAACATTAAAATTTTTTTTTTTCTTAAATCCTGTATTTGACTGTCAGATACATGGATTTACTTTTTACAGTCAACATTACACTTTTACACTGACAGCTACAATCCCAGGCGAGACACAGGGTTCCACGGAACTCTTTGCAAATTCTTGTATTTTACTGGCCATATATAAAAAAAAATTCGTAAGGGTTCCGCGGAACCCAGTGTCTCGCCTACTTTTGCTGTTAATCGCAGGCTCAACAAAAATGAGGAAAAAAATTAATAAAAATATTCCTCTCTATACTATCTTTTGATTGTAAGTAACTTCTGTCCAAGTTTGGTAAAAATCCAGGATAGATTATGAATCTAATAAATTTAAAAAAAACTTAAACTGCAGACTGTATGTAATGTTAACTGGAAGAAAAACTAAGTCCATTTATAAGTAAAATATGGAAAAAATGGAACAAAATTTTAACAAAATTTCCTTCTAGATACTAGCTTTTAATCATAAACAAGCTTCTGTCCAAGTTTGGTACAAATCCAAGATACTTTAAGAAAGTTTTTAAAATTTTAAAAACTTTTTCCACAGAGTGAATGTAATGTTAACTGGCAGAAAAACTAAGTCCATTTATAAGTAAAATACTGAAAAAATGATTATTTTTTTACAAAATTTACTTCTGGATACTATCTTATGATCATAAACAAGCTTCTTTCCAAGTTTGGTAGAAATCCAGGTTAGTTTAAGAAAGTTGTTAAAATTTTAAAAACTTTAACCACAGAGTGAATGTAATGTTAACTGGCAGAAAAACTAAGTCCATTTATAAGTAAAATACTGAAAAAAAGATTTTTTTTTTTACAAAATTTACTTCTGGATACTATCTTATGATCATAAACAAGCTTCTTTCCAAGTTTGGTAGAAATCCAGGATAGTTTAAGAAAGTTATTAAAATTTCAAAAACTTTAACCACAGAGTGAATGTAATGTTTCCTGGCAGAAAAACTAAGTCCATTTATAAGTAAAATACAGAAAAAATGGATTTTTTTTTTTACAAAATTTACTTTTGAATATTATCTTATGATCATAAACAAGCTTCTGTCCAAGTTTGGTAGAAATCCCGGGTAGTTTAAGAAAGTTATTAAAATTTCAAAAACTTTAACCACAGAGTGAATATTTGTGGACGCCGCCGACGACGACGCCGACGGAATGTAGGATCGCTATGTCTCGCTTTTTCGACAAAAGTCGAAGGCTCGACAATCATTATTTCATGTGTTCATTAACGGAATTTGCGCATAAAAATGGGAGAAATTTAGATGAAGTCAAAATAATTAATATAACGACAACATTGAAATGAAAAATTGCTTGTTTCCTATCTCTAAAGCTTTGGATTTATTGTTGATTGATTGCTCTACCCCACATCTCTATTATAACATATTTTACAGTAACTGGTTGTGACATTTTTCTCTAAGACCAGTGATCATTAGTTTCCAAATTAACACAATGAATATTTTAAAAATAAAATAAACAAATTAAACTCTAAAGTATGTTGCTATTGATGAGTTTTTAATGACAGAAATGGTTACTCTTTCTCGATAACGTGTGAGCTTCCGGGAACTTTTCCATCCTCGAACCTCCTACCAGATGGTCCTCTGTCCTGGACTTGCTGAGGGCCTGTAGGTCCCTCGCCAAGGTTCTGGCATACACTTAAAAATGGCCTAGCTATGCCACTGATAGATATTTATGAAAATGGGAATATATATTTATGAACACAGGAATAGATATTTATGAACACAGGAATAGATATTTATGAACTCAGGAATAGATATTTATGAACACAGGAATAGATATTTATGAACACAGGAATAGATATTTATGAACTCAGGAATAGATATTTATGAGCACAGGAATAGATATTTATGAACACAGGAATAGACATTTATGAACACAGGAATAGATATTTATGAACACAAGAATAGACATATGAACACAGGAATGGATAGTGGTTGGGGATTGGATACACTCAGATTAATTAATTGTGGGTTGTTGCATTTTCCTTAGAAAATCCTTTTGTAAGAATTGTATGTTAAATCAGAATTTTATATTATGTGTTCCAAAAAAAAGTGCCTCCCATTACCCCCATGTGTTTAATTCTGGAACAGCCCTAAATGAAAGGGACAAAATATCACTTCATTTTAAGCTTGGAACATAAACTTCAAACAGTACCAACTATGAATATCTTTTAATTATCCAATGTAATTTATTGAAAGGAACACAAAGAAAATAAGAAAATTGAAATTTTCGGATAAACAAATGGAGTGTTAGTTCTTAAAATCGAAAATTCATGAGTTTCCAATTTTACATGTTTGTGTACCAAAGAAAGTAACCAATTTTTATAGTGTTTTATAGATATTTAGGTATGTGGCAGAATGTGGTTAATGCTGGATTACCCCATTCATTCAAAAAAAAAGGGAAATGCTGGTTTTAACAACCAAAAGTATTGATGAAGAATTTCAGTAAAACTCAAAATTAACACCAAATAAAAAAAAATGATATTGATTATTACATGTATGCTTACAGTAGAATGTTTAATGTGTTTTATAGATTTAAAGCCATTTATTGATCCTAACAACCTTGGATCTAAACCACCTGAAAAGTTCCCGCCGGTGGAATGGAAAGCTGAGAAGGCTATAAAAGTAAAATATACAACATCGTTTGGCAAAATCAAATTTACTGGTATGGAACAAGTTGGTGGCATGAAACCTGCAAAGGTATGTTAACTTAGGAAAACTCCATTACAAATAAGAAAAGGACGATGTAGTGTTAAAGGTAACACGATAGCAATATCACTTCACTAATGAACAAAAATAGACATCTTTTAATTGTTCAGTATTTTCAAGTGCACTTTTAATTTTTTTTTTTATACCCTCACATATTGTAAAATTTGATACATGTAATAATAAATACATGGCACAAAGAGCAGAGGATTTAATAGGAAAAGATAAGTAAATGATGCAAATGTAATAAATTCCCACTCTAGGAGTTGCTATATTGGATTCATCATGTCTTTCTGCTAGGCTGTCCATTCTTCTAACAAATATTTTCATGAAACTTTCTCGGGTACTTCAAAACAAAATGACTTCATAATTGGTCAGGGGTTTGGGAGTTATTAGTTGCAATGTGCGAGATCTTTTCGAATCTGTCAAACACCTATATAGCTACTTCCTGTATGACAATACTTTGAATTTTTCAATATCTATAATGAGCTTGATATATTCATTGCACATTTCTCAAGTACTTCTAAACCGATTAATTCCATTTGTGTTCAGCAGCTTGGATGACTAGTAACGTGTTAGCATTTTTTGGATCTGTCAGACACCTACTTCCTGTACTCCCATACTTGGAATTATGCTTAGAATAACAAATAGGGCAACTTCTTGTTCATGATATGCAAATGATGCAAGAAACCTAAAATCTTGTTCATGATATGCAAATGATGCAAGAAACCTAAATAAATAAAGAACCAAAATTCATTTTTCAAAAGGATATCTGAAGAAAAAATTGGTTATTGAAATGGTGAAGTATGTCATGCAGCTACCAACAGTTTCCGTACAATAACCAATGAACCGTTAAACTAATGATTTTCAATGTTGTAACTGATGACAAAATGGAGGTCGAGGTCAATATTGAAGTTTTTCACTTTTACTGTTCAGGAGTTATGGCCCTTGATATATTGGAAATTAGGCACTTAATAGTGTATCCATGCAGTAACTTATGAAGGGTTCAAACAATGGTTTTCAAATGTTAATTTGTTGTTACTGATGACAAAATGGAGGTCAAACTATGTATTGACAATCATGACAATTTTCACTTTTGCCAATTAGGGAAATAGGCACAGAAAGTGGCAGCTGGTCAAACAAGCCTGAATATACCTTGAAAATACCGAAAACCTGATTTGACAATTTTCTTGTTCCATACTACAGGGCTGGATATTTGTAGGTGTGGTTTTCTGGAATCCTGATTATTTCTTTTTTTTAATTATTTAAAATACATGTATGAGTATGAATATTCATACATTTGCATTAAAAATTTTATAAACCTAAAACTGATAAAAGTAATTCCAATTTAAATTTCATTTCCCTTCTTAAATTATGTTACACCATTTTAGCATAATTAATTACCCCTTGACCAATCAGAAAGTTCAAAAAAATGGCTTTCTGTCATGTGACACCATTTCTTAATTAATCCATCGAAAATTTGTGTTCTTTCCAGTACTTACGTTTAAAAGATGAAGAACAACCAGATTCAGTTGGCCTGGCTATTAAGCTGATGAAAGACCACTGGAGAATAATGGAACCAAATACGCCTAGTCTGATCATATCTGTTGTTGGTGGTGCTAAAAACTTCAAGCTTAATGGTAAAATGAGGGAAACTTTCCAGTCTGGTCTAATTAAAGTAAGTATAGTGGTCTGCTGTAAAATGACGGAAACCTTACCAGTCTAGTCTTATTTAAGTAAGTAAGGTGGTCTGTTGTAAAATGACAGAAACATTCCAGTCTGATCTGATTAAGGTAACTTTGAATGGGCTGTTGTAAAATGAGGGAAACATTGCAGTTGATCTTCAGGAGGTCTGTTACAAATGAGGGAAGCATTCCAGTTTGATCTTTGAGTGGTCTGTTATAATGAGGGAAGCATTCCAGTTTGATCTTATAAGGGTAACTTTAAATGGTCTGTTGTAAAACGAGGGATGCATTCCAGCCTAATCATTTTTCTAATCTTTGAATGGTCTGTTGTAAAACGAGGACAGCATTCCAGCCTAATAATTGATTGGTCTGTTGTAAAATGAGGGAATCATTCCAGTTTGATCTTTGAAAGGTCTGTTGTAAAATGAGGGAATCATTCCAGTTTGATCTTTGAAAGGTTTGTTGTAAAATGAGGGAAGCCTTCCAGTTTGATCTTTGAGTGGTCTGTTATAAACGAGGGAAGCATTTCAGTTTGATCTTTGAGTGGTCTGTTATAAATGAGGGAAGCATTCTAGTTTGATCTTATTAAGGTAACTTTAAATGGTCTGTTGTAAAATGAGGGAAGCATTCCAGCTTAATCTTTGAGTGGTCTGTTGTAAAATTAGGGTAGCATTCCTGTTTGATCTTTGAAAAGTCTGTGGTAAAATAAGGGAAGCATTCCAATTTGATTTATAAATTCAGTCAATATTTTGGTGATATCTTAGGTCAGACAAGAGACTGGTCAAAACTCTATTGTATGCTTGCTGCTAATTCACAGGATATGTCTCATCACATATATTTCAACAGGAGTAACACTATTGTCAATCAGGGCTTCCAAAAAATATTTGAGCCAGCCGGACATTTTTTTTTTTGTCTTGTCCCGATTTTAATCCCTTAAGACTTAGTAACAAAAGGCAACCATAGTAATCAGTTGGGCATCATATAAATTATGATTGACACAAAAACGATATTTAACTTGATTTTTTATATAAGTTTGATGTTCTGGGGATAACTGTTAAATTGACAGTGCACCATTCGAAGTGTGCAACATCAGCGGACTAATATCTGCCTTAGACTCTTTATTTGTGCAAAATTACGCTGTCAATAACTTCACTTTCGGTTTTAAAAAGTACATTTTCCTAATACTGGATGTTGACTTGACAATGGTAAAACATGGACCAGAGACAGATACAAAGAATCTGTGTACGTCTTTACAAAGTACGATTGAGTTTAAGTAGCTCTTTCCGCGTTATTTCTTCAGGAAAATACTTGAAATGAACGTTAGATAAAGGTACCAATGATATTTTTAGCATTTTTGAAAATTCGGATGAATAACTGAATCTCACCTCACGAGGGTACTAGTTCAAACAACGTGGTTCTGACGATTTTTCCCTTAAAACCTTTATTACTACCTTTTTAAATTTTCATCAAATCATATTTAAATACGTTTTCTGATAATCTAAATCTTATTGACTAAATTCATTAGATGCAAACCTCTGAAATTTAAGAAAATAACTTTAAATAGACCGATCAATGTCAGGTACAAAATAGTTTACGTGTCATCTGAACAGGTAAATTTCAGCTGTCAGAGAACTAATTAACCTTTATTGTAATGAGAGGGTATTAAAGTAGGGTTTGTTTTGATAGTAATTATTCATCATGTCACTTAAATGACCAGAAATGTGTGGCTGTTTAAGACAAAAGGTCAGGTCAAAAAGATCGCAAAAACTTCAACTTTTTTTCTGAAGTATGTAAAATGTCCCTTTCAGCCTCGGCACAACAAGACATTTATATAATTTACCGGATTTGTTCGAACAATACGACTGTTTTGGAAGCCCTACTGTCAATAGTCATTGTTGAACCTTTTTGGTAGGCTAATGTTGCAAAATCTTAAATTTTACGTGTAGTGTTGTGTTTTGTGTGCTGTTGGTTATAAAAATGAGATGAAATATGATTGATAATGAGACATCTATCCACCAGAGACCAGAGGACAAGGATGTAAGCAACTATAGGTCACTGTACTGTACGGCCTTCAACAATGAGACATCTATCCACCAGAGACCAAAGGACATGGATGTAAGCAACTATAGATCACTGTACTGTACGGCCTTCAACAATGAGACATCTATCCACCAGAGACCAGAGGACATGGATGTAAGCAACTATAGGTCACTGTACTGTACGGCCTTCAACAATGAGACATCTATCCACCAGAGACCAAAGGACAAGGATGTAAGCAACTATAGGTCACTGTACTGTACGACCTTCAACAATGAGACATCTATCCACCAGAGACCAGAGGACATGGATGTAAGCAACTATAGGTCACTGTACTGTACGGCCTTCAACAATGAGACATCTATCCACCAGAGACCAAAGGACAAGGATGTAAGCAACTATAGGTCACTGTACTGTACGGCCTTCAACAATGAGACATCTATCCACCAGAGACCAAAGGACAAGGATGTAAACAACTATAGGTCACTGTACTGTACGGCCTTCAACAATGAGACATCTATCCACCAGAGACCAAAGGACAAGGATGTAAGCAACTATAGGTCACTGTACTGTACGGCCTTCAACAATGAGACATCTATCCACCAGAGACCAGAGGACATGGATGTAAGCAACTATAGGTCACTGTACTGTACGGCCTTCAACAATGAGACATCTATCCACCAGAGACCAAAGGACAAGGATGTAAGCAACTATAGGTCACTGTACTGTACGGCCTTCAACAATGAGACATCTATCCACCAGAGACCAAAGGACAAGGATGTAAGCAACTATAGGTCACTGTACTGTACGGCCTTCAACAATGAGACATCTATCCACCAGAGACCAAAGGACAAGGATGTAAGCAACTATAGGTCACTGTACTGTACGGCCTTCAACAATGAGACATCTATCCACCAGAGGCCAGAGGACAAGGATGTAAGCAACTATAGGTCACTGTACTGTACGGCCTTCAACAATGAGACATCTATCCACCAGAGACCAAAGGACAAGGATGTAAGCAACTATAGGTCACTGTACTGTACGACCTTCAACAATGAGACATCTATCCACTAGAGACCAAAGGACAAGGATGTAAGCAACTATAGGTCACTGTACTGTACGGCCTTCAACAATGAGACATCTATCCACCAGAGACCAAAGGACAAGGATGTAAGCAACTATAGGTCACTGTACGGCCTTCAACAATGAGACATCTATCCACCAGAGACCAAAGGACAAGGATGTAAGCAACTATAGGTCACTGTACGGCCTTCAACAATGAGACATCTATCCACCAGAGACCAAAGGATAAGGATGTAAGCAACTATAGGTCACTGTACAACCTTGAAAAATCATCAAAACCCATAGTGATAAGAAGCTAGCTGTAAAAGACCCCCACATGAGAAAATGTTAAACAATATTAAAGAGAAAAACGGTGGCCTAATTTATGCTAAAAACAAAAACAGAAAAACAAAAATGACATACAGCAACCAACTACAATCACTGAATAACAGGACCATGACTTGTGACAGCCATTAAAAGAATGTGTCAAGGTTAAACATGTGTGAAAGCTCAACCCTCCTCCTTACCTGGGAAAGTGATATAAAACTGCAACAAAAAAACAAACTGAAAAACAATGATCAGTTAACAGCTTCAAGTGTTTGTAAATTTTTGTATTATTTTCTGTACCTTGTTTAGATAGTCTCGATTTTATATTTAGCTAAAAAATATATAGAATAACTGATTCCAAGAATTTTAATGTAAAAAAATGTTCTACAAGTGACCAAATAAACATATTAATTCAAGAATACCTAATAATTTTATTTCATTATCTTTTTTGTCTTCAAATGTAAATATAGAAGAAAATACAAAGAACTATATTTCTTAAACCTGTACTCACTTCATTTGAATTCAACTTCATGGACAACGGCTTGACAATACTGATTGTTGTTTGACGTTAGAGGAGGTCAAATGGAGGATTTATTTCTTATGTGAGACACCAGTTTTATTTGACTGTAATTAAGAAAATCATGGTTTTTCATTTTAACCAATGTAATGAATGCTTTATATTTTATTTAACAGGCTTCTCAGACAACAAATGCCTGGCTGATAACCTCAGGATTCAATATGGGAGTAATGAAGGAAGTAGGATTAGCAGTGAGAGAAGGCCAGTCATTCGAATGGTATAAAGACAGATTTGCCCATGTTCTACGTTGTATTGGAATAGCTCCATGGGGATATGTTAAAAATAGACATGTCTTGACAGACCACAATATCAATGTACAGGTAAGTTTTGTAGTTTTTTCACAATTGAAAAATATTCTTAATGAAAGTTTGTTATGTGTAAATGCTGACAGAAGAAATAGCTTTAAATTTGAAAAAGGAATGCATGCATGGATTGCTTGCTTTTTCATTGAAGTTTTTTTCTAATCAGATGATATGGTTAAAGTGACATACCAGTCTGTGTTAGGCACAAGCTTTAATTTTAGAATTAAAATATTGTTTTAGGAAAACACACAGGGTCTGCCAAAAAGACTAGGTTATGACAAGAGAGGACATTCCCTTATATTTGAGGTATATGAGTTGTGTGTGAGGCTTCATATATTTCTGCTTGTAGCGTTTCATGTTACAAAATAAAAATTCTTGCTTTTAAATGAAAATATAGCAGCCTCTGTTAATATAGATATTGAAATCTTGCTTATTATATGAGCTTAATTAGAGCAAAATATTCTTTTCTTTTTTCTTTCAATACTGAATTTCATATTGCCTCTTATAAACATTGCTAAAAGTTCACTTTTCTGGTACTGGTGAATTTGAGGACATTTTAATGACCCCTCAACAAAGTTGTCTAGGCCATATAGTTTTACCCTTATCCGTCATTCAATCATTCTGCAACAAACAGTTATACAGACTTTTTTTCTAAACGCCTTCACATATTGAGCTGATTTTTATAATGTGAGTCTACTATGATGAGTTACATATCGAGTTTATGTTTGGTTCTGCTCTGCTGATTTTTGATGAAATTACGGGCTTTGGACTTTGAAAATTTCATAAAAATAACAGTTAATCAGATTTTTTTCTAATCGCCTTCACATATTGAGCTGATTTTTTGTATGTGAGTCCACTATTATGAGTTACAGATCGAGTTAAGGTTGGTTCCGCTCTGCTGATTTTTACCAAAATAACAGGCTTTGGACTTTGAAAATTTCATGAAAATAGCAGTTAGACAGACATTTTTTCGAAACCCCTTCACAGATTGAGCTGATTTTTATTATGCCAGTCTACTATGATGAGTTACAGATCGAGTTTACTTTGGTTCCATACCACTGATTTTTGCGGAAACAACATGTTTTGCATTTTGAACATTTTGTGAAAATAACAGTTATACAAACTTTTTTTCTAAATGCCTTCACATATTGAGTTGATTATTAATATGTGAGTCTACTATGATGAGTTACAGATTGAGTTTAAGTTTGGTTCCACTCCATTAATTTTTTATGAAATTACGGGCTTTTGACTTTGAATTTTTTGAAAATAACAGTTATACAGACTTTCATTCTCAAATTTCCACTCCAGAAAATGGCTTCAAGCATTTTTTGCGAGTGGGGCCTTTCATGTCATTCTAGGTTTTAAAAGACTTGAGTTGATATTTCAGAGGTTAAAAGACCTAGACAATTCATGTTTTGCACGTACTAGTTTTATTATCTTAAATTAGGTCAGATGTTTGTAACCTCAGGGTTTTTTTTTCTAGATGTAAAAGTTATTCCTTGTGTTTAATTTTTGCTATTCTTGCAGTAGGCATTTAACCTTGAAATTTTACCTACTCAACCAAAAACAGCAATCTAATTAAAGGTTCCTGACTTGGGACATGCACATATAGAATTTGACAGGGTAAAACATGTTTGTGAGCACTTAACCCTCCGCCTAACCTAGGACAGTGATGTTGCAGCACAAAATAAGATTAAATAGTAAAAGTCAGTTGGAAATAGATTGGCACAAAACTAAAAAAATACAATGAATATAAAGACAAAAGACAGTACCCTTGATTCTTAGTTTTTATTCATTTTCTTGACTTTTAATGGGTTAATGAAATTTGGACATCAGTAAACTACTGTTACATTTAATTAATTAGCTTTGTGTCCTGAATGAATGAGGATCCACTTTTAATTTTCATGATACCAAATGATAACCTAATTGAGATCCATTTTTATTTGGAAATCCGAATAAAAATAATGTCAACTTATGATATTATTTTTCTTATAAATGCTGAATATAAATTATTTCAATTGAACAATCCTTCAATAGAAGTTATATTTTAAAAAATGGATTGAATTATAAATGCAGTGGTCTGTTAAATGGCCGACTAACAATAACGTTAAAGCATATGAAAGTTAAGTGTTTTGTATACAGGTAATACATAGAATCTTACTATTTAACATACATTAACAGGAAGTTAAAAAACTGGAAGTGGCAAAAACGTTTGCTTTCTTTCATATCTTGCCTAAAGCAATGTGATTCCATAGTCCTTCATCAACATACAGATTTAGTTTATTTTCACAAACATTTCAAGATAATTTTTTATATACTTCATAATCAAAAGATAGCTCTTCAGATTTTTTCTTATTCATTTTTCTGTCTTTCACTTAACAATAGTTTTTTGGAAGGTGACATGATATGTTTACACTGACAGCAGCAGTTGAATACCAACCCTTTTGTAGAACCCCTTACAATTATTTTAAATATGAAACTGCTGTTTAAGTGCATTTGCACTTTGATTCTAATATATTAAGCCAAATTAATAACACCCATATATAGTACTGTAAATTCAGAAATTATTGCAAGGTTTTTATTAATGTGAGTAATGTGACTAGGTGGGTATCGCAATAATAACTTGCATTCTGATATCTGATACATTGATCTCTATGCAGACTTTTTGCAGTAATTAGAATCACATTATTGTTTATTCTTCAAAAATCGCAATAATAAATGCATGCAAAAAATTTTGAATTTACAGTAACTAATTGATAAAACAATTTCTACATTGTTTGTAAGATTATAATGGAAGAATGACACTATTAATACAGATATATTTTCACTACTGTTATGCATATTCTTGAAATTAGTATTTGATAAGTGATTCCACATACTGTGGATTAATTATTATTCGTGGATTGCCAATTTTCATGGATAATGTGGGTACATAAGCATGGTAAACCAAGAATTAGAATTTTCAACAAAGAATTAATATTTTATATAAGCTTGTATGCAGACTTTGGCAGATCTGCAAAATCAAATATCCAAGAAAATACATTTTTTTACTCAATCCACAAAAATTGGTTCCAAGGAGAACTAAACAGGATTCCATAGGAGTTTGAACAAAATTTTAATGTCATTACAAGTCAATATATGTTGTTTTTACTGTTTTCCTCCATAGCTTAGGATTTAAAATAATAAGAAAATAAGACATTTTTTAAACAATCAAAAGTTAAAAAAAAGGAGCTATTAAATATTCATGTCATTTCATATTTTTAAGACAAACACAACATGATTCTTCCAATATTTTTTAGTAAAAGTAACCACTTTAACAGAAATGGGAGAGGAAATCAATTGCTTATAAAATTATAATTACTGAATAATACATAGTCTTATTTATTTACTACAATAGGACCATCGGGTGACATGTACAGTCAAGATGGTAAGACAATGTATTATCAGTCAAATCCTAGACAATTATATTGTAATATGGCATGGTTTCCAATAATTGATATGTCCATGTAGAATTTGCCTCCTATTTGCATATTATATCAAATATTGTAACAGAAAACTTGTTTATTAGTAGTTTATGGTTCATTGGTATGGTTTGCTTTTGATAGTGGCACATTAAAATTGTCCAATTTCTTATGGCTTCTAGTGCATATTTGATAGTTGCATATATTTAGATAACTGCTGTCTCTTTCTTCAGTTTACCGAAATAAATTGGAAATGTTATTATATAAATTAAGTTTACTGGAGCATTACTTCAGAACTTATTATCATGATGTGTTTGTCTTATTTAAATTTGAATATCGTGAATAAGAAATTTACATAAATTATCCTTTAACATTAATATTTTGTACTTGTTGCATGCATGTGTACTTATTTTCACAAATTAGTTATTATCGATGAAATTCATGTAACTATTTAATTTCCCTTAAAACATATCAGCATATATTAAATAAGAATCTTTAAAATCAGATTGTGAATACTTTCATAAAACTTTGAAATTTTCACAAAGTCTTTATTTGTTTTATTCAAACGAAAAATGACAACAATCTGACATTGCAAGATGAAATTAGATCACTTAATTAAACCACTTCACCTTTCATGAAAAATTTCTCATCAATCTGAATATAGCCATCGAAAAAGAAAAATGATACCAACTCTTCAGATCCATGCAACCACATGGTGGTCTATTGGTAATGTTATCATCTCGAGTGTGGGATGTCGTTGGTTCGAACACCTGCGGGTCAAACCTAACAGTTTGAAATTGATATTTGCAGCTTCTCCGCTAAGCACTCAACATTAAGAAGTAAGAGAAAAGACTCATCGACTCTGAGTCAGAATAATGTGTCCAGGTAGGGTGAAAGGTCTTTCTATGGACTGTTACCTTAACAAACCAGAACTTTCTGATATTTCGTATCAAGCTCGGAGCATGTTTGACTGTGTGATACAGTTTCAGATTCATCACTCAGGTCATAATCTTGCCGGCGAAATGACGATTTAAGTCGCCAAAGAATTTTGAAAATCGCTAAATCTCGCCGGCCGACTGACTTCATAGCGAAGTCAAATTGCTATCAAAATCGGTAAAAGGGAGACAACTTGTGATTGACAAGTCTCACAGGTAAAAAAAATGGCGGCTGACAAGGAAAATCGAGATTTTTGAAACAACTCAGGACTAATAATGTCAACGATCAAATGAAAAAAATACAACGGCGACTTTGAACATCCTCGGATATAACTTTCAAAACTGTTCAAACGGAAAACTGACAGTCTGTTGAAGTTATCATTTTACGATAATTTTCATCTGAGGATGTTGCGTAATCACTCAGCTGATTTGTTTTATTTTTACAACTTACACGAGTCGATCAATTTTACTATTCGGTAGGTAAAAGGTTGGAATTAACGGTAGATTTATTATATTGATTGAATAAAAATTGAAATATAAAAGGTAGAAAGACTGCTGATGGATAATGTGATGGCAAACGTACGACACTCGACCAGGTTGTGATCAGCAGTGGATTGTTTCTCACGACCATTTCGTTGATATGGATGATATTTTTAAAAAATTATAGAAATTAGCTCTTTTTCGGATAATGAATATGCGATTGAAAAATATTTTCATTTATAGACTTACAATCTTTAACGATAATCTCAATTTACAACTAACATAATGTCCTGGACATTCAATAATGTTTTACAAAATAATGACAAGTGGTGATATAAATTAAATTCCCAGTCATGTGAAATTCAACAGGGAAACTGGGAGTTATATTTTTTTCTGGACATTTGAAAATAAATTGAGGCAGATGCACATGAATTTAATGCATCATAATCATGATAATATTACTAGGCTACTCCCTCATGTCCCAATCAACAAATTTTATTTAGAACACAATGGTATCAATAAATAAATAACAACTATATATTGTCTAACCTTTTTATTAAGAACTTTCTATATATACATTGTGTACAATAACATGAAAAAACTGCAAGTATATCTTTTATTGAATATAAAACAATTTCCTTAGTGATAAGCATGAAAAACCGATGCAACCGAAACGGTAATGGAATCTCACTTCTCCAAGAAATTGACCACTTCTCCCTTCTCTCTCTTGGAAGGAGAAGTCACTTCTCCCTCTTCAAAATCCTAGATTAGGCCCTGTCATCACTTATTAACTCATTGTTAAATGATTCCTATATATTCTTATAATAATTTACCGATAGATTCTAAGTAACTATCAATTATATGTCAACTGTATATGTTGCAAAGAATCATCATGATCTTTGTAAAGAACTTGATCATGTCCTTCAGACAGGTTCATCTGACCTTGACCTTATTTTCATAGACTATCAAAAATAGTAAATGTAGGACCTTTGTTTGTTATTGACAGACACAAAATTTAATCATATTTGATAAAGCAGGCAAGATAATATTTTATATATGCTCACTTATTTTTCTTGGATGAGGTAGTTTTTGGTGGTTGGTACAATTTGTATTCAATATTTTTGTTAGTTTCTGTTAGAAATTCATGCAATCAAAACCCTTATGCAGCTGACTTTATAGATATCAATTTTCCAGACTTTATCAGTGCTACTTTTAAGTTACATGTAAACAAAACATAGTGCATTTAGCTCAATATTCTATACATCTTATCCAGGAACATTTTAAGAAATTTATCAAAATATATACTCAGATATTCAAGTTACAAAATGATGTGCATGTGTATAACCACATTTTTCAAAACAATATATAAATTGTACATGATGCATGAATCTAGTATCTGTTCTAAACTATTAATGATGTAATGGAACTATTTTATTTAAATAGAGTATTAATACATAATACGTTTTGGAATGCTGGTCAGTAGTTACTTGGGGACACTAGCATGTCTAGGGTTTTAACCAATCAGCAATGGGGTTTCCCAGTCACTGCCGCATGTGCTTCTCGGTTACTAATTGTTTTTCGAGTTCATACTAATTAACCAATGAGATTCATAGCTGACTTTGAATTAACTTCAAAGTTCTTACATTAAATTTAAGAGTTTGAAATTAATGGAGTTTTTTTTTTTAAAGATTAATAGATGTTTTAAGCAGCAATTTTAACACAAAAAAATCTATATGTAGACAACTAGTGGTCACTGATTGGCGTTTAATAATAATGGGCTAGCATTCACACTTCTTTGCCTAAAAATTTTGAAAAGTTGAACAGAGATGACAAAATTCTGTAATGATTTAGTAAGAATTGATTAAGATATACAACATATATTATGTGACCCTGGCATTAAACAGGTAATGTTGTAGATGATATTGTTTGATTGTTGATGTTAAACGCCACTTTCATCATTTTTGGCTATATCATTACGGCCAGTTTTTATTTGAGTTAAAAGTTTGAGTACCTAGAGAGAACCAAATGTTTATGGCAGGAAAACTGTCAGTTCCAGTCAGTTAAGATTAGAGTCAAATGCACCTTAACAAAAGCAGTGTTGACAGACTAGCAATCCCTGTCAATTAAGACCAGGGTCGAATGCACCTTAACAAAAGCAGTGTTGACAGGCTAGCAATCCCTGTCAATTAAGATCAGGGTCAAATGCACCTTAACAAAAGCAGTGTTGACAGGCAAGCAATCCTTGTCAATTAAGATCAGGGTCAAATGCACCTTAACAAAAGCAGTGTTGACAGGCTAGCAATCCCTGTCAATGAAGATCAGGGTCAAACGAACCCTAACAAAAGCAGTGTTGACAGGCTTGTAATCCTTGTCAATTGAGATCATGGTCAAAAGCAGTGTTGACAGACTAGCAATCCTTGTCAATGAAGAACAGGGTCAAATGCACCTTAACAAAAGCAGTGTTGACAGGCTAGCAATCCCTGTCAATTAAGATTAGGGTCAAATGCACCCTAACAAAAGCAGTGTTGACAGTCTAGCAATCCCTGTCAATTAAGATTAGGGTCAAATGCACCTTAACAAAAGCAGTGTTGACAGGCTAGCAATCCCTGTCAATGAAGATCAGGGTCAAACGCACCCTAACAAAAGCAGTGTTGACAGGCTTGTAATCCTTGTTAATTAAGATCATGGTCAAAAGCAGTGTTGACAGGCTTGTAATCCCTGTCAATGAAGATCAGGGTCAAACGCACCCTAACAAAACCAGTGTTGACAGGCTAGCAATCCCTGTCAATTAAGATCAGGGTCAAACGCACCCTAACAAAAGCAGTGTTGACAGACTAGCAATCCCTGTCAGTTAAGATTAGGGTCGAATGCACCTTAACAAAAGCAGTGTTGACAGGCTAGCAATCCCTGTCAATTAAGATCAGGGTCAAACACACCCTAACAAAAGCAGTGTTGACAGGCTAGCAATCCCTGTCAATTAAGATCAGGGTCAAACGCACCCTAACAAAAGCAGTTTTGACAGGCTAGCAATCCCTGTCAATTAAGATCAGGGTCAAATGCACCCTAACAAAAGCAGTGTTGACAGGCTTGTAATCCTTGTCAATTAAGATCATGGTCAAAAGCAGTGTTGACAGGCTTGTAATCCCCTTATTTAAGATCATGGTCAAACGCACCCTAACAAAAGCTGTGTTGACAGGCTAGTAATCTCAGTAGGTAAACACCTTAGACCTCTATGCCTCCAAGGCCCCTATTACATATGTATTATAACTTGCATGTTTCAGGGAAAGTTTGATAAAATAGCTGAATACAAAACCAGTAATGTGATAGAACATGCAAAACCAGTACCACTGAATTCAGATCATACACATTTCATCTTTGTTGATGATGGATACAGAAACTTGTATAGGGGTGTGGCTAAATTTAGAGCTAGATTTGAAAAGAAACTGTCTGATCCTATAGAAAATGGTAAGAATAAATGTTGAATGTTGTCAATTTGGAATGTTAAGTAATATATAATTATAAAAACTGGGACATGTGCAGGGTTTCCGCTGGCGGTCGCCAATTTCGCATTTTGTGAAAAAAGAAAAATTGTGGGGATCAAAAATCATGACTGGCGAAAGAAAATTAACAGTTTGACTTCATCCATCTGGTAATTGTTTTGGGGTTTCTCGTACTTTTTCCTTGGTCAGACAATACTCAGATTTCATCTTGAACTCATCACGTGTATCGATTTTGACAGAAAATAAATAATCAGCTTATGTCATTTGATAGCAATCGACAACATTGACTAATTAGAAAAGGTGTTAATTGTATTGTTAAATTAAAAAGTGTGGTGAAATAGCATCACATGCCAACTAACGGATTGTTTTTACAACTTTAATAAAAATAATAGCTTTGAAGCTTGAACTTTACAACCGTTTTAGTGGCGTACCTGTTCTAAGCATATTTTTACATCTAAACTTTTACTTTTAATGATGGTCTGGAAAAGAAAACTGTTTTTTTGAAGAAATGGTTCAAAAGTAAGAAAAATCTATGACATTATTCTTTGTCCTTTAACTAGACAGTGTCTAATATACTGAATGTTGATGAAATTAGTGTTTCGAGAAGTGAAATTTTTTCAGTTTCTATTAAAAAGTACTACAATTTTTTTTTATCTAATTGCGTGTTCATTTATTACAATGTATATTATTAAATAGATATGTAGAGTTATAATGAATGAGACAACAATGCTGTTGACTGATTTTTTTTAAACAAGAAGGAAAACAAGTTGTAAACAAAAATATGTTTATGTAAGTTGGCGAAAAAAAATTGAGAGTGGCTAAAAAAATAATGTTTTGGCGAAAGAGGTAACGAAAAATAATTTTGACCATGGGGAAACCCTGGACGTGATATAATGTCATTGAGAAAACAATCCACAAGAGTCCAAAACACAAAGATGTAAACAATACAGGTCACTATATAGTCTTCATCAATGAGCAAAACCCATATCGTACAGTAAGTTATAAAATGCCACAGATGACTTTGACAGATACCAGTATATGATGAGATCCAATTTTTGGTTAATAACAGCTTATTAGTTTTGATAAAAAGAATAACCAAATAACCTAATATAATTTGACAAGTTGCAATTGATGACCCTATACTTTTTAAAAAAAACAAACAAACAGTTAACACTAAATAAATGCTTTGTGATATTTCTTAATCTTAATTTTAATATTGAATCAGGCAAACTGATTAAGTTAATATTAATATTTTTAATCAATAGATAAAATGTTTACCTACCTATGAAGACTGTTGATATTTCTTATCAATGAATTATTTTTTGTTTTAACAGGAGGAGAGGGGATCCCAGTGGTATTGATTGTAGTAGAAGGAGGTCGGGATGCTATAGAGGATGCTAAAACCTCTCTCGGACAGCATATTCCTGTTATATTGTGTGAGGGTACTGGTAGAGCTGCTGACATACTGGTGTATGCCTACACCAACCCAGAGAGGGGGTAAATGAGTCTCTCATTAATTTTTGGGGGTTCTAAACATGAATGTAATTTTTGCCACTTAATGCTAAGCAACCAGAAGTCAATGGGTTATTTTTGTATTTTGTATAATCTTGTTATTTAATTTCTGTTACTGAATACTACAGCAACATTTAGGTCAAGAAGGCAACAATAATTTGCTTATCTTTGATAGAAAATATATTAAACATTATCATTTGTTTTGTATAAAAGAACAAGTATTTATAAAAAAAAATCAATTGTAACACAAGCCTACTTTGTCAAATTTCTTCAACTTTGGGATAAATAATGTAAAAAAAAAATACTTGGAACTGTTAAAAATGACTATGACGAAGTGCAAGTTTACTTACTGTGGATTTATTATTATTCATTCGATACCAATTTTCATTGTTACAGGTGAACCACTAATTAAAATGTTCAATGAATTTCAAATTTTCTATAGTCTTGTATGCAAACTTTGGCCAAATCATTAAATCAAATATGCACGAAAATGCAAGTTTTCCTCAATCCATGAAAATTGGTATGAAAATAAATTAATGCACAGTAATAAAATACAACATCTTTTCTTTTGTCAATATAATAAAAGTCTACAACAGCACATTGATTCCCGAATTTAAAAAAAAAGGAGTCTAACCAAAATTCTAACAATTGAGCTCAGATTGATCGTAGATTTAAAAAATAAGGACATCAATTTGAAACCAGTCATTGATCTGAATTCAACATTTATGTTATTTATTTTCATATTTTAATCAGGACTAAGATTCGTAAATTGATAAAGAAGGCATACTTTGAATTGAAGCCGGCAGACAAGGATGATCCTAAAGCTAAACAGAAAGCTGAGGATGGAATCAATAGTGTGTTTGAAAGTGTCAAATGTTGTATTGCAAAGAAAGATATGGTAAGACGTTGATCGTTTCTGTGTTCTTTTTCTAAAAGAAACACATCTTTCTCTGAAATCTGTAAAGTTGTTCAACAATGATATGTTGACCTCTAGATTTTTTCTGCTTCATGTTGTCAGATTGCTGTTTCATTGATATTTACCCAACATAATGACATACCTTTTTTAGTCTTCATTAACTTTATTCACACCAAATCTTTGATAGTCTCTGTTATATATATATATTAACTCTGATGGATGGCAAATTTTTGTATAGTTGTTGTTGAAAAAAAATTACTCTGATTGCAGATCTTTGATTGACTATAGTAGTTTATGGGTAATGTTCTTTGATAAAAATTGCTGAAATAGCAAAAAATCTAGAGAATTTATGTGTCATAAACTAATCATTTGATTGTAATTTGCAGTGAATTATGTGATTTAAACATTTTAAATGTCAAATTACTGAATGTTTTATTATTCAGACATATTAATTTTTGACTGATTTGCATATTAGTTTGTAAGAGTGCATTATTTTATTTCAGATCAGTATATTTCATATTAACAAACATGAAGAACTCGATAATGAAATTTTGAAGATTTTACTGAAAGGTATATATATTTTTTTCTACATTTGATAAAAATTTGGCTGATTAAATGGATGACAACAACCCACCAACATGCATAAAGGACTTTATTTAGCTACCTAAGGGAGATAATTGGCCATATACTGTTAGGTAATTTATATTAATACACTCATGTCATAGATATAAGAAGATGTGGTATGAGTGCCAATGAGACAACTCTCCATCCAAGTCAAAATTTATAAAAGTAAACCATTATAGGTCACAGTACGGTCTTCAACACGGAGCCTTGACTCACACCGAACAGTAAGCTATAAAGGGCCCCAAAAAATTACTAGTGTAAAACCATTCAAACGGGAAAACCAACGGTCTAATCTATATAAAAAACGAGAAACAAGAAACACTTATGAACCACATCAACAAACTTTTATCTTTGTGTTGTGATTTTAAGTAAAAGATTAATATAACTACTTGTAAACAGATATGGTGATTTCATGTACATCAAGAAGCAATCTTAAATGTGAAAAAAAGGTTCTGCCTCTGTTAATACGCACAAACTATAAAAAGTGTTAATCCATTTTTAAAGACCAGTGCACTGTATTTTTCGGGCACAGTGATACATGCATGTTTGTGTTGTACAGAAAAAGGGTCTACAGGAAATTTCACACATGCTTTAGTTAAAACAAGTCATGGTAAACAATAATGAATTGCAACTTTGTTACATCCGTCTATAAAACTTTTGTACCATTGAAATTTTATTACAGCTAAGGCTGGTGAAGTAACAGAAAAACAGAGATTAGAGAGATTAAAACTGGCACTGAAATGGGACAGGGCTGACATAGCACAGGAAGAAATCTTTAGAGAAGATGCTTTGTGGAGTAGAGGTTTGTTATATATGTATAGAGAATAAATGACTACGGAAACAGTTTACAAATATATCAACCAAATCGTATGTGAAACAATGCTAGACAAACATGCCAAATATAACTCAACCATAGACTTTTCTCATCAATTCCACTATAAACTTACCATATTTAAATGGATCATAGACTTTCCCGATCAATTCCACCATAAACTTACCATATTTAAATGAATCATATACTTTCCATATCAATTCCACCATAAATTTACCACATTTAAATCAACCATAGACTTTCCATATCAATTCCACCATAAACTTAACACATTTAAATCTCTCACATTCAGTCACTTTTTTAGAGAGTTTTTGTGATAAAAATAATGTCCATATTTATGTATTCTAACAAAATATTATCCATATCAACTAAAATTAATATTGATCTCAGACTCAAGATGGGCATGGAAGCTTTCACTATGGAAAAGTTTTAGTGGTATTTCAGAGAAAGGAAAGCATGAACACAATGAATGATGCTGTGTCCATAATTAGATTGATTGATTGATTGGTGTTTTAACACCACTTTCAACACTATTGTGCTATTTCGTGGCGGTTAGTTTTTATTGGTGGAGGAAGCCTGAGTGCCCAGAGAGAACCACCAACCGTCGGTTAGAAAACTGACAATCCTAGTCAATTAAGATTGGAGTCGAGTGCACCTGCCCCATGCGGGATTCAAACTTACAACCTCAGTGTTGACTGGCTAGTGATACAGTAGTTTGACTACTTAGACCACTCGGCCACAGAGTCCCCTCCATAATTAGAAGTTTGTTAAGTAAGTACAAAAAAGGTTTAATGTGTCTCTGAAGGTCACAATACATTGTTTGTACTTGTATATATATGATTATATCACATTTAATAGACATTTTTGATGATGCTTTGAACTCAACAATTCTCAGTGCCTTTGTCAGATTTTATGTAATTATTTTGTAGGAAGTTTTGATGAGGCTATGAGGACAGCCATACTAAGTGATAATGTAAAGTTTGTACAGATTATTTTGAACCAAGGAGTGGTAATGAGAGAATATCTTACGTTGAATAGATTGTTAGAACTTTATGACATGGTAATATTTTATTTTGATTATAAAATCAATATTGTTAATTTACAGAAAATATGTCAACTAAAAGAAACATGATCTTTGAAACAAAATATGCGTTGAATATTTTGTTAGGCATATGCCCTTTTGTTTTGTGTTTAAAAAACAGATGTTATTATACCCAAACTCTAGGTCAGTCTGTCTGTTTGTTGTTCGCCCAACAATATATTTGTATCCCTTTCTCAGATACTATTGAACAGAATGACTACATACATTGTCAACGGCTTTACAGTTATGAGTTGTAACATGTTAGGTCTTTTTTATCTGTCGGAAGAATACTTCCTGTTTGCCAAAACTGCCAACCAATATTGCATGGTAGATAACTGGCAATAAATTTATCTTAAAATTTGAGGATAAAAATCTACAAGATATTTTAATTTGAATTCGGATTAACCAATGACTTAAATGTTTATATGGTACTTTATAAATAGTTTTCTTTTGAAATGTGTGAATGTAGTAATACAAATTAACAAGACATTACATCCACTTCATTTGAATTTTGGTTGATAGTTGTCTCATTGGAAATCATACCTCATCTCCTTATCTTTATATTGGTAATTTTATTGTTTTTAGGCATTGAAAGAAATAGATATAAACAACATGCCTTTGAAAAAGGTAATCACTAAACTTGGCATGGAAGAGCCTAAAGGTATGACAATGGAGAAATTGTCTGCCATTGTGGTTTCTTTGATGGACAAATTTGGTTATGACTTCGGAGAAAAAGATGTGGAAGCTAATGATGATGAGGAAAATCAGTATGAACCTGGGCAATTTAAATATCCATACAAACAATTGCTCATCTGGTCAACACTGCTGCTTAGGTAATCTTTTATAGATGTATATGCCATCAAACAGGACAATTTAGATATCCATACAAACAATTGCTCATCTGGTCAACACTGCTGCTAAGGTAAGTTTTTATAGATGTATATGCCATCAAACAGGACAATTTAGATATCCATACAAACAATTGCTCATCTGGTCAACACTGCTGCTAAGGTAAGTTTTTATAGATGTATATACCATCAAACAAGACAATTTAGATATCCATACAAACAATTGGTCATCTGGTCAACACTGCTGCTTAGGTAATCTTTTATAGATGTATATACCATCAAACAAGGCAATTTAGATATCCATACAAACAATTGCTCATCTGGTCAACACTGCTGCTAAGGTAATCTTTTATAGATGTATATACCATCAAACAAGACAATTTAAATATCCATACAAACAATTGCTCATCTGGTAAGCACTTCTGCTTAGGTAATCTTTTATAGATGTATATACCATCAAACAAGACAATTTAAATATCCATACAAACAATTGCTCATCTGGTCAACACTACTGCTAAGGTAAGCTTTTATAGATGTATATACCATCAATCAGGACAATTTAAATATCCATATAAACACTTTCTGATTAGGTTGGTATTCTTATTTAGGTAAACCAAGGTGAGTTGAATTCGTAAATTTTTGTTTAAGGGTTATATTGGATCTATATTTTACATGACGTTAAATGCACTAAAATATCCCCTGAATGGTGAGAAGAAAGCAATAATATTTATATAAACTAACAGGTGATCCATGAATATTACAACCACATGAAAATTTTAGGCATTCAAAATCTTGAAAATACAAACTTCTGAAAATATCCTTGTTTACTGTACACTGTAGTCTAGGTCATTTGGTTTTTGTCTCCCCTCGATAGAGTCGTGAAGATGAGACTTAGGTGTGCTGTTTCTGATGTCGGCTAAGTCAACAATTTAGTCAGTCATATTTTGCATGCAGTTATATTAGCATAGACACATCCCAATTCCATGGATATTATTTTACTCTGCCCCCTTAACCATGGTCTATTGACTTTGAAACTTTTGCTTAGGTTAGATGTTTTTGATAAGCTCTGTTTAAGGGGAACCACTAATGTTAAGTCAATAATATTTGCATATTTCGAGATTTTCTGGCCTCACCCTCTCAGTAATGGTCTATTGACTTTGAACTAATGCACAGTTTACATGTTGAAGTTTGTGATTAGGTTAGTTAAGGGGGAACCACTTATGATAATGATATTTGGTATGCAGTTGTATTAGCATTAGCATATCTTATTTTCTGCATTTTCAGTCATGGTTCATTGACTTTGAATGTATTGTATAGTTTACATGTGAAGAAAATAAAACTCATCAAGGACAACAGGCTTTTAATTTTGTATGCCAGACGCATGTTTCGTCTACAAAAGACTCATTATTAGTGACGCTCAAATCAAAACATCAAAAGTCAAAATCAAGTACAAAGTTGAAGAGCATTGTGGGCCAAAAATTTCCAAACGGTTTTGCCAATACAGTTAAGCAATCTTTTCCTGGGGTAGAAAATCCTTAGTTAACGTATTGTCATTTTATTTCAATATTTAGATTTTACTATCAAAATTACATACAGGTGGAACATATCTTTGAGTCAGTTTTTTATTCATCTTTCAATTGTTTTCATATACATATTTCATATACCATTAAATCATGCAACTGTGCAGTTCAAACTGCTCATCCTGAAAGAATCCTGAGATATTTGCTACTGGATGATAAGCAAGCAACAAAAAATTAATCTCAAAGAGTGATGTCTTTTCCCACCAAAAAAAATGTACAGGCTGATTATAAACATACTCGTGTCAGAATAAGTAGAGTTATGGTTTGGGTTTTTTTTTGCAGTGAATGTCAAAGAATTTTCATGGATTTTGCACTATTTTCAGACAGCAGATGGCCAATTTTGCATTAAAGATGGGAGGCGAACCAGTGACAAGTACAGTAGCAGCATCCAGAATACACTACTCCTTAGCTAAATATATACACAGAAATGAATTGTCTGTCAAAAATAAAGTCTTAGCCTATAAAGAGTAAGTAGACAGAAATTAGTCCTATTCTTTACATTTTCTGCTTGACATAGACAATAGAACAATGTCAGTAAGGGTATACTGGATCCAAAATGTTTATGAAAATTTAAACATATTTATACCATTTGCATGCATTAGATCTTCTGTGTTAATTTGTCTGTCCTGTATCAGGTGACAGGTTTTGATGTCAGGTCTAAAATTACAGATAAGATTTTGGGAGATATTTCTTTTCTAGAATAATTATGGGTAATTTTTTGGGTGAAGTCTTTCTTTTCTAGAATTATTGGTCATATTTTGAGGGATGTCTTTCTTTTCTAGAATTATTGGTAATGTTTTGGGTAAAGTCTTTCTTTTCTAGAATTATTGGTCATGTTTTGAGGGATATCTTTCTTTTCTAGAGTTATTGGTCAGGTTTCATGTGATACCTTTCTTTTCTCAAAATTATTGGTCAGGCTTTGAGCTCGAGGGATGTCTTTCTTTTCTCTAAATATTGGTCAGGTTTCGAGGAATGTTCTTCTTTTCTCAAATTTTGGGTAAGATCTTTGTTTTGAAGAAGTACTGGTCAGATTTCGATTTAGATTGATTCCTTTCTTGTTTTTTTTTTAACATACAGTAAGTGTTCAAGCTTAAGGTGTCCATCTAATGAAAATTTACCCCATATCTCTTTTTAAGAACAAAAAATATACCAAAACATATTCATCAATGATTTCCTTGCCTTTGTTATTTTTTGCTTTATATATGAATAAGAAGATGTGGTATGATTGCCAATTAGACAACTATCCACCCAAGTTCAAATGAATGTAAGCAATTATAGGCAACCGTACAGCCTTCAACAATGAGAAAAACCCATACAGTATAGTCGGCTATAAAAGGCCCAGACATGAAAAATATGGAACAATTAAACTGAGAAAACTAATGGCCTAATTACTGTCTCACTTTTGCAGACATGTAAACAATTCTCATCTATTTATTTTCTTGCAGAGAGTTTGATGAATTAGCATCAGATGTACTAGACGAATGTCATTCTAGAGATCCTATCAAAGCCATGATGATTGCTGAGAGGAGATCCCCTACCTGGAGTAATATGACAAGTATGCAGATGGCAGCCTCTGCTGACAATCAGGTAAGATAAATAACTGTGCTGCTAGCTTGTACAACCTTGGATAATCATGTGGTCAAATACTGATGGGGTGCATTAATGTAAACATTACGTTAATAAATCTATTTTTGTGCATGAAGGAACTATACTCAACATGGATTGAGTTCTAACTTGGCACATTTCATGTATGGAGTTCCATATGTATGCCCTTTTAATGGGAATATAGACAAAATTCCTATTGTTAGCTAATTTGGCCCATTTTGACCAATTAACTCCAAACTGGGCCACAATCATCCTTAGAATGTTTAATTTGAAAATTATGTCAGCAGACATACAATCATTGCTGCTGTTATTTTGAATGGAACATAGCAAACAAATGCAAATAATTATCCATTAATATTAAGTTTACAATTTTGATGAATTAAAGGATAGTGGAATGGTCCTAAAGTTGTCTTTTCCGAATAACTTCCAGTAACCTGCTGGCCAACCAAGATGGCTGCCATTGCTAAAAAATGGAAAAAACTGAGATCCAATTGCAGTTAGTTTTAAATAACAGTCTTCAAATTTTCTATCAAATAACAGCCAATGATCCTTAAACTGTTCAATGTGGAGAGTTTAAGTATTTCTCTGCACATTATTCCTTGGACAATGTTGGAGTAGATATTTGAGTTAAACATATGATAAATTATATAAATTATCTTTTCTATCATTTTGAAGACTTTCAGATACATAATTAATTTTCTCACATATACACATACAACACATGTTCTTACAATGTATGTTCTGTCGATTTTTAGTTCAAAAACCCTTTAGATTTTATAAATTATTTCTAAAAAAAATTTAAATGCAAACAAGGTAAAGAGAAGCAAAAGATATCAAAGGGACATCCAAACTCATAAGTTTACAAACTGACAACGCCATGGAAAAAAAGAAAAGAACCAACGGTCAACAACAATATACAAAACACAACATAGAAAACTAAAAACTGAGCAACACAAACCCCTCCAAAAACGGGGGGGGGGGGGGGGGGGGGGGGGGTCATCTATGGAGCTCAGGAAGGATAAGCAGATCCTGCTCCACATGTGACACACGTCATGTTGCTCATTTAAGTACAAACCTGGTGATAAGTCTAGTTTGGTAGGTCATGAGAACATGAGAAATGACTTCATAAAGATTGATCGATGACCAGTGCTATATAATTTCCCCAGTCTGGACCAAATTTAGACAATCATCAAAATAGAGTATATGTTAACAATTATGTCATACCTACCATTTTACTCATGAGCATGTTCTGCCAAACATTACTTTTGTTTCTCATGTTACTAATAATAGTCATTATCTTAAACAATACAGCTACTATAAACAGAAAAGTTCATTAAAAATCGTAATTTAAAAAAATGTGACGACCAAATTGCATCTTAATTTAAGGAAAAAACCTAATGATGATGTATGTATGACAATATGAAAACATTGCTGTTCATGAATGTTATAGCAACTGGTCACTGTTGATAAATTTAAATTCAAGTGAACGATTCAAGATCCTTGAAATCTCTGGGTATTTTTATTGGTTAAGATTGTTCATTGTTGCACATAGTGCAATTAGTTACCTTCTTTACCAGACAATTCTGTTCCCATGGCTTTACAAATTTTTCTGATGATTGTTTTGTTTTTATTGTTATGTTACTGTGTTACTAGTAAAGCCATTGACACCACATGACATTTATTCACATGCCTCTAAGGTTGCAAAGTTTCCTTTAAACAATTTAAATTCAGAAGAATGATTTCTTTCATATAATAAATTTATTTCTGTTTGTGCAGACTTTTTTGGCATCAGTTGTATGCCAAAATTCTATCAGTTCAACATGGAAGAGGGGAATAGGATCATCCTGGCAAAAGGTAAATCTAAACATTTTAATATTGACTTACAGAACAGCAATTTTTTGGGAAAACAAATCCCTAATGCACTGTATTAAAAAAATATGATACACAACATTATAAACGATAAAAGTAGAATCACTTCAGTGCTCTTTTACTACTGTCAACATGAAAAAATTGTTACACAGGTTTTTTTTTCATTTATTTCAGGATCATGTAAAATATCTGCAAAGTGACTGGTTTTTGTCGAGCCTGCGACTTTTGTCGCAGAAAGCTCGACATAGGGATAGTGATCCGGCGGCGGCGGCGGCGGCGGCTACAGCGGCGGCGGCGTTAGCTAACTTCTTAAAAGCTTTATATTTTAGAAGGTGGAAGGTCTGGATGCTTCATACTTTGTATATGGATGCCTCATGTTACGAAGTTTCCGTCAGTCACATGTCCAATGTCCTTGACCTCATTTTCATGGTTCAGTGACTACTTGAAAAAAAAGTTAAGATTTTTTGTAATGTTAGATTCTCTCTTATTATAAGTAATAGGATAACTATATTTGGTATGTGCGTACCTTGCAAGGTCCTCATGCCTGTCAGACAGTTTTCACTTGACCTCGACCTCATTTCATGGATCAGTGAACAAGGTTAAGTTTTGGTGGTCAAGTCCATATCTCAGATACTATAAGCAATAGGTCTAGTATATTCGGTGTATGGAAGGACTGTAAGGTGTACATGTCCAACTGGCAGGTGTCATCCGACCTTGACCTCATTTTCATGGTTCAGTGGTTATAGTTAAGTTTTTGTGTTTTGGTCTGTTTTTCTTATACTGTATGCCATAGGTCTACTATATTTGGTGTATGGAATGATTGTAAGGTGTACATGTCTAGCGGGCAGGTGTCATCTGACCTTGACCTCATTTTCATGGTTCAGTGGTCAAAGTTAAGTTTTTGAGTTTTGGTCTTTTTTTCTAGTACTATATGCAATAGTTCAACTATATTTGGTATGTGCGTACCTTGCAAGGTCCTCATGCCCGTCAGACAGTTTTCACTTGACCTCGACCTCATTTCATGGATCAGTGAACAAGGTTAAGTTTTGGTGGTCAAGTCCATATCTCAGATACTATAAGCAATAGGTCTAGTATATTCGGTGTATGGAAGGACTGTAAGGTGTACATGTCCAACTGGCAGGTGTCATCTGACCTTGACCTCATTTTCATGGTTCAGTGGTTATAGTTAAGTTTTTGTGTTTTGGTTTGTTTTTCTTATACTGTATGCCATAGGTCTACTATATTTGGTGTATGGAATGATTGTAAGGTGTACATATCTAGCGGGCAGGTGTCATCTGACCTTGACCTCATTTTCATGGTTCAGTGGTCAAAGTTAAGTTTTTTGAGTTTTGGTCCTTTTTTCTAATACTATATGCAATAGTTCAACTATATTTGGTGTATGGAAATATTTTATGATCTATTTGGCAGTCACACAGGTTTTATTTGACCTTGACCTCATTTTTAAGGTTCATTGCTCAGTGTTAAGTTTTTGTGTTTTGGTCTGTTTTTCTTAAACTATAAGCAATAGGTCAATTATATTTGTTGTATGGAAGAATTGGTAGCTGTACATGCCTGCCTAGCATGGTTCATCTGACCTTGACCTCATTTTCATGGTTCATTGGTCAATGTTTAGTTTACTTGGTGAATGTTAAGTTTATGTGACAGTTGTAATAAAGCTTTATATTTAGGACTATCAACATAATATCAATGATTAGTAAAGAAGGCGAGACATTTCAGCGTGTGCACTCTTGTTGATATATTGTCAATTCAGGAAATTAATGTGTGCATTTATTATTACGAATCCTTGACCGCTGGCAAAAATTGGAAATCTAATAAATGTGATTGCAAAAATTTGATGAAGGAAAATCACTACTGAAATTATAAATGCGAAATTTTATTATTGCCAACCTGATACCGTCGCATTTTTTGCATTAATCAAAACAACACAATAATTTCTGAATTTACCATTATGAAAGGCAAACTTATGATTTATGCACTAATTTAACCCCAGTGCAAAAAATTTATCCATTGAAAATCAGGGAAATAAAAAACCTGTGAAAACATCAAAGATTACAGTATCTTTCTATGTTTAAGTGGTTATTTGTAACTTTTAAACTAGGTTTCAACTCCCCAAGGAAAAGTTGGCTATTATTTTTTGTCCTTTTTAGTCATATAGCTTTTCAACTCTTTTGGTTCTTATACATCCTTGGCTTTCAAATATTCGGATCTGAGTGTTCCTGATAAAGGTAAATCCAGAAATGCAATTAGGAAGCATTAAAGTGTTGTTTTCATTTTTGGAAAGTTTGGAACTATTGTTCCAAGTCTTTCCTAAGGCACAAGCCACCCAAACAAGAAGTAGCACAAGTTAGCTACTAAATCTACCAAATTTATACACACTGAAATATAGTTCCCTATAATTCACATGTCTGTGTACACCTGAACATATGAACCGATAAAAATTAGGGTTATATCTTTGGAGCAGTACTAGTTTATTCAAGTTTGATGCCTTTTAAGTTTTGTCAATTTGCAGACTATTTTTGTCATTTTAACAATTTAATGTTTTATATGTGATCATTTATCAGTCTGACTTTTTATATAGGTATTTATGGTGAGTTTGTTCCCCTTCCTGGCAGCAACACCACTCCTGGATATAGACAGACTTGGAGACAATAAGATGTCACCTGCTTATAAGTTCCTGACATTTCTAACTTCACCAATAGCAAAGTTTACTTACCACTCTGTAAGTTTATGTATAGTCTTTTTATATTATTCAAACAGAACATTGTATCAAAACTTAATGTATAGGTTTAATTTACTACTAAAAATGTATTGCCAGTGTAAAAAAATGGTAGTTATTTTTTTTATATTTAATATTAAATTTTGAGCAACATCTTTATGTGCAAGGATTTCAACAAAAGACGATATATAGGTATAATAAGCTATTCCAAATTCATTCTTGAGACCAAATTTGAAATAAATTCATATACATATATTCTATGTGAATATGTTCAATTGTAACTGAATAATGTATTATATAACATTCTAATTATCATTCTTGCATTAAAACCAATAATCATGGCCATACCAAGTGCACCTCGTTTATTTCCAGACATAATGTTACATACATGTAACACCTTAAGGTTCATTTAATTTTGAAATATTTTGAATTGGTATTTCAGTTACAGTATGTGGGATTTCTGATTCCAGTTGTATATTTTGTATGTGTTGTTCAGAGATGTATTTGATGTTTCTGATTCTATTTAAATATTTTGTATTTGTTTTTCAGTTGATGTATAAGATGTTTCTGATTCTATTCGTCCGTCCATCCGTCATCAGCATGTCGGACAATAACTCAAAAATGTTTTAATCAATTTTTATGAAACTTTGGTGAATTGTTTATATCTATTGTTGTAAGCTCCCTTTCGATTTTTATAAATTTTAGATTTTATATTTCTGAGTTATGGAATTTTATTCATAAAAAAGGGGGGATTTTCGGACAATAACTCTAAAATGCTTTGAGCAGTTTTCATTAAACTTTGGTGACTGGTTTATATCTATTAAAATAAGCTCCCTTTATTTTTTTTTATAAATTTCTGGTATTACATTGAGGAGTTATGGAACTTTATTCATTGAAAAAAACGATGTGTATCATGCACTCATGCTCTTTATTCAGTTGATGTTTTTGATTCTATTTACATATTTTGTATTTGTTTTTCAGTTGATGTACTTGATGTTCTTGATTCTATTTACATATTTTGTATTTGTTTTTGTCGAGCCTTCGACTTTTGTCGAAAAAGCGAGACATAGCGATCCTACATTCCGTCGGCGTCGTCGGCGGCGGCGGCGTCCACAAATATTCACTCTCTGGTTAAAGTTTTTGAAATTTTAATAACTTGGTTAAAGTTTTTGAAATTTTAATAACTTTCTTAAACTATACTGGATTTCTACCAAACTTGGACAGAAGCTTGTTTATGATCATAAGATAGTATCCAGAAGTAAATTTTGTAAAAATAAAATTCCTGTTTTTCCGTATTTTACTTGTAAATGGACTTAGTTTTTCTGCCGGGAAACATTACATTCACTCTGTGGTTAAAGTTTTTAAAATTTTAATAACTTTCTTAAACTATCCTGGATTTGTACCAAACTTGGACAGAAGCTTGTTTATGATCAAAAGCTAGTATCTAGATGGAAATTTTGTTAAAATTTTGTACCTGTTTATCCGTATTTTACTTATAAATGGACTTAGTTTTTCTGCCGGGAAACATTACATTCACTCTGTGGTTAAAGTTTTTAAAATTTTAATAACTTTCTTAAACTATCCTGAATTTGTACCAAACTTGAACAGAAGCTTGTTTATGATCATAAGATAGTATCCAGAAGTAAATTTGTTAAAAAAAAAATTTCATTTTTTCCTTATTTTACTTATAAATGGACTTAGTTTTTCTGCCAGGAAACAATACATTCACTCTGTGGTTAAAGTTTTTAAAATTTTAATTACTTTCTTAAACTATCCTGGATTTGTACCAAACTTGGACAGAAGCTTGTTTATGATCAAAAGCTAGTATCTAGACGGAAATTTTGTTAAAATTTTGTACCTGTTTATCCGTATTTTACTTATAAATGGACTTAGTTTTTCTTCCAGTTAACATTAAATACAGTCTGCAGTTAAAGTTTTTAAAATTTTAATAAATTTCTTAAACTATCCTGGATTTATACCACACTTTGACAGAAGCTTCTTACAATCAAAAGATAGTATCTAAAGGAATATTTTTATTGATTTTTTTTTCATCATTTTTGTTGAGCCTGCGATTAACAGCAAAAGTAGGCGAGACACTGGGTTCCGCGGAACCCTTACGAATTTTTTAGTTGATATATTTGATGTTTCTGATTCTATTTACATATTTTGTATTTGTTTTTTAGTTGATATATTTGATGTTTTTGATTCTATTTACATATTTTGTATTTGTTTTTCAGTTGATGTACTTGATGTTCTTGATTCTATTTACATATTTTGTATTTGTTTTTTCAGTTGATGTATTTGATGTTTCTGATTCTATTTACATATTTTGTATTTGTTTTTTAGTTGATATATTTGATGTTTCTGATTCTATTTACATATTTTGTATTTGTTTTTCAGTTGATGTATTTGATGTTTCTGATTCTATTTACATATTTTGTATTTGTTTTTTAGTTGATATATTTGATGTTTCTGATTCTATATACATATTTTGTATTTGTTTTTCAGTTGATGTATTTGATGTTTCTGATTCTATTTACATATTTTGTATTTGTTTTTTAGTTGATATATTTGATGTTTCTGATTCTATATACATATTTTGTATTTGTTTTTCAGTTGATGTATTTGATGTTCCTGATGCTATTTACATATTTTGTATTAGTGGAGTTTCGGACAGCTTATGTTACACCTATTGAAGTTGTGTGTATTGTTTGGATATTTACATTCATAATCGACAATGTATATACAGTAAGTCACTTCTATAAAACTGAAATAAGTAAAGAAGTCAATTTTGTCAAGAGTAAGGACTTGAATAACTCCAAAGTTGACTGAGTGATACTCAAGTACATGTACTTACTAAGAAATAGTAAATGTATGTTAACCGAATTGAGGGAATAATTTTTTGTTGACAAGTATTTCAGATAGCGCCACTTTCCTCATTGCAAAAATGAAAGTCTCATCTCATAGCATTTGAGATAAAGTAGAAAACAAATTATTAAATTTTGTTTGTAATAAATTATATAAGATGTAACAATGAATTTTCCATTAAAAGCAAATCTTCTTCAGCCATCTACATTTAAAGGAAATGTTTTTTGGTAAAATCAAACAATATATTTCTGTTGGCTACGCATTCTTATTGAATTTAATTATTTGAATAAGTTCAGTATGAGTTCAGATGATATGTATGTTTTCCATAAAAGATATAAGCCTGTAAAACTAGTTAATATTTTATTAAGAATATTTATTAACATAAAGAGATTTTTGTTTGTTTCAGTGTCTGGCATTTCCATCCCCAACACTAAAGGGTACCATCAGAGACTGGTTTGGACTGTTAAAGTTTCTAGACATTGGGAACTGTGTATTAGCTGTAATAGCATTTTTTATGCATTTAGAAGGAACGAAAGCTATGGAAGCCAAGTCTATATTTTGTATCAATGCTGTTGTGTTTTACATAAGAGTATTGGAAGTTTATACAGTCAACAGTAGATTAGGACCTAAAATGGTGATGATTAAAAAAATGGTAAGGATATGATGCAGATGTGTTTCCAGGATCTCTGAAAGGGGATGTAATTCACCATAATTGGATATACAAAATTTTTGACAATTTTATGCTAAAAATACATATATATTGAGAGAGAAACCTAATATTTTAATTTTTTTGGTGATCAAAGGTGGGTATGACATTTAAACCCCCTTGATCTGCCACTGATTTGAATAAAAGGAGATATGGGGTATACATACATCTTTAGGACAGCAACATTAGTTATGATAAAAATAACAAAAAGATGCTAGAGGTCATCAAACAGTCTTTTTTATGTTCACAGCTTATAATCACTAGATATAGTACTAGGATATGATCCTTCATCACTAAAAGATAGTTTGATGTTAAAAAAATATATAAGCATGATATGACTAAACAGACTGCAAAAAATGTCTATCCAAAAATTATGTGACATTTAATGGCAAAAACTGATATATTCAAGAATGATATGTCAAATTAAACTGAAAAAAATCTAACCGAACATGTTATTATTATTGTGAGGTTTTTATGATTGCAAATAATCAGAATGGGTGAGTATCTCAATAATAAGAACTTACATTCTGATATCTGATACATATACATGTATCTGTATGCAGATTTTCCCGAAATAGTGATAATTAATCTCACATTTCTGTCCATTTATAAAAAATTGCAATAATAAATGCACCCAAACATTTCTGAATTTACAGTATATCCAAGCATGCTGTGACTAACAAAACCATGAAAGTAGAATACTTCCAACCATGTTTACTAATAAACCAATTCAATATGTGACAAACCAAATCATAAAAATGAATATATTTAAACATGCTATGATTAACCTCACCACAAATTTGTTGAAGGGGAAACTGGTAGTAATAATATATACTTTAAAATATTATTATTATGTCCCCGCCGCTTGGGGAAAGGGGCATTTACTGTAAATTCAGAAATTATTGCGAGGTTTTTATTATTGCGACAAATGCGACAGAGTTGTAAACGCAATAATTTAAACTCGCATTTTGAAATATTTTATATGAACTAAACAGGATTTTTCTCAAAATCGTAACAATTAAAATCGCATTTAAGTCTAAAATGACAAAATCGCAATAATAAATGCATGCAATAATTTCTGAATTTACAGTAAGTTACCCTTGACGTCTGTCCCATTTTCATTTCTGCACTCTAACTTAAGTTTGCCTCATGCAAATTTCATGAAATTCTAACACAATGTTGAGAACCAAAACTCGCAAACAGAGTTCGAATTTGGGCAGTTAGTCACTTACCGTTCTAGAGTTATTCCCCTCTGTAATGTGGAAAATTGCAAATCAAATGCTCTCAAAAAGTATTTTCACATATAAGCAAGCTTGAGCGGGGGCATTTGTGTCCTCATACACATTCTTCTTTTATTTGTCATGTCTGAGACAAATGGCACAGACTGCAAGATGTAGGGATGCTTATATACTGCTTACGGCAGCATAAACTTTTTGTATATAGCTTAATGTTTCAGGAGGTAGAAGAGTTGGGTTTCCATCGTCTGACCATGACTTCATTTTCATGCTTCATTGTTCAATGTTAAGTTTTAGTGATGAGTCCATTTCTCAGATACTATAAGCAAAAGGTCAACTATATAATGATTTTAGGTGAACTTGTGATAGTGTTCATCTGACCATGATCACGTTTTCAGGGTTCATTGGTCAACATTTAATTGGTATTTAGGGTTAGTTTCTCAGAAGCTATACGCAATAGCTCAGTTGTATTGTGTATGTAAAATAATAGTAAGGTGTACAATATGTCAACACTATTTTTTCGTTGCTGAGTTTTTTTCTAAGACACTATAAGCAATTTAAAGTCTAGAATGATTGTAAGGTGAACATTTCTGTCTGACAGGCTTCATCTGACCTTAAGCTCATTTTCGTGGATAATTTTATTATGTGATACCTATAGTAAGAACTCCATTTTAAAAAAAACGTTCTTCTTTAACAAAATTCAACCATAATCAGTAAAGCAGAGGAGACCTCTCAGTATGTGCACTTTTTGTTTTTAAAAAGGAGTCTTTTATTAGTACTTTAGTAGTTATCTTATAGCAGCTATTATTTTCAATTAATAGTTAAATTGTAATACTAACTGTGTTTATGATTATTTTTCAGATGTTGGAATTAGTGATGTTTATTTTAGTGTTGACTATATTCTTAGTATCTTATGGGATAGCTAGTCAAGGATTAATGCATCTTCAGAGACAGTCTGATTGGAAGATTCTTAGAGATGTTATTTACTTCCCATACTGGCAGTTTTACGGAGAGCTGTTTTTAGAAGAAATAGATGGTAGGTTATTGAGTAGATCCATAATGTAGACAGACATGTTAGCAGAACATTAATTGAAGCTATCGTTTTCAATCTTTCCTTTTTATGCCCCGCCGTAGGCGACGGGGGCATTAAGTGTTACCCTTGACCTTCCGTCTTTCCGTTCGTCTGTCCCATTTTCTTTGCAAAGCTTGAGTGGGGGCATTCATGTCCTAAGACACATTTTTCTTTTATTTTTTGTCAGTATAGTATGTTTTAAAAATTTGCAAACTTAAATGCATAGAATACAGAAGAGATCTTACTTTAATTTACCACAAGGTGTAAGATGTAACCAATAAAAAATTGCGCTTAAACACTATTTATATTGTGATATTAAGTGCCAGTCTTTGTAAGAATCAGGCAATTTAGAAAAAAATCAAAACATGGCCGAAAAAAACCCACCGACCTAACCACCCTATTTTGAAGGTATCCTCATCCTGAGTTAGAAATGGTAGGTCTTTCGTTTCTGCGTGTCTGGTAATTCGAGAAATATCTAGACAAATTTTGGTTAGAATGATAGCAAATTACGGAGTTATCTCCCCTTAATTGTTATTTTCTAGAGCATTTCAACCAAATTATATCTTGAATTACCAGAACAGGGAAAGGAAACGAATGTTATATTCATGATCCATCATACATTCTGAACTTAAATTAATATAAAGTTGAGCGGGTTTTTGTTTGTCATGTTTTCACCACTGCCTGATTCTTAGGCAGATTGGCACTTTAAAAGAAAGTTCCTTCCGCAGTGGTTTGAATTAGCAAAAATACTGTACATTTTAACTTTGATATATTTGGACAGGTTGAAAACAGCAAGCACTTCACATAACAAATATAAAATTATAGACACATCATGGCACAAATCATCAAGACTCTGCCAGAAAATATGAAGTACAATCTAAGTATAAGACAGTGAACTCCTCAGTGATGAAGAAAACAAAAGTATTTTTAAAGATGTACAAAATTATACTTATGTTTTATAGATGATGAAAGTTGTAGAGATCAACTTAATACTACTAGTGGTGTTCCTGATGTTTCGTTCTGTAGAACATATCACTGGCTGGTTCCTATATTTTTGGCAGCCTATTTGATGATTGGGAATGTGCTGTTGCTTAACTTACTGATAGCCATTTTCAGGTAAAACTCAAATTAGTGATTTTGGGGTAAATGTCATAACATCTTTACTGTTTGATTGTACACAAACATTCTGAGTTCATTTCTATTATTATTTTATATTGTCAGCTCGTTTGTAGAGGGCAAGACGTCAAATGCCCCTTTGATGGTATACTGACGCCCTGCTCTGTTTATTAGCTCACTTGGACTTGCGCTTCAAAAATCTTCAAAAAGATCCAAATACTCATGGTTTGGAGCATATTTCTACAATGTAGTTTTCTTATATCATTTAAAATATCCTTTGAGTTGCAAATAAATTTATTTGAAACTGCATATCCAGTCCTGTTTACCTTGAAGTAGAAGTTAATTCAAAAAGAGTGGAAGTAACAATGTATTTACTGGTGACAGAGTCGTACATTTTCATAATATTTACATTTCAGCAATGCTGTAAATTCAGAAATTATTGGGAGGTTTTTATTGTTGGGAATAATGCGATAAGGTGAGTATCACAATGATAAAAACTCGCATTCTGATAGTTGATACATATATATGAATGCAGATTTTTCTGAAATCGCAATAATTAATTTTGCATTTTTGTTCATTCTTCAAAAATCGCAATAACAATTGCACGCAATAATTTCTGAATTAACAGTATGCGTTGCTACAGGATATAGAAGTACCAGATGATCGAGTTTTAAGATTTAACACTTTATTACCTTTCAGTAATGTATTCCAAGAAGTTGAGGTAAATTCTAACAGAATTTGGAAGTATCAGATGTATTTGCTGGTGATGGAATTTGATACAAAGGCTGCCCTAGTACCACCACTCAGTATTTTTATACACATCTATCTGGTCTTCAAATGGGTCTTCAGACATACCTGCTGCAGGAAAGCTAAAGGTATTTATATAGTATAGCTGATAATGAATCGTAGTTACAGAAAAGTGAATTATTTATTTCTGACATAAAGTCTAATCCTGTGCTGTATTTCACCTGATGGAGCTAATTCAGGGAAAAAATGTATTGGAGGGTTGGATACATATTTTTTTCTGTGGGTTAAAAGAGTGGAAAACAATTACAATTCTGTTACAAATGAAAAATAAAAATTATGGGTGGTGGGGTAAAAAAAAGTTTTGTCCAACTCGCCCATACATGTTTTGTCTGGAATAGCCCTGAAGAAACTGGAACAAATCTGATTTGATTGATTTCATTGCAATAGTTTTCTAACATTTCAAATGAAAATAAGTGTCCTATCGGTTTTATTTTCAAATTTGTCCAGTAACATTTTGAATCTATGTACATCGTATTAGAGAAAGCTAATAGAAAATCGTAGAATTTACAGGTTTATGGGATATCTATGCTTTATTTCTGCACTGCATCATATGAACTTTAAAAAAATGAATAAAGAAACATATGATCTAAACCCCCTTTTTATTCAATAAAAAATATAGTTGTGTTGTTAAAAGATCAAGAATGAAAATGTAAAATAACAAATAAACCTTAGTATCACCTATATTAGTTTATAAACAGCTTGTTGTCATTACTTCATAAACCAAACTTAGCCATCTTTCATTTATTTTTATTTACTAATAGGATTGATAAAACTTAAGATAAGATAAGATAAGAAAACTTTATTTTGATTCAGAATGAATAAAACAATAAAACACAAGCTTTTGTCAGAATATATAAAACATATAACTAACATTCAAATAATAGCAAACAACATATTCAAATTTCAAAAAAAGCATTAAGGATGTACTTAGGTCAGGTTTAGGAATTTGCGTCAGATTTTCGGACTCCTTGGTTTTTTCCTACGATACAGGTTAAAATATTTTGCCCCATAATACCCATTTATCTTTTCATACAAGACTTCAATAGCTCATAAAAGGCCATTTACCAAAATTTGAGCAGATTCTAGATTTCTTTTCTTTCGATTTGAGACCCAAATAATACTAATGCAAATATAAGGTAAAAGTCCGAGTCAGCCTTTTCCCGCAATTTTTTTAAAATTAAACATCTTGAGAAGGAGCTCCATAACCTATCAATATTTTTAGTTTATTTTGTTCTTTTACTAATGCTCTTCTGACTTATAGTATCAATTTTAAATTCTAGATTTTTTTAATTTCAATAAGTACGTCAGCTAAGTTAAGAATTTGGCTATGAAATATATGATAGTAACTGCAACACATGCATTAAACTGTAAAATTAAAACACATGAGGCAAGGGAAATAAAACATGATCAATATTGTACATTTACTTGTCAGAATTAGAAATTGTTGCTTTTTGTCATTTATTTAAAAAAGAGATCAAAAGCCAGTATAGGTCTGACATAATGTTTTCCATTTTCAGAGGGTAAGCTGATTTCTGGTAATATGAAATATAATATCATGTGTTGGCTACTTGGTTAATAATTTTAATTTTTATTTTCCAAAGCTTTAACATTTTGACATGCTATGTGAATTTTAAAATGTTTTTTGTTGGTCTTCTCTCTGCCTGTATCCCCCTGCTCGATTCTTCATTAAATTGCATATCATGTTCTTGTAAAGTCAAATATGTAGACCTGGCCTTAATAACCATAACATGGACTTATCACCAACTTCATATTGTTATAAACCACAGTTTGACCAGAACTAAGTAAGTCCTCTTCCAAAAAAAAAAAAGAAAAAATATTGTTTTGAACTTTCCAACACACAAATATGGTACAATTCAATAAATAGATGTCAGATTGATAATGTAAAATATCAGATACTCAACACAATATGCAGCTTTTTTAAATTTTATGTTCTCAGTTGTCAAAAAGCTTCATATTGTGACTCACAGCTTTAGTTTAAAATACAATGTATCAATATGCAGAAAGCTTGCTAAGTACCAATTATCAGGTTGTCTGCATCTTGATATTGTAAAATATCAGCTGAGAGTCACAATATAAAGTTTTTTGTCAAGTGAACGCAGCGAACAAGTTCAAATAGGCTTCATAATGTGTCGAGCAGACTACCAGATAATCCATTTATCAGGTTGTATTTGCGTTTTTTGCAGAAAAGAAACAAGTGATTTCTTTGTTTCACCAGCAAACCCAAAGATAACGTGATAAAATCGGGTCAAACTTATCAATGTTAGTTCATTCATTATGACATTTATGATGTCAGTGATATGTACGGGTCAAAGTTCACAAAGCCATGATATGCAATTTTATTGAGAGCTGAGCAGAGTGAAACAGACAGTGGGATGACTAATAACTGTTTTTTATCAGTTTTAACTTAGTATTGTTAATTTTAAGAAGAATAAGAAAATAGTGGTTAAAAAAAAATCCTCCATTATAAGTCATATTTTAATACAGATTCTTCAAATTTAAAAAAATATATGAGTATGTTTTATATACTTGAATGGCTAAGTTTTTACTATAAAACACATGTGCATAAAAGTTTATAAAATTAAAATCCTTTATTTCTCCAAATCTTAAGAAATGTACTGCTATTAAATTATTGTCTTCCCGTACTTTAGATCCCAGACAACTTTGCCATATGCAGTGAACTTAACCATTACACTTTGGCAATAACACATTGCAAGTGCAATAGAAAATTTAAAACCTTGAAAAAAGATTTTATATTTAAAATCATAATTTTCACAACAAATTTTTATATCCCTGCTTTAAAAAGTGGGGGTATACTGTTATACCTCTGTTCGTCCGTTCATCCGTCAGTCCGTATGTCTGTCCCATGAATATTTTTGTCCCATTTTTCTCAGGTACTACGTACATTACAAGGATTTCTGAAATTTGGTTTCAAGGTTTATATAAGTGAGCTATACTGTGTGATGCATTTTCAGATTCATCACTCAACAACTTCCTGTTTACAAAATTATTCATATTTGGGCGGAGGTATCATCAGTGAGCAGTAGCTCACAGTTTCACTTGTTTTTTTTTTGGTTCATTGCCATTTCTCACATTATTTTTTGTCTCGTTCAGTGTAAAGATGTAAACTGATACATTATCTGGAAAAGAAATTCTAGTTTGCATTAAATCACCTGATGTGTGAACTTTTCTCTCTGATTTGCATTCAACCTATGTTGTTTGACATTTTTATCAGAGATCAACTCCTTATTTTAATAATAACCAAATTTGAGTCAAAGGTGGCCTGATGTACCCACTGAATCGTATTTAGGGGATGAGCTTAAAGTAAAAGTCAAGTTGACCATATCTGTCAACTTCTCAAAATCTCCAAAGGTCCTAATGCATCTCTCATACATGTCATAAATGTTTATATGTAATATACTATGGTTTTAAATGAGAATATATGCTTAACTGCCATATTAACTCTTTTGAATGTATGTTTTTGAGATATTCAGTGCATAAAATGAAGGATTTTTAGAGTCGGGTCAACACCTCTCGTGGAGAAAAACCCCCATAAATCATGAAAGTTGGCAGGTATATCAACATATATATTTAAAACAGGAAATATGATGTTCTTATGGCTGTACTTTGAAATATCAGCTGGGTTTTTTTTGTAGAAAATTATTATACAATGTGTTATATGTTATTTCAGAGACTTTCATTCCATCTACCCTTTGTATACGACCGCAAAAATTTTTTGCGGGTCGTATATTGGTATGACGTTGGCGTCGTCGTCGTCTGGCGTCGTCCGGCGTCGTCCGAAGACACATTGGTTTTTGCACTCTAACTTTAGTTTAAGTGAATGGATCTCTATGAAATTTTACCATAAGGTTCAATACCACAAAAGGAAGGTTGGGATTGATTTTGGGGGTTATGGTACCAAAAGTTAAGGAATTAGGGGCCAAAAAGGGGCCAAAAATAAGCATTTTTGTAACTTCCAGACATAACTTGTGTGTTAGTGTATGGATCTCTCTGACATTGTACCACAAGGTTCCATATCACACAGGGAATGCTGGGATTAATTTTGGGGGTAATTGCCTCAAAATATTAGGAAAAAGTGGCAAAAAACAAGCATTTTTTTAGTTTCATGACAATAACTTGTGTGTACGTGTATGGATCTTTCTGAAATTGTACTACAAGGTTCCATATCACAAAGGGAAAGCTGGAATTGAGTTTGGGGGTAATTGCCCAAAACGTTTAGGAATTAAGGGCCAAAAAGGGGCCAAAAATAAGCATTTTTCTAGTTTCCAGACAATAACTTGTGTTCAAGTGTATGGATCTCTCTGAAATTGTACCACAAGGTTCCATATCAGACAGGGAATGCTGGGATTGATTTTGGGGGTAATTGCCTCAAAATATTAGGAATTAGGGGCCCAAAAAGGGGCAAAAAACAAGCATTTTTCTAGTTTCAAGATAATAACTTGTGTGTAAGTGTATGGATCTTTCTGAAATTGTACTACAAGGTTCCATATCACAAAGGGAAAGCTGGAATTGAGTTTGGGGGTAATTGCCCAAAACATTTAGGAATAAGGGGCCAAAAAGGGGCCAAAAATAAGCATTTTTCTAGTTTCCAGGCAATAACTTGTGTTCAAGTGTATGGATCTCTCTGAAATTGTACTGCAAGGTACCATACCACAAAGGGAAGGCTGGGATTGAGTTTGGGGGTGATGAATCATAAGGGGGTTCAAAAAATTTGGGGGGGGATTTTTTTTTTTTTCCTTTTTTTTTTCTTTTAAAATTTTTCATTTTAAGTTGGTTATTTCTGTTTTATATTTAAAAGCAAATAATAATGATATGGTAGGAGATACACACCAAACAGGATGTGTAAATTATTATAAAATAAGTATTGCACAATAGCAAGAAATCTTCAACTGCACAGTATTGCGCAATAGCAAGAAATCTTCAATTGCACAGTATTGTGCAATAGCAAGAAATATCCAATAGCACAATATTGCGCAATAGCAAGAAATTGTCAATTGTACAGTATTGCGCAATAGCAAGAAATATTCAATTGCACAGTATTGTGCAAAAGAAGATACTTCGTATAAATTGCTTATTTCTTGACCAATTTCAATGGGGTTTTATTCTTGAATTCTTGGGGTTCTTTAATATGCTGATTCTAACCGTGTATTAAGTTTTTGGATTTTGGGACCCGTTTTTAAATTGGTCCACATTGAGGTCCAAAGGGTCCAAAATTAAACTTTGTTTGATTTCATCAAAAATTGAATTATTGGGGTTCTTTGATATGCCGAATCTAACCGTGTATTTAGATTCTTAATTTTTGGTTCTGTTTTCAAATTGGTCTATATTAAGGTCCAAAGGGTCCAAAATTAAACTTAGTTTGATTTTAACAAAAATTGAATTCTTAGGGTTCTTTGATATGCTGAATCTAAACATGTATTTAGATTTTTGATTATGGGCCCAGTTTTCAAGTTGGTCCAAATCGGGGTCCAAAATTAAACTTTGTTTGATTTCAACAAAAATTGAATATATGGGGTTCTTTGATATGCTGAATCTAACCATGTATTTAGATTTTTGATTTTTGGGCCCCATTATCAACTTTGTCCACATTGAGGTCAAAAGGGTCCAAAATTAAACTTTGTTTGATTTCATCAAAAATTGAATTCTTGGGGTTCTTTGATATGCTGAATCTAACCATGTATTTAGATTTTGGATATTGGACCATAATAGTTGAATGTCCAATTTAAAATTTTTAAGTTCTTAGACCACATTCATTCTGTGTCAGAAACCTATGCTGTGTCAAATATTTAATCACAATCCAAATTCAGAGCTGTATCAAGCTTGAATGTTGTGTCCATACTTGCCCCAACTGTTCAGGGTTCAACCTCTGCGGTCGTATCAAGCTGCGCCCTGCAGAGCATTTTATTAGAATATTTGTACTCAGAAAATTACTTGAAATTGAGAGTTTTCTTTTCTTTTCTTTAGTATTAATTCCCTCCTTACAGATTTTTGTAAGTATTTATATATTGAGTAATTACAGACTGCATATGTCTGTGGCTTTTACTATGGTATAACTAATTTTGACATAGTAACATTTATATTAATTCTTTGTCATTCTGCCCAGCTCAGTCACTCTGTAATTCTTGTATCACTGCTTTGTGACATTAGAAAAGTAATTGTCAGCAGAGTTATAATGTGACAGCAGAACTTATCAGGAATCCTAAGGTATGACAATCAAGCGTAAAAAAAATGTCTAAATAAAAAGACCAGAATTAGTATGATAAACAGAATTAATTGAGTTTGTCTGCTCACCCCTTCAGGAGCACCTGAGATCACCCCCAGTTTTTGGTGGGGTTTGTGTTGCTCAGTCGTTTGTTTTCTATGTTGTGTTTTGTATACTGTTGTTTGTCTTTTGGTCTTTTTCTTTTTTTTGCCATGGTGTTGTCATAGAATTTATTTCGACTTATGAGTTTGAATATATCCCTTTGGTATCTTTCGCCTCTCTTTTATACTGGTAGATAACAATGCTAGGCTCATTGTGACTCATGACTGACATTTTATGGTATCAGTGGGCTTAAAAACTGTTGAGTTTCACTTATTGTTGGAAGAAAATGTTTCAAATATTCAAGACTAGAAATATTAGATTACTTTTAGGATATTAACATAAATATGTCTCTGCCATAGAAATTAACACAACTAAAACTGTTTGTCAATGTTGAGTGCTTTTATATTGTGATTTATTTTTCATGAATCAATTTCACAATTCTGCATTTGTTATTTATAATCTGAAAAAAATTGTGATAAATATAAGCTATTGTTTAAATATTCAATTTGGAGTTGAATTTATTCAAACACTTTTTTACTTATTAATATAATAATAATAAGTGTGTCATTAGATAAAATTTGTAGCAAATGTCTGATCAGTTGTAATGATTTATGAAAATTGGTTCAAAATACTGTAAATTCAGAAATTATTGTGAATAATGCAACTTGGTGTCAGAGTATCACAATAGTAAGAACTTGCTTTCTTATATCTGACATAGTTATATATTTTTATGCAGCATTTCCTGTGATCGCAATAATTATTCTGACCTTTTGGTCTGTCATGTCAAAATCGGAAATCGCAATATTTTCTGAATTTGCAGTATATTGAAATTGATCAAGGTCCTCAAAAAATATCAACAGTGGCTCTTAAATATGGTTTGTCAAACTGTTACTTACATCACATTTCTGCTGTGCTATTAAATTAAATTAAGTAAATCTGTTTTGTTAAAAAATAATGGTTTTTGGTTTCTCAAATAATAGTAGTTTTTATTTTCCAGTTTCGATAAAGGTTTTGGTTTCATTTATACATTTTCGTATCAGTAATATTTCCCACCATTTTTTAATTAGAGGCTCCAAGAAGACGGTATTGAACACCTGGCATTTTTGCATATAATTGATACAATGCTGATTATGCAAAAAGAATATTGGTGTTGAAACTATGTGGCCAAAATCTTGTCTTTCTGATCATTTTTTCTGGACAGTTTCTGTCTATCCATTATATTTTCTAGATTATACATTATTGCTATTATACATGGAAAAAATTGTTGTTTAGGGGCAAGTAAGGAGTAAATTAACAATTCCAATCATTCCTGGGACCAATATATAATTATATTCATGTATTAGTCCCTGATCATCATGATCATACTGACTTATTTGTAGATCTTGTGTTACTGATCCTTTGCTGTTCAAAGTTTGAGGTGATATATTTATACTTTTCAAGATATTAGGTAAAAAAAAACATTGGTCAAAACTCATCATTTAAAAACCAAGATAAACTTATTTGTTGATCTTGTCTTCATTTTTCTTTTGAAATTTTTCTCAATATCTATTATAGTTTTCAGGATAATAGCCAAAAACACCCCAAAAAAATTATAAAAATCATCATTTAAGGGCAATATATTCATTAATGATTTGTCTGGATATTTTGGCTATGTTGACTTATTTGTAGACTCACTTGTCTTGCTCATACTTTTATCTTTTTACACTTTCTCTCTAGCTATTATAGTTCTGAAGTCCAAAATTCTAAAATAATTAGTTTAAAATTTCGTTTACTGTGATTTAATTTATTATTGTGAGTATCAATTTTCTTTTACTTATGAAAAAATGCACTTTTGTGGATATTTGATTTCGTAGTTTTGCTAAAGCCTGAATACAAGCCTTTAAAAAATGCGTACTTCACTGAACATTGGAATTTGAAGTTCACCTATACAGACGAAATCCATGAAAATTGGTACCCCATAAATCATAATGAATCTACAGTAAGTGAAATAACTCTGATAAGTAGACAATCTTAGTCAAAATGGACAGTAGGTAGATCTTGCTATTCAGTTTTTTTTTTGTCCTGGACTGATTTTATCTATCTTTAGCAGTTTTCAAGATATAACACAATGCTTGTATTCTATTTTTAATCATGGTGGTTGGCAGTCAGGTTCATCTGACAATATTTTATGCTTTATACTCTAAGGATAATTGGGGGCCTCGGTGGCCGAGTGGTCTAAGTAGTTACTACTGTAATCACTAGCCAGGCAACACTGAGGTTGTGAGTTCAAACCCCGCTCGTGCGGGTGCACTCAACTCCAATCTTAATTGACTAGGATTGTCAGTTTTCCTATCGAAGGTCGGTGGTTTTCTCCTGGCACTCCAGCTTCCTCCACCAATAAAAACTGGCCGCCACGAAATAGCCCAAAAGCGGTGCTTAAAAGTGGCATTAAAACACCAAAAATAAAATCAAATCTAAGGATAATTTGTGGCAAATTTTGGTTGCATTTAGCCTGGAAGTTTATGAGGAGAAGATTTTTGTAAAAATGAACAGACAACAGACACCAAGTGATTAGAGTTGCTCATCCTGGCCCAAAGGAGATAGTCATATCAACATTCAAATTGTAACCCATTTTATTTTCAGGTCGCCAATATGGTTCTCGCCATTTAGAATATTTACAACTATTTGAGAAAGAACAATTATCTAACTACTTGAGGAAAAAGAAAGCTGAAGCTAAAAGTTGTACAGATATTAGTATCCTTAGTATGCAGAAAAGGTAAATAGACCAAACTTCCTGTTGTGTATTGGTTGATATTATCAGGGACTTTCTATACTAACGGGACTCGTCTCTATTGATTTTAACTGATTACTACGCCGCCTCTTTAAAGCTACCATCCAACAATAAACTTAGTTTCATATCTCTGATATACGATGCTAGTAGTTATTTGCGTATTTCACAGTTCATTGTAATTATATTATTATTATTAGTTGTTAATATAAAATCTGATTAATAGCTATTTGCGATGACAAAAAATATAAGATTTTGAAAGAATGATGAATTATTAAATTTAGACGTATCGTTTTAAAGAACATCCCAGTTGTGTAAAATGGTTTACATATCAAGCAAGATGGCAGCTACTGAAAATTCGACGAACAAATACCTCAAAGTTTAAAGATCAATATTTAAAAAACGATCCGAGAAATCATTTGAAAAACTACATTTTGCTATGACAAAATGTATAAAATTTAATAAAAACGATTTTTTGTTAAACTTGAACATATAGTTATGAAGAACACTTCGTAAATGACAAATGGTTTGCTATAAAGTCACGTGACATCAGCTACGGCCGAGATCAGTCTGATAATTTGTATAGACATCGTTATAAGTGACCAGTACCGTTAGTATAGAAAGTCCCTGATATTATACATAAAACTTTGCTTTCTATCCTGCAATTAGTTTGTTATGAAATATAATGTACTGTTGGCTTATTTTCATGAAAATAAGGAGATGTGGTATGATTGCCAATGAGACAACTCAAGTCCAAAAGATGTTGATTTAGGCAACTAAAGGTCACTGTACATCCTTCAACTATGACCAAAACCCATATCGCATAGTCCCCTATAAGAGTCCCTGACATGAATAAATGTGAAACAATTCAAACAAAACCAACTGCCTTGATTTTATGACAAAAAATAAATGAAAAACAATTATGATAGGCAACAACCATCACCATAAAAATTAGTGGGTAATGGCTTTACTCGTCAGGTTGGCACGAAGCACAAAGAACAGTTGACATAAAGTATAAATTAAAGAGTACTCACAGTTAATGAAAGCTAGCTATATAGTTCAAAGCCAATAAGAACTACTGTTAGTAAATCATTCAAGTTCTTCCAGACTAAAGTATCAATCAGTACACATCCAATGGTTAGTGTAAAGCCATCATAAAAAGTCTGAGAAAAGTATAACGTGGCTTTGAACATTAATACCTTCATAGGATAATAGTGTTACTAGGAAAGGCTCATTCTGTTTAGTCTGTTTTCACATATTAAAAGGAAAAGATTTATAGCTAGATGCTTATTGAGTAAACCCCAGATATACAGTGTGAAAACAAAACTAAATTATACTACAATCTGAGGAGGATTTTTAATAATCAGCTTGCAATATAAAATAAGGATATGTGGTTTGATTGCCAATGATACAATTATCCTCCAGAGACCATATGACATATATTTTAGCAACTATAGGTCACTGCATTTATGGCCTTCAACAAATACTTTATTTAAATATGGTTAAGATGATATCAATAAGTTAAAGAGATATGAAGGTGGTCATCAAATCACATATGGAAAACGTAATAAATGAAAGAATTGACTTCAAATTAAATGTATAAGAAATGAGGAGAACATGGAAGATTTTAAAACTAAATTATTACTTTAATTTAAAAATTACTACTAAAGAATTTAAGGGCGAATTTTCAAATTATTTTTTGGCTAATTTGATTGGTTTGGAAACTGTTTAATTGATGTAAATACTATGTAATTTTGAATTTCTTTAACTATATTTTACAGAATTGATGAGTTGTACAAGATGATAAAAGAGGACTTTTTAGATGATGATCCAGCAACAGTAGACAGGGAAACTTCTAAGGCAGGATTTGAAACTTTATACAGACCAAAGACAGTAGGGGAGGCTACTCTTCACAGACAGAATTCAAAAACAGGATCTATAAAGGAGACAGTGGTAATCATTTGTAATACAAGTTTTGTCATTAGTTACTGTGAATTCATTTATTTTTGTGGGTACCAATTTTAGTAGATTGAAGGAGGATTGTATTTTTGTGGATTTGTAGAACTCAATTTAAACTTATAGAAAATATGTACTTTGTTAAACATTTAAATTTGTGGTTCACCTGTTCACACAAAATCCCTGATTGATTGATTTATTGATTGGTGTTTAAGGCCATTTTCAACATTATTGTGCTATTTCGTGGCAGTCAGTTTTTATTGATGGAGGAAGCCGGAGTGCCCAGAGAGAACAAAAACCTTTGGTAGGAAAACTGACAATACTAGTCAATTAAGATTGGAGTCGAGTGCACCTGCCCCGTGCGGGATTCAAACTCACAACCTCAGTGTTGACTGGTTAGTGATAAAGTAGTTTGCTACTTAGACCACTCTGCCACCGAGGCCTCTCAAAATCCCTGAAAATTAGTACCTAAGGAATAATGATCAACCCACAGTTGACTACTGTTTAGCTATCATTTCACATCATTTTATTTTGCAACAATGTTCAAGGGGTGGTATTTTGGTTAAACATCATCTGTTAATTGCCAGGATGAGCAAAGTTAGTGTATTGTTGATGAGTTTTTTATTAAAGAAAAATAGCCTTATGTTATAAACCAATGAAAAGAACTGATTATCAAAAAAATTGCATATAAAGTTTTACTATCCTATTATATCAAGACTTGATAGATCCTTGTTATAAATAGATTTTTGCTTAACATCCAGTGGTAATTACCGTCTTTTGGTGTGTATAAAACGCACCATACATAGTACGCACCCCCTTTTCACCCTTGAAACTTGAGAAAAAAAGTTTCTTCTTATGCTTTACACGCAGGGACTTTCTGGAAAAATTCCAACTTGAAACTCGGTAAAATGCGTCCATTGAAAATAATTTATTTTTTGGGGACAAATTGAACTCCAGTCCTGGTTGATTACAGGATAATGAAAACGTTGTTGCAGAATAAATAACTTAGCAAATGATGTTTGATTCTTTATTGTTCAACAGATGTGTTTGATTGAGAACACCAGGAAGTGTTAAATCGGGAAGTTATTTAAATGCAAATCGTAGTCGGTGAATCTTGTACGGAATACAGATTCATTACGAATATTCTTTAATACACAACAAATAAATAAATTGTAATATTTATGTTGATAAATTAAAAATAAATATTAATCTCTGCTAATTTCATTTATTGTTTGTTGGTACTCATTGAATCGTTAAATCTAGATTATCACACTCTTATAAATAATCAATTAGAAAGTCTAATCGTTGTCAAAACAAATCAATTGACAGGTTCACTTTGTTCCTCAGTCAGGTATTAAAATGGTATTTTGAAAACATGCTTATAATTTATGATTTGTATGAAGGTTTTTATAGAGAATTTTAAAATGTCACAAAGTAAAAACGTTTATTCAACTTCATAATGTTGAAGTCACATGACGTGATCACCTGATACTACAAAAGTAAAAAACAATGGCGGTCACTATCATCAAACGGGCGTGTTTCATTCAATTTTCATACATTCACCTTCTGTGTTCCTTGTTAGAACATATCAAAAGTAAGTTATAAACTCGAGAATCACCTACACTTATTTGGCCATTGACAGAATCATCTCTTATTCGGATATGAACAAATACAACTTCCGGGCGGCAACATAGAACAGACACAAGAAAACGCAAAAAACATAACTACTAAAGCATTTAAATGATTTTTATTTGCATATAACATTACAAATCATATACTAGAAGGTACAAATATACATTTTAAACATAACAACAATAATTTGTTTTGCTACAAAAATATTTTCTTCCTGACCACCTGACCTGGTTTCATGGCCGAGGCATACATAATATGCACCCCCTTCTCAGAAATCTCTCCCAGGGTCAAAATCCGCGTACTATACACACCTAAAAACAGTATTTCATGCTTAGTCAGAATGAGGATGATCTAGAAATTGGCATTGTCAATGTTCAACCTGACCTTTAAGCTATAAAGTTTAAATGGACAATTTCATTTCCATGCAACACCTGCAGATTAAAATTAACCTCCACAACAAACTATTGGTATTTGATGCAGTTAAAATTCATGGCTTGATTACAGAAATAAAGCTCTATATTTTTTTACCCATTATTTCAGTTTAAATGTGTAAAAGTGTTTTTCAATAGACCATACATGTTAATTGACACTATTGCAGTATAAAATATATAAGATAATTTAAACCCACCCAAAAAAAGTACACTTTCTTTAGGGTTCATAGAAATAAGGAATTATTTGAATCTGGAATAATTTTGAATTCTAGAAAATTGATAAGAAATGTATGATGAAAACTAACCCAATTTAGGAGGGTTAGACATGCATGAATGGCTAAGGGGGGTTAGTTAGTTCACACTGAAATATCAGTGAAAGTAAAATTAACCTTAGCAATGCATGAATGGCTAACCCTATTTAGTTGGGTTAGTTTTCATCATATATTTCTAATATCAATTTTCCAGAATTCAAAATTTTTCCAGATTCAAATAATTCCTAGTTTTAGTTTAAATGTAAAAACTCCTGCTTAACTTGTCAATATTTTTTATATAGCCAATAGACAAAGAGGAGGAAGATAAAAAAGAAAGAAAACACAGAAAGAAGAAAAAGAAGAAGAAGGCTAAAGATGATGAAGAGAAATTGTTGAAGGCTAAAGATGATGAAGACATATTATTTAAGGTTAAAGATGATGAAGACAAATTGTTGAACATAGACAAAGACATACAGAAACCAGAAGCAGAGAAAAAAGTTGCTGATTTATGGGAAGATAACCAATCAGATGAGGAGTATGCTATGGCTCCTTCATTGTTACCTATTGCTCCAAGACGCAAATCACCGACAAAAAATTGGACAATGGAGTCTGATAGTGATGATGAGAAACCATCAAGATCGCTTCGTATGAACATTCAACATGACTCAGATGATAATTCTGATTTGAACAATTTTAATAAAGTCAAAAAGAAAAGGAGAAGTAGAAGTCGACCACAAGATTCTTTCTCTGAAGAGGATCTTAAATACAGAGGCTCAAAAATACGCCAAAAGTTGAGAAAGAAAAGGTCGCGTACAAATGACAGTGACTCTAACTAATGGTGCCAAAATTTTATTTGTGTTAGTGGCCATAGTTTGGTCATAATGTTGTTCCATTAAGTTACAATCATTTTGTAATGGTTAAGGCCATTAACAATAAGTGTGATGTTTTTTCATATCTATTTATTCATTTTGATTATTGTTGATTGTTAAAATGTTTTTTTTTTTAAGTTTACCTTATTTTTTGGTAAATATTCTAAAAAGACGATGTTCTTGTACCAGTTTTCATACACATCAATAGTTGACAAGTTATGAATAACATTTATTTATTATGTGGATATACGATGGTCCTTTTTAGACATGGGCATTAGCCTAAGAAGTATTTACATTCAATGGCCTTATTTGAGTGTATGTATAGATGAATGAAATGAGGATTAGTATATTATGTAGTTGTAGTTTTTTAAACACAATTTTTAGATAATATTAAACATATTTAGTAACAATTTATATAGAACACACACATATAGTAATATGATGTAGCTATTTCAGAATAGTTTAAGGATTTCAAATTATCATATGGTAAGAAGGATAAAATTCCAATTTTTTTTCCTGTAGTATGATAAAAATGAGGGTATCAAAGAAAATTGGCTAATATTTTCCCCATCATATTATTACTTTGTTTAAGTTTTTAGTTATGGTAGTTTACCCTGAAGTTTTGGTCCCTTACTTCACATGTTCATTATGATGTTAAATTTCTAAATTGTATGCCGATTTCACGTTTATCTGAACATAGACATAGGATAGTGCTAGGGGGGCAGGGTGTACTATGGACACATATTTTTTATTATTCATGGAAAAGTCTGTAAAATTGAGAATGGAAATGGGGAATATGTCAAAGAGACAACAACCCGACCAAGGAGCAGACAACAGCCGAAGGCCACCAATGTGTCTAAGGAACTTATTATTCAGATACTTAATTTTGCCTCAGATCATCTATTGGAAAATACTTGTTGGAATTTGAGAAAATTTTATAATCGGGAATTGTATTAGTTGCATTTTTAATTAAACACGCACAGTATATGACAGGACAAGCATTACTTTGTAGTGCAAGAAACCAATATAACCTAGTCTAGTTAATGTAAATTTTGGTATAATTTTGTACACTGGTGAGTCAAACAAGTTATGAATTGCATTAATTCTAAAGAGGGAACATCGTATACCGAGGACATTTATATTGTTGGATGCCATATGCTGACTTCTGAGATTGTTGTCTCATTTGCATTTATCACATATTTCTTTCATTAGATTTATATGCATTTATTGTTTTATCTTTGTCAAATGTATTTCTATCATGTTTTTTTTCATTTTTTTCTATTAACCCTTGTAAATGGTTGTGATTCAAAGATTTGGGAGCAGAAGTGGATTCCAAAGAGTGGCTTAGAGAGCATACCCCTTAAAAATAATTGGTTTTCTTTAAATTGTCAAATATTTTTTTTTAACATTTTTTTATATTTACACCCTTTTCCTCAACCTTGGATCTGCCCCTGCTAAGCCAGTTGTATTAGATAGAATTAATATTTAAATCTTAAACTTGAACTTCAAATTATTGGTTTTGATACTTGAATCAACTAGTTTTAAATAGTGTATTGAAATCACATGTAAATTTTTGTATGTCACAAATAGTAATTAGTTGGTAGAAATCATGTGAAAGTTGTTTATTTTTGGGGTAGATTTTGTATGAATTTTTTTACACAAAGCTGGTGACCATCTTTTATCATTTTATATTTCAGATTACTAACATATAACATTTATTGTTTGTTATAACACTTTATGTAAATTGACATCTTTCAATTTCTGTGTGAATGTCTTGTTCCCTTTTTTTTTAGCTATGAAACTATAAGAAGAGAATATTACAATTTTACCATGGGGTCAAGATTTATATTCAAAATAGATCTAGCTTTTTAGGCATAACAGTGCCTTGTGTCAAACAAATAATGAAATAATTTGATTGACTTCTTTTCAATATGTATGACATTTTTTTTATCCAATACTCAAAAATATACCAGTTATTACAGGTATGCAGCAAAAAGGTTGAGAAATTTTACTATGAATTCGGTTATTTTCGTTGGTACCAATTTTAGTGGATAAGGGAAAAATTGTAGTTTCATGGTTTTATATAATTCTGCATACAAGCGTGTAGAAAATTTGTATTTTGTTGAACATGTAAATTCATGGTCCACCAATACAGATGAAAATAAGTACCCCACTTATAATAATAAATCCTCAGTATCACAATTTTTTGTTATCCATGATCAGTTTTTTTTTATTCTAATTGGTCATTATGGAAATTAAGTTGTTATACTGATAGTTGAAACTATTAACAATCTTAACAATTGAACAAAGTCCCTGTATATTTTTTTTAAAGCAAACTGATCTCAGGAATATTCTGTTTTGTAAGCCTGGTTGTGCCAAAGTGATACTTTCAAACACAACATTTTTACCTTCTAATGTGTTTATTATCTTTCCATGATTTGTGATACTTTCATGTGTTAATTGCCTTTTTATGTTTGTATTGAGTCTGTTTTCTACAACAAACATATGAAAAAGGCAATAGGCCACTTCCCAGTTATTGCAGCCATATTGAATAACAGGCAGATTTTTTTGATAGAGGTGGAAATATTTAAAAGTACAGGAAATCCTATGCATGTTTCCATGCAACTGTTCTGTTTCAATGATGTTTACCTGTATTTTCAAAGCATTTTCACCTTCTTTATGAAAATCTGCCCCCTATTCAACAAGGCTACAATAACCGTGAAAGGGCCTATTGATTTCGTCCTTCAGTTGTTCCATTTATTTTTAATATATTTTTAAACATTTATATTTATTGTTTTTTATGATTGTTTAATAATAGTGGCTCAGTATACTGTATTAGTTTATTTGTGTAGATGAAATTCCTTACAGTAGTATATTTTTATAATGCTGTTTAAATTTATAGCTGTGATACGATTTGAATGACCAATTTCTACATTCCATCCTATTTCTAAATGACAGAATCAACACCTTTTTTTTTACGTGTCTATTTTTGCATTAGTGAATGCATTTTTTTTTTAATTCAAATTGCAATTTAAGTGATATAAGAGATTAAGGAGAGCACAGCAGATACTTTTCAAATCACTCTATTACATCATGTTATGTAACCTATGTATAGTTGATGTAAAAAAAGAACTCTTATGGTGACCTTTATAATAGTTGTAAACTTCTATGTCATTTGGTCTCTGGTGGAGAGTTGTCTCATCAGCAACCACATCTTCTTATTTTTATACTCAGAAGAAATAATTCAAATTATGACATTTGAAAAAATTTTCATCAAGGAATCTTTATTATAATAAACCATGTGATTCATATATAAAAAGAACAGAAAGATATACAAACTGAAACATCCTGGGTAATATTTAAATGTAATGTTGGGACTTGAATAAACGACTCTTTTTGGCCAAACTTTTATGCACAATGTGAATAATTCCTTAGGTTTATATATGAACAAATTTATCCCTCTAAGTTCATACCTGAGGCGAGGTATTCCATCTAGAACCCTGAACTCTGCCAGAGTGCTGTAAATTCAGAAATAAATGTCTGCATTTATTATTGAGAATCACTGATTACTGGTAAAATGGGATATCTAGTTAATGCCATTGGAAAAATTTTGGGAAGGAAAGTTGCTACTGAAATAATGAATGCTACTTCCTATTATTAAGTCTCCCAAACGAAGTTTGGGAAGACTTATTGTTTTTGCTCAGTTCTTATTATTATTATTATTCTTCTTCTTCTTCTTCTTCTTCTTCTTCTTCTTCTTCCGCCGCTTTTAAATTTGAACTTGTCCGCACCCGTTCTCCAAAACCGCCTGTCAGATTAACTTAGGGTTTCACAATATGGTAGACTAACATGTCTAGTGGTGCAATCAGGGTTTTGTTTGTGCAATGGGGTTTATAAAGGGGTACTTTGAGGGGCAAAAAGAAAAGAGGGTTTTACTATAGAACCCTATGGGATTTTATTTTTAAAAATTTTCAAATGATTATAAATTGAAAACCATTTGTGATAGACACAATCTTTTTAATTGAAAATGTTCTAATTGATAAAGCCCATTAAATGAAATACAGGGTTAGTCCCCAGGGGTCACCCCCACCCCCTGCCATTTAAGAAAGTTCTAATACCTTGTAAGTGGTCAAGATCCCCACCCCTAAACCATATATATTCTGTTTTGTCATGCTAAGATGGTTTGAATGATGTACAGGGTTAGTCCCCAGGGGTCATCCCAACCCCCTGCCATTTGAGAACGTTCTAATATCTTGTAAATGGTCGAGATCCCCACCCCTAAACCACATATATTCTGGTTTGTCATGATAAAGCACATCAAATGTAATACAGGGTTAGTCCCCAGGGGTCACCCCCACCCCCTGCCATTTAAGAAAGTTCTAATATCTTGTAAGTGGTCAAGATCCCCACCCCTAAACCATATATATTCTGGTTTGTCATGCGAATATGGTTTGAATGATATACAGGGTTAGTCCCCAGGGGTCATCCCGACCCCCTGCCATTTGAGAAAGTTCTAATATCTTGTAAATGGTTGAGATCCCCACCCCTAAACCATATATATTCCTATTTGTCATGTCTCGAACATTTGAATGACTTATACGGTCAGTCCCCAGGGGTTCCCCCCACCCCCAATGTTCTTATATCTTGTAAATGGTTGAGATCCCCACCCCTAAACCATATATATTCCTGTTCGTCATGTAATGAACATTTAAATGACGTATAGGGCCAGTCCCCAGGGGTTCCTCCCCACCCCCAATGTTCTAGTATCTTGTAAATGGTCGAGATATCCACCCCTAAACCATATATATTCTGGTTTGTCATGCCAAGATGATTTGAATGATATACAAGGTTAGTCCCCAGGCATCACTAATGCATATAACTTTACTGGACCAAACCAATTTTCACTGGACGTTGCCCAATGTCAGGCGACCCTGGGAATTACGAATTATGGGAGCTTCGTTTGGGAGACTTTGTAACAGCATCCTGTTACAATCATTTCTTGTTTGGAACCTAATACTGTCGCTTTTTTGCATAAATAAAAAAATCGCAATAATTTGTGATTTTACAATATATGGTTTGGATTCCAGACAGATGCACTATATTGCAAGCTATACAACATTTTGACGCTCTGAATTTTTTACTACATCAAAAAAAGATAGCATCGGTATACATATACAGTAAAACTTTTTTCATTTTCCAGCTATATATAGATCCTGAAATTGCCAAGTAGGTGTATCAGTCAATGTGTATCTCCTTTATATCTCTTGATTTAATAGCAATTTGTACAATCAGTCATATACACACTATAGGTCTTTTTGCATTGATTATGTTATGTATTTTTTCACTCAACGAATTAAAAACTTTTACATTTTATACATACGCACAACTGTTCTGTTATTTATGACGTTTATTTATTTTCACAAATTACATTCCATAACTTTTATTGTGATAGATCTGGCTGGTTTTTCTTGTTATTTCGACATTCTTTTTATTAACTTTCATATCATCTTTTTGTATAAATTATTGTTAAAATGTATTTTATAAATCATACATTGCTTAGTTTTGTTTAAAGCATGATCCGTCCATTTTTTAATAAAATGTAGTAAATAATTTGAGTCTCTCAATCATATCTGCATGTGAATTTAAGAAAGTACTACTTCTGTCCATGTTTTTTGTCATGCTTGCCTGAATGACACAGAATTTGAGACATAGGGATGCTAATCTGGCGGCAACGTTAGCTATTTGTATAAAGCTTTATATTTCAGAAGAGTTTGTTTGAATTTTCTTTCTTGCATATGTCTTTGTCCTTGAACTCTTTTTCCTGTTCAAGGACCTTTTTATCATATGATTTTTTTCAGTAATTTTGAGTGATAGGACATATTTGGTATATATATTCATTGCAAGGTGTACATGTCCTTCAATAGGGGTTCATCTTAACTTATTCTAATTTGATGGTTCAGTGATCAAGATTAATTTTGTGATGAGGTTTCAGATATTTTAAGCAATGTAATGACTGTACACATCAGACCTGCAGGTTCTGAACTTGACCTCATTTTCATGGTTCATTGGTCAACATTTAGTTTTGTCCATTTCTCAATTACTATCAGCAATAGGTCAATTACATTTGGTGTATAGAATAATTATAAGGATCTCGGACCTACTGGCAGGGTTCATTTGACCTTGACCTCATTTTCATGGTTAGTGATCATTCAAGTTTGTTATTTGGTCTGTTTCTAAGATAGTTTTAGCAGTAGATTAACTAACTATGTTTGGTGAAAAACTGATTGTAAAGGTAAATTTCCACCTGACGGGGTTTCATTTCCATGTTTCATTGTCAATGGTTAAGTTTTTGTGATATTATAATAGGTCTACTTTTGATGGATAGAATGTCAGTTGTAGATTTCATCCTGACAGGGTTCATTCATTTGACCCTGACCTCATTCTTTATAATATCTGATTGTAGGTCACTTATTATCTCAGAACTGATTTCAAACATAAAAATGTGCCACCTGCTTTTAAGATTGTGATTGAATTTAATGTTGAAATTCTTTAAGTATAAGGTCTTACTACAAGTATCACATGAAGGAGCAGATACAATAAGTTCCATTATTTGGCCCCTGTAATTCCAAAAATACTAAAACTGTTCTATACTTTCTAAATTATGTTACTGTAATTTTATTAAAAAATGAACAGGTTAATATAATTTGAACACTATTGTGCCAAAAGGTCACTTATGTCATGATGGCAGCATAAGTGTGTCTAAATTGACATATTTGACCAAAAATGTCCATTTTACACATAATTTTTGGACAAAATAAATATGAGCAACTGCTTTACTCTAAAAAATATTTTGCACACAGTAACATTTTTGTAAAGTACTTTTGGTATTAAAATATCTTTTTCATATCTAAATGTTAATAACAAGACCTAACAAGAGTGAACATGGTGAAATGTCTCGCCTCCTTTACTGATCATGATCGTGTCAAAAGGTTATACAACAAGTATTGCATAATATTAACATTATCAGTGTTCGATGTAAATGAGGAGCAGCCAGATGAACCCTCCAAGACAGATATGAACACCTTACAATCATTCCATACACTAAATACAGTTTATGTATTGTTTTTAGTATCTGACTTTTTGAACCATGAAAATGATGTCAGACAGATGTACACACCATACAATCATTTCATACACTAAATATAGTTACCCTATTGATTATAGTATCTAAGAAATGGACTTAACCATAAAACAATACACTGACTTTTGAATCATACAATGGGCTAAGGTCATAAGAATCTGTCAGACAGACATATAGACCATACAATCATTTCATACACCAAATAAAGTCCTTACCCAACTTAACATTGACCAATGAACCATACAAATTAGGTCATAGTCAGATGAACCCTGTCAGACAGATTTTTACACCTTACAATCATTCCATAGACCAAATATAGTTGACCTTTTACTTATCATATCTGAGAAATGGACTAAAAATTGACCAATGAACCATGAAAATGAGGATATCATCAGATGAAATATGCCAGACAGACATGTACACCTTGCAATCATTCTATACACCAAATATAGTTGACTTTCTGATTATAGTATCTTTGATAGGGACCTGACCTCCAAAGCTTATCCATGATCACTGATTTATCAAGTGAGGTCGAGGTCAGGTGAACCTTGTCTGACAGACACATAGACCTTGCAAGGATCCAATATACCAAATATAATTATCCTACTACTCATAATGAGTGAGTATTTCTGTGGTCAAGGACAATGGATATATGCCAGACAAAAACTTTGTAACATAAGGTATCTGCATACAAGGTATGAAGCATCCAGGTCTTCTTACTTCTGAAATATAAAGTTTTATACAAATAGTTTACGCTGTCGCAGCCTCCACCAGATTGTAAACTCAGTCTCAAATTCTGCGACTTTTGTCACATACTAGACAAAAAATAGTACATAAGTTGAAATGATTTAATTTCACTTTTAAATACATGAACCTGAAATATGTCTATTATTATTTGTGAGTTAACATCAAATAGCTAATTCATAGTTGCAGCACTATTTAATGTTTCTTCTCTTTTTCCTGCATTTGGACTCTGGACATTGCTTTAGTTCAGGTCTTCCTTTACTTTTTCTAAAGTTACTGAATGAAATTACTCCAAAGGTTAGTCATAGATATATCAGTGTTGGACATAAAATTGAGAATGGAAATGGGGAATGTGTCAAAGAGACAACAACCCGACCAAAGAGCAGAAAATGGCCCACGGCCATTAATGGGTCTTCAACACAGCAAGAAAATCCCGCACCCGGTGGCGGGCTTCAGCTAAACAAAAATGTGTACTTGTTCAGTGAAAACGCACGTCACACTAAACTCCGAAACATATAAATGAACTAAAATTAAAAAACATACAAGACTAACAAAGGCCAGAGGCTCCTGATTTGGGACAGGCGCAAAAATGCAGTGGGATTAAACATGTTTTGTGACATCTCAACCCCACCTATACCTATAGCCAATGTAGAATAAACAAACACAGCAATACACACAGTAAAACTCAGTTTAAAAGAAGTCTGAGTCCGATGTCAGAATAGGTAACAGAAGAAACTAAGCAAAATGACAATGATACATAAATTAACAAAGGACTACTAACAGTAACTAACATGCCAGCTCCAGACCTCAATTAAACTGATTGAAAGATTATGTCTTCATCATCTGAAAATCAAGCACAATCCCTCCCGTTAGGGGTTTAGTATCACACCATCATAAAATGTATGAGAAGAACATAACCCGTATCATGCCATTTACTGTTTTTAGAATAAATGTGTTTATTTCCGATGCAAAGACCCTATGAGTGAATCAATATTAATTCCAAAATATGCCATCTTTAATGACCTGACAACAGTATCCTAACTAAATCCCTTCTGAATAAGTCTGTTTAAAGGTTTGGTTAGCTTTTGAGGTGAATGAAGAAATTTTTGTGCTTTGTATAGAATATTACCATAAAAGATTGGATGTGAAAAACCTGAATGTATAAGATGTCTGCATGTTGATTTATATTTACGAATGATGTCCTTGTACCGATGATAAAATTTAGTAAATGTTTTGACTAATTTGTGATATCGAAAACCCTGGTGTAATAATTTTTCAGTAATGCAAAGATTTCTTTTGTTAAAATCAAATACATTGTTACAAACACGAACGTATCGAACAAGTTAAGATATATAAACACCATAAGATGGTGACAAGGGAACGTCACCATCTAAAAATGGATAATTAACAATAGAAAATGAAAAATCATCTCTTTTATCGTAAATTTTGGTATTCAGCTTCCCGTTAAAGATATAGATATCAAGATCCAGGAAAGGGCAGTGTAAGTATTAGCTTTATTTAAATTCAATTCAGCAGGATAAATCTCTTTAGTGTACATACTGAAGTCGTCATTATTGAGAGCCAATATATCATCCAAATATCTAATAGTGTTATTAAATTTTTGTATCAGATGTTGTTTCGATGGGTCTTTGCTGATTTTAGTCATAAATTGTAACTCATAACAATACAGAAACAGGTTCACAATAACAGGTGCATAGAATGATTTCATAATCAGGAGGTCAAGCCCCAGGAGCTATCTTTCAGTAACTGGAAGAATTCTGAAAAGGTTTTTTTGTTGGCATCTCTGTACTATTTTCAGTTAGGTGCTTTTACTGTTCTGACTTTTTGTTTCTTTTTAGTGTATTTTGTAATTCCATAAGATGACAGTTTTTTATCATATGTTGCAAGAAAAATCTTCTTCCATTTGGATATAAAAAGGATATTACTTGGCAGATCTAGAAAGGACGAAACTGGTATCACAGATCCCAAAATATACTGAGTATTCTGTCTTTCCCTCTAGACTGGTCTATTTCGTCTATGACAATGACATACTGCTGATTTATTTATTTTTGTGGTTACCATTTTTCATCGACTTAGGAAAAATTGTATTTCGTGGTTATTTGATTTTTATGGGTTTACAAATGTCTGCATACAAGCCTATAGAATATTGTATTTTGCAAGCTTGTGAACTGACGTCGCAATCAAAAGGACCTGTGACAAAACTGAGAATCAGATCAGTTTAGAACTGTATAGTTTGCTTAAAAGTGACCTGGTGACCTCAAGTAAGATTTATATAAACAGACCTTATGATCTAAAGGGGTACCATACTGGAGCCTAATTTATGCATTGTACGATATATCAGTTCAAAATTATTAAGAAACTAAAGGTTCCAACTCCTTAGGCAAAGTTTAACTATGATGGATTAAGCTATTCTTTTTGGCCTCTTTTGGTTATATTTCTCACACATTGAATCATTTGTACATCCTTGAATTTCAAATTTTTGGGTTTGAGGCTTGAGCATTCCCGATCAGAGCACTTCAGACACACCAAATTTATAAAGTTTTATTTCCAATTTCAATACATGATCTGAATAATTGTAATAAATGAAACCATGTTAATTAATCACATCTGTTACTAAACAGTTATTTGTATGATTTGGGGCCTTTAAAAAAGAAAAAGTCTCATGTTTCATGATCATTCTTGTCAATCATAATATAATCATCTTGTTTTTGACTGTTTAGAAGCCTTTAAAAATAACATACAATAATATTAAAACATTCATTACAAACAAGTACGTTATCACCAATTGTTTCAGTGTCTTTTTGTAAAACAAAAGAGTCTAAATATAAAACAAATAATTTTAACAATGAAAGAACCTTAGTGAGCGCGCTCACATACCCCACATCCCCACATTGTCATTGGAGAAATAAAATAAGTGTAAGAAAAAAAAATTGTATCAGAATAAAAAATTTAATCATAATTTCCTGTCAATATGCACATCTACATAGTATGTCCTTATTATCTACACAGTTTCATGAAATTCTGTTGTGTGGTTTGAGAGGAGTTGCGATGAAAAAAGATTGCAGTAGTTTATTGGGCAAATGAGTTCAAAGGGGCGTAACTCCTGGAAAAAAAATTGAATCGTAATTTCCTGTCGATATGCACATCTACGTAGTATGTCCTTGTTATCTGAAAAGGTTTCATGAAATTCTGTTGTGTGGTTTGAGAGGAGTTGCGATGACAAAAGGTTGCAGTAGTATATTGGGCAAATAAGTTTAAAGGGGCGTAACTCCTGGAAAAAAAATTGAATTGTAATTTCCTGTCGATATGCACATATACGTAGTATGTCCTTATTATCTGAAAAGGTTTCATGAAATTCTGTTGTGTGGTTTGAAAGGAGTTGCGATGACAAACTGTTGCAGTAGTACATTAAAGTAAATAAGTTCAAAGGGGCGTAACTCCTAGAAAAAGAATTGAATCGTAATTTCCTGTCGATATGCACAACTACATAGTATGTCCTTATTATCTAAAAAGGTTTCGTGAAATTATGTTGTGTGGTTTGAGAGGAGTTGCGATGACAAGAAACAGGACTGACGGACTGACGGACGGACAGACGGACGGGTCAAAAACATTATACCCTCTGCAACTCGTTGCGTGGAGTATAAAAAATACATAAAGTCTACTTCTCAACATAAAAAATATACAAACTAAGTTAAGATTATTCAAAAGATAGTTAGGCAAAATGCATTTTTGATATTTTTACACTGGTGAATCGTGGAAAATTTTGCTGAAATTTTTGGCACGGAAGGATTTTTTAGCCTTGTCTAAATTTTTATTAGAAGGGCTTATATTTTATGATCAAATATGTTTCTTTGTTAGCAGATAGTTTAAGATTATTGATATAGACAAATCCAAAGCTGTTTATAACTGGCATCACTCTTATCTTTGGTGTATAATTTATTTCATCATAAACTAAATTTTCTCTTCTGACTGGATTATCATACATATAAATTATAAGAACTAGTTTATGTCAATAAAAATATTTAAACAAAAATTTAATTGATTTTAATAGCATAAACAGATCACTGTCCTTAGAATCTTTTAATTATAATTTTTTATCAGAATTTCTTTAATAAAACATTGCATGCTTATAAATATAAAAAAAAAAAGAACTAATTTTACTCATGATAACCAATTTTCAAGAAAGAATTACAAATAAAGATCCTTAGTTTATACTATTCACATCTATTTTACAGGCAAACATCCTTGTAACAAGATATCATCAAATTATCTAAATAATATATAATAATTTTGGCTTATCAAGAAAGATTAGAATTTTCTAGAAGCTGCTGGGAAATTCTATTTAATGAATTTAAAGCCAAACTGACAACAATTGAACTCCAATGAACTAATTATCTCATTTAAAAACTAAATGTGTCGGAACGACACGAATGGCCCCGCTCACAAAAAAAGCTTTTAGCCATTTATGGAGTGGAAATTTGAAAGTCCAAAGCCTATCATTTCAGCACAAATCAGTGGAGTGGAACTAAACATAATGTTGATCTGTAACTAATCATTGTAGACTCACATACTAAAAATCGGCTCAAAATGTAAAGGAGTTAAGAATAAAAATCTGTATAACTGTTATTTTCACGAAATTTTAAAAGTCAAAAGCCTGTAATTATGGTAAAAATCAGTGGAGCGGAACCAGACGTAAACTCGATCTGTAACTCATCATAGTAGACTAACATACTAAAAATTAGCTCAATATGTGAAGGCGTTTAGAAAAAAAGTCTGTATAACTGTTATTTTCATGAAATTTTCAAAGTCCAAAGCCTGTGATTTCCGCAAAAATCAGCGGAGCGGAACCAAACATAAACTTGTTCTGTAACTCATCATAGTAGACTCACATACAAAAAATCAGCTCAATATGTGAAGGCGTTTAGAAAAAAGTCCCTATATCTGTTCGTTGTGGAACAACGGAATGACAGAATGACGGATGAGGGTAAAACTATATGACCCTGACAACCTTGTTGCACGACCATAAAAAAGCAATAAAAAAGATCTGTGTGGAGGAATTTTAACAGACTAGGGAGATATGCTTGATAAACTAAGGTCTAACAATAAAAAAGTTTCACATTTTTCCACATTCTTCATATAATTTGGAAATCAATGATTCATTACTTAAAATGCTTCTCCATTTATCTTTCAGTTGTACATTGGTTCTAAATGTGTGTAAATTGTCCCTTATTTTAGACCAGTTTCCTACGCCATGCTTTTTAACTTGTTTATAGAAGTCTTTGGTTTCTCCATAATTCCATGGAATTCTTTGTCCTTTCTTGGGATTCAAAATGGAGGATTCCGCTTCAAGTCCAAGACGTTTGTGCAGAGGAGATATTTTTTCACTGTCTGCAAAGAAAAAGTAAAGCATTGTTGATATTGTGAGCAAACTAATCTTATTTGATCACAAAAAGCAGAATATCCATAGATGGAAATTATTTATACTTTAAATCATATTTTAATTTTGTTTTTGCAAACAGTTGTTGGAAGCTCTTTTTAAGCAATGAAACAGATAAACATGCAACTTGGTTGAAAAGTCTCTTACTTTAGTACATGTACCGGTAGATCTTATTTGTGCAGAAATTAAAGAACCTATGTGAGCACGCTCACAAACCCCACAGCCCCACATTGTCACTGGGTAAATGAAATCTCAACATATTCCCAAGTTCAAAGACTCATAACTCCTACAAAAGTCAACTGATATAAATTTCTTGTGAATATGGACATCTACATAGTATGTCCTAACTATCGTCAAAGTTTCATGAAATTCTCAAGTGTGGTTTTAGAGGAGTTGCGATGACAAACTGTTGCAGTAATATAATTAGGCCAAAATTTTATGTTCAAAGGAGCATATGGAGAGTTGTCTCATTGGCACTCATACCACATCTTCCTATACCTAACTATCTTTCAAGTTTCATGAAATTCTGTAGTGTGGTTTCAGAGAAGTTGGTTGACAAACTGTTGCAGTAGTATATTTAGGCAAAAATTTCAAGTTCAAAGGGGCATTACTCCTAGAAAAAAATTTGAATCATAATATCCAGTCAATATGCACATCTACATAGTATGTCCTTATTATCTACAAAAGTTTATGAAATTCTGTTTCAGAGGAGTTGTGATGACAAAAACAAGGCTGACAGATGGGTTAAAAACATTAAACCCTACAGAACTTTGTGAACGAGTATAGTCCTCTCGAAGAAAAATGAACATAAAATTACCCCAATGTGTTGAATTTCTAAGTAAAAAGATTTTGGAAGGAAAACAAAAAACAAAGTTCAAAATAATGAATAAAATATTGAAATCACAAGTTTTTAGTGTGCATCAAAATAAGTTTCCATATTTGTTCTAGGTCAATAAATTTGTAAACAATCAGAATGGCAAGTTACATTTATTGTTTGTGGACAACTTTGATGTTTGACCATGCTGAAAATTATGTTTGTGGAACAAATTTTACCCGAGATAATTACGGAAAGAATTACTAGACCCAAGCAAAGAAATTCATTAAAGGTCAATGAAAAATGAAACTTTTAATTAAACTGATCAAACTTTTGTGAAATAAAAGAAGAATGTGTCTGAGGACACGAATGCCCCCGCTCAAGCTTTGCAAAAAATAGGACAGACAGATGGTCAAGGGTAACACTTAATGCCCCCATTGCCTACAGGGGGGCATAAAAATTAAGACAAGGCCTGTGCAAAAAGCTCTTCAGGAGAAAGTTAAAAACATATACATCTGTAACTATTAGTTTTAGTTTTGCAAGTACTTGAGTATTTCATATTTCCTTATCTTTGTAAACATCACATGTGAACTGTCTATTCTGTTTCATTTCTTATGAAATAAATTTCTTTAATACTGCATGTGCTGTTGATGCATATGTATTGGGATAATTTAATTCAGACCTCAGATGACTCTAACCTCGGATAAGTCGACGAGATTATGTCAGAAGACATCTCTTACAGATCTCTTTAACTGCATCAAAAACAATATTTTCATTTTTATTTCAAATCTTCACTGTGTGTCTCATTTGTTATAGGGTCATACTTTTATCTGCTGAAAAGTTAAGTTTTATGATGTATGATGTACATTGAATCCCAATTATTGTCATGTTGACCAATTATGTCTGTTTGGGTTGCTCACACTGTCGATATAACAGAACTACAAACAACTGTCAAATCAGTGCGTGGCTAAGCTAGCTATAAAACCAGGTTTAACCCACCATTTTCTTTGGAAAATATTTGTACAAAGTCAGGAACATGACAGCTGTTTTCCAGTCCTTCTGTTAGTCAAAATTGTTGAGCTTTTGGTTTTGTCAGTTTTTATGGACGTCCTTGGAGTTTGGTATTTTTGTATTTACAATTATTATTAATACACCACATAATTTTGTATGTAATTTTCATACTTGAGCACCTTAACCATACTTGTATAAATGTTTATTTTTTCACTTCTGTAAACTATAAAAATATTTCATGGCTTCTTTGTTCATATCTAGAATTATGAAAAAAAGTCTAATGCAATAAATAATAGCAAATAGTTTTTAATCATCTGGTCTTATTTTATAAACAATGCCCCTGTTAACAAGTTGAACCATTTTTAACTTACCACTTTCATCATTGCTACCATTATCCATTTTCTTTGGTGTACCTTTCTTTGGAGTACTAGTCTGCTGAACAGTTCTCTTTCTGAGTCTGAAACATTTCATATATAACAAACTTATTTATTCTACTTATAGGAACTTGATGCCAAAATAAATTACAAACATGGTCTATAAAAATTGAAATAAGGTTTGAACTAGCTTTTGTGTACCTTTGTCATTTTGTTAGTTGTGCTTGTGTTTAGGACTAATATGACTAGTCAATTTAAATTGATTCTTGTTCTAACGTACACACCCTGTATCATAGGTACAGCAGATATAGGTACTAACCAAGCTGGCGTGATCGATTTTGACCTGACACGGTAAGAAAATCTTCGTTTTGTTTACATAATATCAATGTGTACTTCAATCTAAACATAATTGTTGTTTTAAGAAATGATTTTGTCGTAGGTTGATGAATAAAGAAGTCTCATTATTTTCCCAAAACAAGAACGCTTACTAAAAGCATGTGCAAATACTTGTCAAAGAACTTGGGGCTCGTCTCATCCGATATGATTCTATATTCATTGCAACTCTTTTTCTGATAGAAGGCCACTGTGTGTGCGTAATAAGTATAGTTGTTTCAATAATTGGCATTGAAATCTTTCATACATATGTTATTTTTCGATATTCAATTCCGAAAAGAAGCATTGTGTACGGTGTATAGCTGACCACATAAATCCTTCTGTATGGTGCATAGTTAAGTGAATGTACGGTATATAGCTTTTTTAGGTAAAAATCGATCACGCCCCGCTTGGTTAGTACCTATATCCGCTGTACCGATGATACACTGTGGTACAACACAGTCACGGGTTAGGAACAGTTTTGAGAGTTCACAAAGACGTTTAGCCCTGCCACAGCCTTTATACGCTTGTCCTAAGCCAGGTGCCTGTAGTTCAGTGCTGTCTTTTTGCCTTCTGTCTTATTTGTTTTTCATTTAATGCAATAATCATAAATCAAGCTATGAAATTCATTTGAATTTCTTCACATCTTGTTATCCCAGAACCTTTTATAGCATACTATAAGGTATGGGTTTGGTCATTAATGAAGGCTACACACCCTTGTTCTTTGGTCTTAAGTTCAATTTTTATCAAAGGATAACCAAGATTGAATCGTCCCCTTTGCCTCTTTTAAACCAGAGTGTACAGGCTGAAATGTCTTGTCTGCTTTACTGATGATGATTGAATACATGTGCAAAGCCTTATTCTATTGTGACAGTGAAATACAGAAAAACAATTAAAAATAACACATTTTGATTCAGACTTTATCACTTAATAATAAAAAAGTTTCTGCTAAAGTTTCATAAAATTCTATCAATGTTTGACAAATTAATTGATGCCTAATAAACTTTGAACCCAATACTGTATATAAATGCTTAAAAAAACAACTTTTTGTAAGTAAAATACAGAAAAATGAACAAAAAAAAAAGTTTTCAAAATTTTGGTGTGGATACTGTCTATTGATAATAAAAAGCTTCTTTCCAAGTTTCATAAAAATCCATGAAGGTTTGGCAAAGTTACTGATGTCTTAAAAACTTTAACCTTAGACTGTATCTTAATATTAACTGTCAAAAAAGACTGTATCTTAATATTAACTGCAAAATAAAATCCTTTTGTTAGTAAAATATAGATAAATGGGAAGAAATTTAAACATTTAGCTGTGGATACTGTGTTTTGTTCATATAAAAGCTTATATGTTTTAAAAATAGAATAAGAATTTCTGTAAGGACACAAATGCCCCCGCTAAAGCTTCCCAATTTTCCATGTTATAAAGGAGCACAACTCTAGAACAACTCTAGTAAGCGACTCGCTACCTAAATTCAAACTCTGTCTGCAAGTTTTGGTTTTTAGTATTGTGTATAAGTTTCATAAAAATTCGATGAGGCAAACTTAAGTAAGAATGCGGAAACGAACAAATTTGCTTTTTTTCAAGTTACAAAGGGGTATAACTCAAGAATGGTTAGTGACTTGCTACCCAAACTTGAACTCTGTCTGCAAGTTTTGGTTTTCAGCATTGTGTCTGAGTTTCATAAAATTTGGATTAGGCAAACTTACATGCAAGTTAGAATGCGGAAACGAACAAATTTGCAATTTTTCAAGTTATGAAGGGCATAACTCTAGAATGGTTAGTGACTTGCTGCCAAAATTCAACTCTGTCTGCAAGTTTTGGTTTTTAGCATTGTGTCTTAGTTTCATAAAATTTGGATGAGGCATACTTAAGTTAGTGTGTGGAAACAAACAAATTTGCAAATTTCTAAGTTATAAAAAGGGCATAACTCTAGAACGGTAGGCGACTCGCTACCCAAATTCAAACTCTGTCTGCAAGTTTGGTTTTTAGCATTGTGTATAAGTTTCAAAAAATTTCGATGAGGCAAACTTAAGTTGGAGTGTGGAAACGAAAATGGGACAGGCAGAAGAACGGAAGGAAAGACGGAAGGAAGGACGGACGGTCAAGGGTAACACTTAATGCCGCTGTTGCCTATGGTGGGTGCATAAAAATTCCATGAAGGTTTGACAGTCAATTATGTTAAAAAAAAAATTTAACCAGAGTGAACCTAAATGTCAACGAAGCTGCAGACAACGGAATGTAGGATCGATATGCATCTCTTCAGTGACAAAACTTAGTAATACAAAAATAAAAACAGATCTTTCTTCTTTCTTTCACTGTCTAAAAATTTCCCGAAACAAATCAAAGTCTTTGACTCTTATTGGAAGAAGTGTATATGAACATGTGGAGATATACAACAATTTGTCGCATTGAGGTCAAGCGAATAAAAATTGTACAAACCTGGAAGTATTTTCTTCATGTTCTGTCTCATCTGAAACAAATAAATATAGTACTTATAAATATCATTATAAGATTAAAGAGACAAGTTTAACTGAAATCTCTACAGAAATAAAGATTCTCTTAGGAATATATATATATTTAATTCAGATTTGAAAATATATGTAATTTTTTTTTAAAAGGGCCTAAAAAATTTGGAGGTAATCTGTTATTTTGGGAGTTTCTGAACCAATAATCATGATAATATATATATATATATAATTTTTATATATTGTAAATTCAGAAATAATTGTGTGCATTTATCATTGTGAGTTTTGCAAAATGAACCAAAAAATGCGAGTTTAATTATTAGGAAAAGCTACATACAGATATATGTATTTGATAACAGAATGTGAGTACTTACTATTGCGATACTGAAGTAGTCACATTAGTCGCATTAATAAAAACCTCGCAATAATATCTGAAGTAACAGTATCTAGGTCCACCCATGTCTGAAGACTTTTCCATTTGTTCAGGTGTGTCTGTACACTTTGAAGTGTAAACATGACTATATTTTCCAAAAGGTAATGATGAACCATAATTAGTAAATCATCGTAAAAAATACAATAGACCCTGTGATCTCTTTTCCTTAAGGTGAAAAACCCTAACCATGATGTGTTAAACAAGTAATACAGTTCTGTATTTTAGACACACGCTCTGCCTTGGATTTTGCTTACGAAATTTTGATCAAATCCCCATATTTTGATCTGTATTTGACAAATAATGCAAATTGCAATCAAACACATCTCTAACACAGATACACCTGTTTCTGTAAAAAAAAACTACTTTTATTCTGGATTTACAGGTTTCATTAAGTTTTGAACCTTCAACCATAAAAGCTAATTTCTAGTTAGAAATCTGTTGAAAGTAATGACAATCTGTACAATACTGGTTTGGCTGTTCTCTGATTAGGCTCTCTCTGGTTTTTAGCTCTTTCACGTTGAATATTATTTGAGTCTCAAGCCTATTTGATGAAGATTTTCAAGAAACGTGTCATGCTCACGGATATCAGTATCATATATTTTTGTATGCCTCTCAAAAAATGCAATACTTATTAAGGTTAGAATTCAAAGAAAATGATATCCACTAACCTGATTCTGCGTTATTATTACTTTCACTGATTTGCATTTCTTCTACGTCACCTTCCTGAATTTGCTTCTGAAAAAAAAAAACCCACTAATACAGCTACTAATAAAACTACACATAACTCATTTCGAACCTTTTGGTTTGGCTATATGCATTTTAATTTTTCCAAAAAGACAAAAATCTCTTTTTTAATAAATTTCAATTATTTTTATGACATGTTTCATCACTATCGCTACCATATCAAGCTTATCTTTATCATCCTTCAATAGGCATATAATGTTACTGGTATACAAATCAATATGAAGGCTAACAAGAGCCATTCATTAACAAATGTTATAAAAATATATCAAAACTGGACATAAATTTTTATATACCTGTACCTGTGTATTAACTGGTAAACAAGAGTAGTGTCTGTTAGATCTTCACACAATCTATGATTTCTATTTCTCAAATTTAAGTTCGAAAAAGATTTGCATACATTGTACCATTACTGTGGATACATTTTCGTGGATATTTGATTTCCTGGTTCTGCCAAAGTTTGCAAACAACCTAATAGAAAATTTGTAATTTTTGAACATTTAAATTTGTGATTCACCTGTACCTACGAAATCCACTGAAATTGGTATCCACAATTAATAATGAATCCACAGTATCTACATAACATTAACTTACAGCCTCCCTTATCCTTTGTAACTTGGTTTCCATATTCTGCTGAGCTTTTCGTGTCAGACTCTTGATGCCATTACTTGTCATATATTGCTGAATATCAGCATTACTAAATCTACAAATACAAAGTTTCAGTATTAGATATTAACTCTAATTCTTTTTCTCAATAATTTCTAGGTGAATTGACTTTTTTGAATTCAATTATATTCTCAATGCCGTTTCTAACTTTACAAGACCCAAAAATACTCAAAGTACCGTTAGTGTTTAATAGTTGTTGTTTTTTTAAGATGCGAAAAGATCATGCACATATAAAGATTACCAACTTTTTTCACATACCCTAAGTGCCCATATCAGAAAAAACCTTACGTTCCTTTTTTCTTTTCACTTTACATTTTTTTAAGAAAGGAGGTGTGCTCTAAGGGTCCCATTTGGCCTTAAAATTGAAGTATTACAAAATAAGGTGATTTTTGCATAAAGATATATATATTGATACAGGAAGGATGGAATAACAGAAAGACATATCGACAAGAAATCATGATGCCCCAATTTATCGTAGAGTAGGGATTAAAATTACATTGTATTGAGTTGTAGTGAAATACATTAATCTTACTTTATTGTTCCTTTCATTAAATCCTGCATGTGGCTTTTCTTTTCATAAGACTCTGCTTGCTGAAAAAATTTGTAATTATAGATACACAAATAAGTAAATGCAATCAATTATCATTTGTATTTTCCAACATATCTACAGAAAATAATGTTTGAACCTTTCTTAAGTGTTCATGAATATTCATGGAATGACAGAATCAGTTTTGTACTCATTGGATCATAAAAATAGTTTATATCATGTATCTTCATCTGTCCAGAAATACAACTTTCAGTCTTACAACGTTATCAAGACAACATGTTTTATACAGAACATGTGTCGTGCTTATTAGGCAACTGAAATAATATCTGTGTTAACCATATAACTAGAGTTCACGAAACTTCATTTTTAGCTCACAGGGGCCCGAAGAGCCCCATGTGAGCTTATGCCATCACTTGGCGTCCGTCGTCGCCCGTCGTCGTAAACTATTTCAAAAATCTTCTCCTCTGAAACTACTGGGCCAAATACCTTCAAACTTTAACTAAATGTTCCTTAGGGTATCTAGTTTATAAATTGTATCCGACAAACATGGCCGCCATGGCTAAAAATAGAACATAGGGGTCAAATGCAGTTTTTGGCTTATATCTCAAAAACTAAAGCTTTTAGAGCAAATCTGACATGGGATAAAATTGTTCAATTGGTCAAGATCTATCAGCTCTGAAATTTTCAGACAAATCGAACAACCCATTGTTGGTAGTTTTAACAAAATTTTGCAGTTTTTTGTTATTATTTTGAATATTATTATAGATATATATAAACTGTAAGCAGCAATAATGTTCAGCAAAGTAAGATCTACAAAAAAGTTAATATGACCATAATTGTCAATTGACCCCTTAAGGAGTTATTGCCCTTTAAAGACAATTTTACACAATTTGTTCATCAAGTTTGCTAACATTTAAAAATCTTCTTCTCTGAAATACAGGTGAGCGATTCAAGCTCTTGAGAGCCTCTTGTTTTTTTTGTCAGACCAAAGACTGACAGGATGCAAAATTTTTGCTTGTCCTTCAAAAAATTAGGTCATCTCCCATAATTAATTACTTTAACTGGTTCCAAAGATTACAATTTCCGGTGACAATACTAAAGGTGGAAATTGAAACACAGTGTCTTGTGATTTAACCAAATACCCACTATCATAACAACCTTAATGTCGGTAAAATACAGTAAAAATTTTGGCTATGAGGACAGAGAGGTCCAACGGGTTAGCGAACTCTGTATTACTTGCTTTGAAATAGGGCATATAGGTAGGTTTGTTTTGTTTTTTTATAGTGTAACACGTTTTTAATGGAAACATTCAATTTTGCTTGTTCAGTATGTAGAACGAACACTCACAATATGCTGATGCATCATGTGTATCTAGATGGTGAGAAAGCCGAACTAACTTAAATAAAAGAACAGAGTTCCAATGCCTTCTGTGTTGCACATATTTTATCTGTCCAAGGGCAATAACTTAAAAAAATTGTTTTTGGCTCTTTAAACTTTTTATAAATATCTTAGAGAAATGTAGTATTGAGAGGGCTGACAAAGAAAATATGTATATTAATATTTCCAAGGGGCATTTACTCTTTTAAAAATAGTTGATCAGAACTGTTTTACAAACTTGTCTGAGAATTGCTGATTTAAACCTTTGATATAAATTTCATAAAAATTGTCTCGCAGGGGATGACAATCAATCTTTTATCTTTTCATTTTTTTCCATGCATTTAAAATTACTGGTCTAATAATAATAATCTGCTTAAAGGTTGTCATTTTAACAAAAAAATTTTCTGGAAGACATAAAAAATGTCTATTCTTTATACCTGCAGTAAGTATGGTATGCTGAAGCTGTCATGGATTTCTGATAAATATTCCACTGCTTTCTTTAGGAATCTTTCATAAGTATTAAAGTTGATGTAGGAATGAGCCTTGTCATTGGACACTAACACTTTCTGTAAATTATCCACAGCATTCTAAAACAATAAGACATCACCAATTTATTATTATATGTCGAGACACACTGTCTATCATGTCTAAAAAAAAGTTAATTCTAAATGATTGATTCAAAATTTTTCATTGACTATGAATTCAGGCATCTGTAGTTTCCCTAAAGCTGTTGAATATAAATACTGAATTATTTGGGTAAGCTAAAAATGACTTTTTGTGATGATTTTTTTACTGTGAAGGCTGTTGAATGTAAGCAATTCACTCTAATACATCTCCATGCATAATCAATAGGTATTACATGTATATGGCAGGTTTGTAAGTCTGAGTGTTGATCACTCTAATTCACCAGCAACAATCCTTTTTCAACACCAGCAAGTACGAAACTTTAAAGTGTATAACCTTGTGTTTACCGTATCATATTACTGTTAATTCAGAACTGCCAAGATTTTTTTCAAGGCCTGTAATTTGTACCTCCTTTATTCCTACCTTATCAACTTGCTTTTCCAATTTTTTTAGTACCTTTTCCTCTTTGGATGAAGGTTTCTGCCATAGCCTTTGAAAGACATCTTTCCCTGCTTCAAAATCATCTGCTCTGCAACACACTAAAACAGCCTGAAATAACATCCAATGAAGTAAAAGGCATGTCTATTACATTGTACATGTGAACAGGTCCTTGGACAAATTTTGGAGACAAACTTTCAATCCTTGTGCAGATTAAAAGTTCAGATCTAACAAGTTAATAAATGCAACAGCTGCTAAGAAATGCTCTTAATAAACAGCTACGCCATGAGCACATGATACGCCCGTCGCTTTTTCAAAGAATAAAGTTCAATAACTTCTCAATGTCATATCAGAAATTTATGAAAAACTAAAGGGAGGTTATCTTAAAAGATATAAACCAGTCACCAAAGTTTCATGAAAACTGTTCAAAGCACTATAAAGATATTTTCCGAAAACTGGAAAATCATGCCTTTTTTATGAATAAAATCGCATAACTCGGAAACGTTAAATCTAAAATTTACAAAAATCGAAATAGAGCTTACATCTATCATGTCTATAGATATACACAATTCACCAAAGTTTCATTAAACTGCTGAAAGCTTTTTTGAGTTATTGTCCGAAAACTGGAAAATCCCCCTTTTTTAATGAATAAAACCCCATAAATTGGAAAAGTAAAATCTAAAATTTATAAAAAAAAGAAAGGGAGCTCACGTCAATAGATATAAACAATTCACCAAAGTTTCATGCAAATTGGTTAAAGTGTTTTTGAGTTATTGTCCGACATGTTGATCACGGATGGACAGACAGACGGAGAACGGTATACCATAATACGTCCCGTAAACAGGCGTATAAAAATAACTCATGTTTCAAATTATATAGTGTTTAAACATATTTTAAGAGCCAGTCTTTGTAAGAATCGGGCAATTTAGAAGAATATCAAAACATGGACGAAAAAAAATGGTGACCTCACCATCCTATTTTAAAGTTATCCTCATCCTGAGTTTGAAATAATAGGTCTTTTGTTTCAGCGTGTCTGGTAATTCAAGAAATATTGAGATAACTTTTGGTTAAAATTATAGCAAATTACAGAGTTAGCTCCCCTTAATTGTTAATTTCTAGTGCATTTCAATCAAATTATATCTTGGAAAACCAAAACAGGAATAGGAAACTGATTTTATATTCATGCACCATCATACATTTTTAACTTAAATTAATGTAAACTTGAGCAGGTTTTTGTTTGTCATGTTTTCACCACTGCCCGATTCTTAGGCAAATTGGCACTAAATTATTCATAGCAGAGGTTAAATTTTCTGTATTTTTAGACAGTTATCTGTCACATATATTTTTTTTTTTATTCATTGATGGCTGTGTATAAATGTCACACGTGTTGCCCTTTCTGCCATACATTTATATCATGACCAAATACTTCTTAAAATCTTTTTACAGACCAAATAAAGTTGAAGTATCACTGATACATGTATAACAAACTGCTCTACCATTGAAGAATGTATGGTACCCTATAAAAACATGTTTATGACATGCCATGTTGTTGGGTTACTGTTTAATGTGTGCATGTATATTGTTTCACAAATATCTAAAGAATTTGTTCATAGATATAAGAAGATGTGGTATGAGTGCCAATGAGACAACTCTCCATCCAAGTCAAAATTTATAAAAGTAAACCATTATAGGTCAAAGTAGAAATACAGAGCAGTGGTAAGCAAGTATTAGACTTATCCATCTTGTAGTAATTTGACCTTTACCTGTTTCTTGACTGAGGTTCTCATCGGTTCTAAACAATTGACGTGTTTCTTCCCCAGGAGTGGTTCAATGCTATCAATATTCTTTAGAGCTTCCTCTAATGCCGTTATATTGCTGTTTACACTATAACGAGTTGTATGGTCACTGCCATCAGATAATCGACACAAAAACAACAAAATCTGAACTTTCAGTTTTCTCTCTGTGGTAATCATGCATGGCTGGGTTACTATCCCTGCAAGTAAATTACAAAATCAAAATATTTGTTTCTCTGACCTAGATTTCTATAATTCGGTTGGTCAGTATAGGCTTGATTTAATACTTTTTATTAAGGAGGACAGTGGGGGGTGTCTAGTAGCCTTTACATTTACTGTTTCATGTCGTCTGCACATAACTATATTATTGAATGAATTAAGGTTCATCGTTACAAATGCCACAGTACTATAATGTAGTTCAGCCACTGTATCGGGTCCGTTCGCCCTGATTGCATGTTCGCCCTGAGTTCTTTCGCCCATAGAGTCCATTCGCCCTGGGTTCGTTCTCCCTACTTTTATTAAAAAATATTAATATGAAGGGTATTAAAGTTTAATAAACTTATTCAGATATTTATATGGTATAACTTCTCGAAATTCATTAAAACACATGGAAATATTTAAAAGTTGATAGCTTGTTTTGGAGCATTAATTGTTCATAATAATAATTCTCACTGATTGTTGTAACACTTGTCTTTAATGGATTAATAATAAAAACAACATTTTGTTTTGATAAACTAGTCAGCTTGGAATGAGTAAAAACAATGGTGTACGAATTGTAAAACATGAAAAGGATTTATAAATTCATTTATTATTATACTGCATAAATTGACTGATTAGAATTATTAAAATTGTTAACAAATATCAATAAAGGATAAACACATTGTATTCCAGTATTCTACTATGTAAATCAAAGGAAAATAATTATGTATTTGGTTGCAGTAAAATACAAATATTCGGCGAATTTTTTAACAAACTTTAACATACTCTGTTCACATGGTTCAAATAATATAATTATGCAACTAGACAACAATTAAAAAAAACCAATCAAGGCGAATGGACCCTGGGCAAACAGGTACTAGGGCGAAAAAAGACACGGATTCTTCAGTCACAGTCGTTACCAGTCATAGTCGATTCAGCCACACTATTTAATATTGTTCTTAACATACATTGTATATGCATGAATTGTTTTGACAGAGGTTTGTTTGAGAAAAAGCGCTTACTTTATCCATTTGTTTATTAACTGAATTACCACGTTATTGGGTTAAACTTCTATGTCAGATGAACCCTGTCACAGTGTCGGACAGATATGTAAACATTGGGCCTTCTTTTACTTTAGGGGTCCCAACCCATATAGAGCTATACTAAACTATCCTTTACCCTAAACCTTAATTACCCAACCCATATCCTACCGTAGTCTATAATCGGTCATAACGTTGGTTCGTTCGGATTTTGTTATTGTACTTATCATACGGGAAAACTCCGCATTGACGTCACTACGCTAATACCAGCGTATAAAATTAGTGCAGAATACATTTTTTCTACACTTCTAAATAAAATGATATTTCTAAAGATATGTTTTCATTATTATTCTTAAGTATTGTACAAAAATGCAGATTTTCTAATGGCCATTTCAAACCTGACTTCCGAATGCCTAAAAGCATTTCAGAACTTAAGAAAACCCCTCTTCCGGCCTCCATTGCTTTGTTTACATTCCATTGAGCGTCATCAATCTTAATGGCAGACCAAACAGGCCAAGCAAATCGTAATTTTAAGAATTTCAAAATGGCAAGCACCTTACGTCTTCCGCGATTTTCCCGCGAAAAAAAACATCCAAATTGAAAGAAAAACTTTGGGAAACAAACGATAATCATGCCATGTGTTTGTTCAGGAATATAGAGTAGGTTAAGAAAAATCAATAAACATATATTTTTCATAAAAAAAAAATTTGGTTTAATATAAAGAGATCGATATTCTGACCATAAGTAAATATTCATATAAAATTCCATTGATGTCAAATTTCATGGCTAATAATGAGTTTTCCTATTGAATAATCCCCCAATTTATTGCAAACTATTTCAAAGCAATATCATACAAACAAATAATATAATTGCCTTGTACTAAAAAATCACCTAATTGACAGTAGAGCAATTTGATTGGATATAACGATTCAATGTGTCACGTGGTTTTGAAGCCATTAGAATTTGAATGTAAACAAACCGGGTCAGCTGCTCCCGTATGGATCAACATCGTACATTCAGTGACCGAGAAACAATTATGAGTAACCAAGCTTGACAATACACAGTAATAAAAAAACAAAACTAAGTCTACAGAAAAATAAAATAAAAAATGGCCTTAAGTGCACGACTTACCACCATTGCGGGATACCTAAACCTAACAATGTTATACTACATGAAGCACTAACCCTAAAACCTAAGTTAACCCATACCTAGAACATCCCCTAACCTAACCATAACCATGAATGAACCATAAACCCTAAAGACGTAAAGCATAGGGACCCCTCAAGTAAAAGAAGGCCAAACATTGTATGCCTGACATAATATCATAACTTAAGCCAAGGTACAATTATGTACTCTGTAAATCATGGTAAATAGTTAACTCAATGTTTATAATGTGATAACAAGGATCAGAGAAAGGTTAAGGTTCATCATAACAAATGGACAAACAACTAGATATATAAAAGTTTAAAGCATTTTGTGTTTTAAAAAGATCAAGTCCGAGTCGAGGTGTAAACATACGTTACATAGCCATATTTGTCCATTTGTTTTGATGAACTTTAATTCAATTTTAATATCATTTAGTACATTGAATAAAGTCTCTTGTTGTCTGTAAGTCTATGTTGCTTGTACTTGAGAATTCCTTCCAAGCACGTTGGTATGAATAGTCTAAAATCCAACTATTAACTCTTTCCTCCTCGAATGATCCCGCCATTTTAATTGAAACTTCCCAACCAAATGCGTATGACGATGAACCAAATCCGAATTCGTTAATTTTTTTTAAGGAACGTTCTATTTATATTTTACCAAGGATTTGTGTTACTATAGTAAGACTTCCTATACAAATCCTTGATTTTACCTACCGTGCGAGATCCAAATGGATATTCAAGGTAGTTAAATATCTCGTAGAAGGTGTTTATGAATTTTGTTTTAGACCAACGGATAAATTGCTTAAATTTCAGATATACCACGACTATATACCATTTTTTCAAGTTAAAATTAAAAATAAAATTTAATCATAGTTAAAGTTAAGTTTTAATAAGTTACATCTGGGACATACTATATTGATCATATTATGATTGGTATATTATTTGGTATATTTCAAAGATGTGAATTGTATTATCTGGTTCTGCCCTGGCCTTTTATAGCATTTCTTAATAGTATTAAACGATGTTTTCTTATATGTCTCTAATTTATGTCTAATCTTATGTACTTGTATGTAATGTGATGAAAGCTCTTTATAGGGCCCTTTAATTGGAAATAAAATATTCTTATTCTTATTCTTATTATTCCCAGGTTACAACATGATTATTATGATATCAATCAACACAAAAGAAAGGAGATACGCAAAGGTCAAGCAGCTAACGGCCACATTAAAAAAATTACGTGCCGAGATACCTAAACTCTTGGATTAGATTTTCCGGTTGGGACAACATTTAGGTTCTGCCTTGCTTTCGGTTACTTCGAGTAAACTTTGACGGAAATGGTGTTTCGGCGTAGAATACAATTATTTCTTAATATGATTTCTTTAACATGTTTAAGCTGAGACTACTATAACACTATGTGTTATAGTAGTCTCAGGTTTAAGACAATAAATTTAAATAAAAATATATTCCCTGCGATATATCTCAAATTTGTTTTACAGTGTAGTATACTACTTTTGGAAAAATTATATCAAAATTATAAAAAAGTCTACCAGCTCTAACTTAAAATATGGACAATTATATGTCAAGGGGATCTTGAATTCCTTCTGATATATCAAAGCAAAGGACCCCTTCGTTAAAATTGGTTGTCTGATGTCTTATCTGAATTTTTTGCTATTCTGAGAATTTGGTGTTGATGGCAGTTTCGGACTTATTTATGTGACAGCCTGTTTAGGGATCGGAGCAAATAAGAGCCTATATTTTATTAGATAGACATTGTTGAAGACTAATGTTGACCTCTAGATGTTTTCGGTGATTTTTCTATCTCGGTGAGTTGTCGTCTTATCCTCTCAATTTGTTCATATTCATAGCCAATTGCAGAAATAGCAGTATTTTAAAATCAGGTTGAACCCTACTTAAATCAACTAAACTTTAAACAAAGATTAAAAGGAGCTTAGAATGTGGTATCAGCAACTGGAAATTGAAAAAGGACGACAGCAAAAACATTTCAGCATCTGATCTCAAATGTAAACTTTACCAGGAGCCGGGCGGGAAAGTCCACTGGCTTCTTCCTCAGATTGTAAAATTGAGGAATTAACAGGAATCGATACATCGGAACTCTTTGTAAAATATATCCTCAATTTCAAAATGTAATCAAGAAAATATGTTCATCTGGCATTTCCAAAAAATTAATTGAAACAGGTACTGTAGGAGATGAGTTTCACTATCCTTTCATATGTAACAATTCAACAGTAGTCGAACTTAGAATTAAGTTCATGATTCCCTCATATTAAAACAAAAACCCAAATGAAAGTAAATTCATGGTGGTGGTGGTGGTGGTGGTGAGGGGGTGGGGGGTTGGGGGTATGGGGTCTCTTCCTATATAAAGGTATACACCCGCTGGTATGGGTAACCTTTTCGAATTGTCAAATATATCAATAGGGTACATTTTCACGGAGGCTTTATAACAATGAGTAGACATTTATATGATCTTGTATGTCAATGGGTCACAATTCTGTTTATCTCCTGCGAAATGTCTGTAAAACTTTGTACTGATCTTATATATATGCAATTAAAATGTATTATCCCGGTGTGGTTATTATCAAATTAAGATGTCACGTACATATTAATTGTTTGTCTATAGCTGATAGCTGGGAAATAAATGAATGGGTTTGTTTTTTCCGGCCTATGAAAAACATGTATATGGGTAGGGATTTTCGCATCTCAGTTCCCTCGGGGACTTTTGGCAAGCGAAGATGGGATTTTCGCAAAAATCAATAAATGAATGGGGTGGGTTTTCAACCCCAACCTGACGTCTGTACCCAAATTTATATGTAGGCCTACCTCCCCCCCCCTTTTCAGAAAAATCTTATATTCTAGCTGCTATCTGCTAGTATATAATACTATAGTTTTACCGGATTTCTCTCAACTTTTTACTTATTTGCCAATCGCAATAATGAGAAAATCCTGGATAATCTCCAACTTGCATTACGCAGAGAACATGTTTGATTAATTAAGTTCATTAAACGAGTCGGACTGAGAAAGACTTAAAATTGCTACATATTCTTTAAAAATTAAGAAAACCCGGGATATTTACTATGATTTGAAATTCATGACGGGTACAACTTCAACCAACACACCATTAACTCTTTATGTGTTCTCATGTTTAATTTAGCATTTGTTTCTGTTTGAGGTTCAAGTTTGTTTTGTTTTTGTTTCATTCGAATGCCATTCATATCGTATTTTTTACTTTACTGAATTCCGTTCCGTCTTTTGTCTCCACGTTTTAGCAACACCCTGTGTACTTTTTTTTAAATACTTTTGTCAGGTAAGTTTATTAATGATAATAATAAAATCTAGTTTAATCTCACATATATAGCTTTTGTTGCGAAATGCATATAATACGGGCACGCGACCACAATTCCACGTGAACAATTCCTGACTATTTTGTGATCTAAAGCTAATTTAAGATGTCTCTCAATCAGTGTTTACAAATAAAAATCATATACCAGTATGACCTAATTTATATCCAGTAGGATACATTATTATCAATATGTTCTTTGGACCACGAATAAATATTAAACATGTTTAAAAGCTTGTCTTTTTAATGTTTTGCATAGAGGTGAGTTATGGTAGGCAATACGTGTCATTGTTATCTTCTTTACTATTACACATTATCATGATTATAGTTATCTCAGTTTCCTTACAAGATGTGGTGTGTTCTCAGTACTAACCAATATTTTTTTTATTATGACAGGTAATTTTTATGAATTACGCAAAACCATTAAGAGAAAAAGAAATTTGAAACCGTTTATATCAGTATGTCTAGGTCATATTTTGTCACAGTATGTCATAGCCAGAAATTAGTAGTACTTTTGCTAATTAATATTCATAATATGTAAATGAGAATTGTACCACGTGATAATAGTTTGAAGTGGACTGGCTTGATATCATTAAAATCTTTAAAACACGGATATTATAAGTTGCCCGTCACAGAGTCCTTGTTTATAATCACTCTGATATTTCCGTAAAGTTGTCAGGCGGTCAAAATCAAAACAATGAACGCGAATTTAGTGAATTTTTCGTGTTTTCGTGAGTTTATTCTTCTTGAAATAGAGGTATTTTAACTTTACGTGGGAACCTAGAGTTCAACGACTACACATACAAGGTTTGGACTTGCTTATTCTTTGGACATTCAAGTTTCAAGTTTCATCCCGGCAACCTGTATTTCTAATGACCATGTTAGCCAATTTTCAACACGAAGTTTGCAAATTTGACGTTTCAGCCATTTTAGCCTGTATTTTATACTGCAATGTTAAAAGCCTCTCGCTTCGATTTTTAAAATAGCCCAGGAACCTTGATTTTTGCAACGACAGTCATTATATTTCATTTAAATGGTGTATATTGTTGTGTATATTTATTTTCTGCCCCGGCAACCTGTCTATCACTTAAATCAAAGTTAAAACAGACATTTTTTCAAAACTCCCTATCATTTCAATATAATTTCCGTGACCCGTATCCGATTTCTTTAGTATAATATTCAAATAAGCAAAGTGGCGTTGATTTCTGGATATATGTAGCCTATGCACACAGCCTGCACTTGTATTAATACTATTTGTGCGTTAAATGTATCCTCCTTTATCTGTTTATAAATTACTGTCAAACTAAAGAACTCTCGAAGAACAAACGCATTAGAATAGGAATCGGTATTAAACACATTTAGACAATACCAAACAATAATTTTATAAAAAAAAACAAAAAGCAAAACAAAAACTGACAAATATGTTCCGTGTTCATGAAACTAAACGGAATGAGGAAGTGTATTATCATTCAGTTTTAGCTCGGAATATTATACTATTCAGACATTTTGGTTTCAACAAGACGCTTAATTCAAATAAAGGAAAAAAAATAGGATCAAAGGACACAGGCACTTGTCTTTGAAAAAAAATTTACCTATATACTTTAATATAATTTTTTTTCATATACAAGTGCCTGTGTAAACGGATGGGTAAAAAAATTTGTCATACTGTAGTGTAGGCTTACAATTGCGGATCCAGAGGGGGGTAGAGAGCGTACGTCCCTTTGGTCGCAAAAAAAGATAAATGAAGATCTTGTGTTTCTCACCATTTATACATGTTATATGATAATAGCATAAAATCGTCTCCAATTTCAATTGCCACCCCTTTCAAAAATCATGGATCCGCTCATTGCTTGCGGATCGGAACTGAATCTTACCCCAGAATCTTCGTCCTAAGAATGGGGTGACAATTGTCTTAGTGTAGTGTAGACTTGCTCTTCGGGGCTGAAACTGACGGGAGTTTACCCCCAGACTCTTCGGTCCTGAGGATGGGTAAACAATCGTCTTGATTCTTAGTAAAGTGTATAGGCTTGCGGATCGATCGGAGCTAAAATTGCCGGGAGTTAACCCCATACTCCTCCGCCCTGAGGATGACATATCCAACTAAGTCAGACATCACGTGACTTTTGTGACGTATACTAGCCGCCATTTTGTATTATATTGCCCCATATAAAATGCATAGGTGCTTCAATAAAGTTTAGTTTTCTCATGAACCTGACCCGT